ACCCCGAATAGCAAAAACGCTCCTCAACGGAAAGAACACTGCTGGAGGAATATCAATACCAAATTTCAAACTCTACTATAAAGCCATAGTAATCAAAACAGCTTGGTATTGGCATAAGAACAGACCTCAGGACCAATGGAATAGAATTGAAAACCCAGAAAGGAACCTACAGACTTATAGCCATCTAATCTTCGATAAGGGAGCTAAAACAATAGAATGGAAGAAAGACAGCCTCTTCAGTAAATGGTGCTGGCAAAATTGGTTAACTACATGTAGAAAACTAAAGCTAGATCCTTATATTCCACCCTGCACCAGAATCAACTCCAAATGGATCAAAGACCTTGAAGTCAAAGCAGACACTCTGAAAACATTACAGGATGGAATAGGAGAAACCCTAGATCTCCTTGGCTCAGGCCGAAATTTTCTGAATAGAGACCCGGAAACACAACAAATCAAAGAAAGGTTGGACAAATGGGATTGCATAAAGTTGCAGAGCTTCTGCAGGGCAAATGACATAGCTAGCAAGATCAATAGAAAGCCCACGGATTGGGAGAAGATCTTTACTAGCCATACAACGGACAAGGGTCTCATATCTAAAATATACTTGGAACTCAAAAAATTAAACCCCCCAACAACAAATCCTCAAAGAAACAACTGCCCAATAAATAAGTGGGCGAAAGACTTAAAAAGAAATTTCTCTGAAGAAGAAAGAAAGATGGCCAATAGACACATGAAGAAATGTTCAACATCCCTAGCCATAAAAGAAATGCAAATCAAAACAACACTGAGATACCACCTCACCCCAGTTAGAATGGCTAAAATCAAGAACTCTAACAACAACAGAGGCTGGAGGGGATGTGGACAGAAGGGAACCTTACTGCATTGTTGGTGGGAGTGTAAACTTGTTCAACCACTTTGGAAAGCAGTATGGAGGTTCCTCAAAAGACTCCACATAGAGCTCCCCTGTGACCCAGCAATCCCACTTTTCGGCATTTACTCAAATGTTTACAAACAAGACCACACTAAAGCTACTAGCACAGACTATGTTTATTGCAGCACTATTTACTATAGCTAAGATATGGAACCAACCCAGATGACCCTCAGTAGATGAATGGATCAAGAAAATGTGGTATATATACACAATGGAATTCTATGCTTCCATCAGAAAGAATAGCATTGCCCCATTTGTTAGGAAATGGAAAGACTTGCAAAAAATTATATTAAGTGAAGTAAGCCAGGCCCAAAGAAACATAGGTCCCATGGTTTCACTTATTTGCAATATCTAGTATATGTCTGAGTCAAGCAGAAAAAGTCAGATAAAGTGATGTTAGGGAAATGAACCCTAAGATATGTATGCAAATGTTTTTTTTTCTTTCATGCAATTGTTTCTAACACATTTATAAGATTATTTCTTTGTTGCTTTGTATGTCCTTCCCCCACAGTATAACCCCTGCTTTCACTGTATTTGATGTCAGTATAATTTGTGGAGGGGAAGGGGAAAAAGAAATCGTTTAAATAGGGATACAGGTGGACCCATTGCAACAATGAGATGTACAAATCGTTATGTCAAAAACGAACTTTAAAGTTTGGTGCGGGGGGGGGGGGGGGAGGGGGAAGGGGAGCAGGGAGGATTGGGTGGGGGAGTAGGGGGAGGATGGGAAGGAGAAACAAAGGAGGAGGCTACAATGCTTGATAAGAAATGTACTCATTATCTTGCCCATGTAATTGTAACCCTCTGTACAGTATTTTCACAAAAAAAATATAAAAATAAATAAATAAATAATGTGTTGTGTTTTCCAATGTTTAAAACTCCAATTCTATTTAAAGTAATAACGACAGTAATTACAAATTTCTGTAAAAGTAGTTAGTGATAAATATAATAGTGATAAAACCAACATTGTTTTACTGAACTCATTTCATTCCCACAACTCTTTGAGGCAGATAGTGTTATGTGGCCTATCATACATTTGAAAGAATAAGTACAAAGGTTAAAGTGGCTTGTCCACATTCCCCTACTAATTAACAGTTAGTAGACTCAGAATTCCTGTCCATCATTCTATATTTACAACTCTGAGGAATGGAGAAAAATATGACAACTGTTTATCATCCATTATTAGTTATCAGTAATAAAATTTCATTTCATTTACTTTTCCCTAATCTATAATATAAATTTCTATCACTCCAATATTTTATATAGTGACAAAAATAGGGATAAAAAGTTAAGTAATTTTGCTAAATAACAGGACTCTGAAGCGAGAACTTCTAAACTCCAAAGTAAGTAGGCCCAAGGTCCCAAGATTTTCTGGGAACCAGCCATACCACCTCACAGGCATTACTCTTGCTTTCCACTTTTTTCTGGTATAATACTCACATTTTACATACTTCCTGAAGGTAGCTTGGATAACAAGTGAATGCCACTACATCATGACTTCGTAGTGAAAGATAAAAGTTATTATAAGAAAACTAAAGCCCTCATAATATCTAAACCACCTAAATGATTGTATACATTCTGCTCTACTGAAATTACTTGTAACAGAGACCTGGGCACTGTGATCACTCATTCTGATAAGCAATTCTCAGGCTTCTTCTTAACCTTTTAGCAGAGGATAGCAGGTCTATCATCTTCTCTCAACATATTAAAGTTACAGCAGCCCCCTACTATTCTCTGACTGCATGTTTGCTCACTTGGAAATGTCATGTAAATCCAACTAAATACAAATACCTACTGAGAAGTTCCAAAATTTTACCTTAGCTTAACTTCCATCCAATAATCCATGAGTTTCTACCATTGCTGTATATCCACAGTTGATTGGTGTCACTGAGGAATCTAAAACTACACTTTCCTAGGTCTTCACTTTTCCCAACTTCCCCATTCTGCTTAGTGTCAATCTTTCGGTTGCTTAAGGCAAAAATCTCAGACCCCACAACACTTCTCTCACACGATACCCATGTCAAATTCTTAACCAAATTCTGTGACACCTGCCTTCCAAGCAGGCATTTCTCAAGTCCACCATCCATTTCTTATGTAAAGGCCCACAGCCGCCTGCTTCTCCCTCATAGGTTTTCCTCACACTTCCTGATACACTTCTTGCAACATGGCAGCCAAAAAGATCACTTGGCTTCCTGTGCCATTTAGAATAAAAGACACAGTGTTTTATAATAGTCTACTTTCCTTCCAAATGTATTCATCTCTTATTCCTTTAGTACATTAAATATATTCAACTGAAGTTGCAACTCTTAGTTTCTTTGTTTGGAAATTTAGGCCTGGTTCTCTGCATAATGTCTCCCATAATCTTTAGAAATTTTGCTCTAATGTCGCTTTACCTCTTTCTACTATCAGTAAAAATTCCCTGACCAATTTATTGAAGAGAGTTGAATTTTTCTCTTGAATAGAGTCTTCAAACTTTTTTTAAAACAATGTTTGCTGGTAGTAGGGCTTGAAATCAAGGCCTGACCCCTGCCACTGAGCCTCTGTGCTCAACGCTAGATAGTGCTCTACCACTTGAGCCACAGTGCCAATTCTGGCTTTTTTTCTGAATAGCTTATTTTGTGAGTAGTTTATTGGAGATATGAGTCTCATAGATTTTCCTGCCCAGGCTGGCTTCCAACCATGATCTTCAGATCTCAGCCTCCTGAATAGGTAGGATTACAGGTATGAGCCACCAGCACCCAGTGGCTTTCAACATATTTTAAAATTTAATTTAATTGTCAAGGTGATGTACAGAGGGATGACAGTTACATATGTAAGCTAGTGAGCACCTGTGTTGTCAGTGTTACCCCCTCACTTTTTTTCCTCACACTTTGCCTCCCCCTCAATGCCCCTGCCAGTTGTAACGTTCATTTCCAACATGTGAGTATCACTGTTGTATTAGTTCACCCTTTGTCCTTTGTCCCACCATTTTGTAGTTCTTCCCTTCCCCAATTCAGACAAATGTATATATAATACGCGGGGTACCAAAATCAGTGACAAGGGATAATATTTTTATGTAATTAGTAATTTATTTTGTTTAGTGACAATCTCAGAAACTCCAATATAACTCCACACAAGCAGGAATTTTTTTGCTTCTTTTTTTGAAAATGCTAAAAATAGATAGGTTACATTTACACAAGTCAGGCAAAGAGTGCAATACTTTTAGACAATTTCACCCCTTTCCTCAATCTCTTGAATGGCATCTAATCAGAGCTTAGCCAGACTGATACTAAGTAAATATTGCTTGGGTATTAATTCATTTAATAAAAAAGGAGCATATCTGAACTAAAAAATTTGCCTAAGTCTCAACTAAGTCAATGAATATTATGTTCTTTGGTTACAATATGCCATTATCATCTTACCTAGAGACTGGCATACAGTACCTGCCTAATAAACAGCCCACATAAACCCATAATGAATTAGCCTGTTAGGAATCACACTGCATTATAAAGCTCCTTCTTTGCTTTTTTTTTTTTTTTTTTTTAGGTCATGGGGCTGGAACTCTAGGGCTGTGAATTGTCCCTCAGCTCTTCAGCTCAAGGCTAGTGCTCTACCCCTTGAGCCACAAAGCCATTTCCAGTTTTCTGGTGGTTTATTGGAGATAAGAGTCTCATCGACTTTCTTTCCCTGGGCTGGCTTTGAACCATGATCCTCAGACTTCAGCCTCCTGAGTAGCTAGGATTACAGGCATGAGCCACCAGGACCTGGCCTGCATTTTGATTTTAATCTGACAGAAGCTAACTAGTAAAAAGTATCTAAGTATTTAAGAAATTGCAGTTGTTAAAAATGTAACAAGTTTGACAAGAAATGTACCTTACTTGTGTAACTGTAACCCTTCTGTAATCACCTTGACAATAAAAAAAAATTAAAAAGACAACAAAAGTAATGCATATTCTTACATTGTAACAAAGATTAGAGAGCATACTAAAAGAAGTTCAATTGTATTTGTGTAGTGGATTTGATTAGTGGACTATTTCATTAGCAGACACTAATGAAATAACAAGAGCTAAAGGAGCTTAGCCAGACATACCTCACATTCCAAACCTGTGGTAGGGATGATGTCAGAGGTAGTGACTATCTCTGGACCTATAAGAAATGAACACGCAACCTCCATTACTGGGAGAGTAGCTCTCATGCATACAATTTACATGTGTTAGGAAATATGCTAAAAGATTTTCAATTACTTCATTTGTTCCTCACAAACATCCTACGAAGAAGATAAAAATATGACTGCTTTACAGATGCAGAAGCTAAGTCAATTAGAAAGTACATCCATACATGACAGGAACAGAATTCTAACTTAGGAGTTTCACAATTGCTGTCCAAATACAGTCAGACTTTTCTAAGTTTAATTGACCATTCCATAAACACCTTCACTGCCTTGATGTCAAGAAAGTTGTCTAAACAGGTAAAAATGTCAATAGTATCCTTAAAGAGTCATCAAAAGCTACAAATTTTGTTGCATTCAAAACAAGAAGTGCAGCTGGTCCTTTTCTCTTGAAGAACCTCAGGTATGAACTCTTTGCAAGCAGAATGGATGATGCTTTGGCCCAATGGCAGCCCCAATGGGGAGGTGTAAAGGAGTGTGACCCATGTATTTTCTTTCTGTACTAGAGGTATGTCTAAAATACTCAAATCTGAAGGACTATAGAAGAGATAAAATGATTGACTGGACTTTTCCCTAGCTCCAATCACCATGTCTGCCATTGATAATATTTTTAAATACTGAATTTGTTTCCCATTCCTGCTATAAAAATGTCATATATCTAATAATTTACCATTAACTTATTATCATGCAGCTCCACAGATCATAAGTCCTTAAACCAATGTATTACCTATAATATTTAATACAATGTAAATGTTAGACAAATACTTACCTTGCTGTGCTGTTTAAGAAATAAGGATAGGGAAAATATGTGAGCATGTTCATCTCAGATGAATTTTGTTCTATTGGTTGAATCCACAAATGTGAGACCAAACGTATGAAACGTTTATAGTATTTCATTCGCTTGTGGACCACTGTGTATTTTGTCTACCATAACAATCCCCTCTGAGTGCCTAGACAATGCTTGGCTTAGTTGATACTCAATTAAAACATCAAATATAAACATCTCTATCAGAAATTTTCTAAATCACTCTCCCAGAAGAAGTAATTAAGTTTGGCAAAGCTTCCTGTGAGTGGATATATTAAGTTCTTCCCTGAAACAAGCTTCATAGTGAGGGAAGGAAGTGAGGGTAAGAGCCAAGATACATCTCAAGAGCCTATAGGATACAAATGGAAGTGGAGTCCCCATGGAAAGACTTGTAATTATATCTGACACTCATTAGAGACCATTTATTTACTGAGAAAACTTAAAACAGGTTTAGTAAAACTTAAGTTCTTGGAAAAAATATGTGAAGAAAGTCCTAGAAGTCCATAATAAGAAAGAGAGAAAGAGATGAATCCATTGTAGAAAATGTGCCATGTTGAGCCTGTCAATAGGATAGGCAACATGAGGCAAAAGTGACAGGCATTATAAACATGTTAGAAACAATAGCAAGAAAGAAAAAACCACTTATGTCTCTATCTAGGGATTCATTTCGCTTAACATCATCTTATCTGGTCATATGTACATGGCTTTTGACCTTTTCTGCTTGTCTCAGATGTATACTAGTTATTGTAAATAAGGGAAACCATGGGACCTATGTTTTTTGGGCCTGGCTTACTTCACTTCATATAATTTTTTCCAAGCCTTTCCATTTCCTAAAAAATGGGGCAATGTCATTCTTTCTGATGGAGGCAGAGAATTCCATTGTGTATATATACCACATTTTCTTGATCCATTCATCGACTTCGGGTCATCTGCATTGGTTCCCTGTCCTAGCTATGATAAACAATGCTGTAATAAACATAGTTGTGCTGGTAGCTTTAGTATGGTCTTGTTTGTGATCATTTGGGTAAATGCCCAAAAGTGGGATTGCTGGGTCATAGGGAAGCTCTATGTGGAGTCTTTTCAGGAACCTCCATACTGCTTTCCAAAGTGGCTGAACAAGTTTACACTCCCACCAACAATGCAGTAGGGTTCCCTTCTGGCCACATCCCCTCCAGCATCTGTTGTTATTAGAGTTCTTGGTTATAGCCATTCTAACTGGGGTGAGGTGGTACCTCAATGTTGTTTTGATTTGCATTTCTTTTATGGCTAGTGAGGTTGAGCATTTCTTCATGTGTCTATTGGCCATCCTTCTTTCCTCTTCAGAGAAGTTTCTCTTTAAGTCTTTAGCCCACTAATTTATTGGGCAGTTGTTTTTTAAGGATTTGTTGTTGGGGGTTTTAATTTTTTGAGTTCAAGTATATTTTAGATATGAGACCCTTATCCGTTGTATGGCTAATGAAGATCTCCCAATCCATGGGCTTTCTGTTGATCTTGCTAGCTATGTCCTTTGCCATGCAGAAGCTCTGAAGCTTTATGCAATCGCATTTGTCCAACCTTTCTTTGATTTGTTATGTCACTGGGTTTCTATTAAGAAAATTTGCACTATATTTGAGGTTGGTATAATTTATGAAGGGGAAGGGAAAAAACAAACTGTTTAAATAGGGATACAGGTGGATTCATTGCAACAATGAGATGTACAAGTCGTTATGTGAAAAACAAACTTTACAACTTTGGTGGTAGTGGGGAGAAGGATTCGGGGGGGGGCAGGGAGAGGATGGGAAGGGATGGGAAGGGGAAACAAAGGAGGAGGCTACAATGCTTAATAAGAAATGTACTCATTATCTTGCCCATGTAATTGTAACCCCTCTGTACAGTATTTTCACAATAAAAAAATGAGAAAAAAATTGGCTTCTGTCAAAGAGACCTAGGGTTTCTTCTACTCTTTCCTGTAATGTTTTCAGGGTGTCTGCTTTGACTTCGAGGTCTTTGATCTGTTTGGAGTTGATTCTGGTGCAGGGTGATACATAAGGATCTAGCTTTAGTTTTCTACAGGTGATTAACAAATTTTGCCAGCATCATTTACTGAAGAGGCTGTCTTTCTTCCCTTCTATATTTTTAGCTCCCTTATCAGAGATTAGGTGGCTATAGGTCTGTGGGTTCATTTCTGGGTTTTCAATTCTATTCCATTGGTCCTCAGGTAACCCCTGTTTTCACTGTATTTGATGTCTGTGCCCTGCATCTTGTATACACACTTCTCTAATTTAGGGAAGGGAAGGGAAAAAACAAAATGCTTAAATAGGGATACAGGTTGATCCATTGTAACAATGAGATATACAAGACATTATGTTGAAAAACAAACTACAATTTAGGCGGGGGAGAGGGGATAGTTGTGGAGATGGAATGAAGGGATGGCAGCGGAAGAACAAAGGAGGAGGTAACAATGCTTGATAGAAAATGGACTCATTACCTTGCTCATGTAACTGCAACCCCTCTGTGCAGTATTTTTACAATAAAAACCATATTTTAAAAAGTGACAGGTGTGTTTTGAGTTGGTTGAGTGGTCCTACTGCATGTGGCTGTGATAGATAGGCCAGGACTTAAATTACAGATGCTAATTTTACTGTCTAAAATCAGCTTTACCTGAAACCATAGGTAACAGCTTACCTGGTGATATTAATGCTGGTTCTGTAGGAATTATGGGTACACCTACAAAGAAACAAAGATGCTCTATATTTATCAGTATTTGAGTAAGGTGAGGCCCACATAATACATACGAGGCTCTTTAACTTCAAATATGTTTTGGAATATAATACAAAATGGAAATGGAGCCTCCACAGAGAGACTTACAATTATATCTGACACTCATTAGCACCTATTTATTTACTGGGAAAATTTAAAACAGGTTTAGTAAAGACTAAATTCTTAGAAAGATTATGTAAAAGATGTCCTAGAAGTCCATATAAGAAAGAGAAAAAGAGATGAATCCATTGTAGAAAATGTGTCACATTGAGCTTGTCAACAAGATGGGCAACATGAAGCAAAAGTGACAGGAATGTTTTGAGTTGGTTGAGTAGTCCTAGTGTGTGTGGCTGTGATAGGTAGGCCAGGACGTACATTACAGATGCTAATTTTACTGTCTAAAATCATAGCTTTACCTGAAACCATAGGTTGTAACAGCGTACCTGGTGATATTAATGCTGGTTCTGTAGGAATTAAAGGCACACCTACAAAGAAACAAAGATGCTCTGTATTTATCAATAGTTGATAAATACCCACCTAATACATACAGGGCTCTTTAACTTCAAGTATGTTTTGGAAAATAAACTAAAGAGGGATTTGAAAGGCAAGATAAACATGATTTAGGAAGTAGTGAGGAAAATAACCTACAGCTGTCACATTAGGGAAACATCTTACAATTATCGTGTGTCTAAAACTTCTGTTTAGAGCTGTTTGCCTAATAGGGTGCTTCTCACTTTTCATAGTAAATTAAATAAGGTTCACACTTACAGTCTTCTGGATAAACACATTTGAGGGTGACCTCATCAAGGATCATATTTTTAGGGCAGTAGGGCAAGCATCCTTCAACCCTACATATGAAAAAAAATCAAATGAAAAAAGTACAAAATATAAAATAAAACTCAGTATTGAATATATGCAACTAAATTATATTGCTCCTGAAATTCTCCCTCCTTCTCAAGCACTAAGGACTACTCCTTTGCTAACATTGTATAATAATTTGATTTATGAAATCAGTGTTCCCTATACCTAAGCAGATTGCTATGGGTTGTGACTATACTTACTATGAAAATGTCAGTAGTATAGAAACAGCATCGTCCATGGCTCTCACTTTCTACTATTAAATCCTAAGCTCACTGAACAGACAATTGAGATCTTGAGTAGAGGAGATGAGGCAGGAGTTGGCAGAGTTGGAAGAAAATGGTGGTATAAGACCAAAAGGAAGCCAGGTTTCCAGCTCCAGGGCATCTGGTATGTATCCCCTGTCCTTGCATGAAGCAGAGAAGCCAAGTTAAGAGTTCCTAAACCTGCAAGAGGCCTTAGGCTTGGGGACTGTGGGCCAAGAAAAGGAAAAACCATCTTTAAAGGAATTAAGCCAAAATTCTGTCTGAGATTACATCTTACTGCTACTATTGGTCAATTGAAGCCCAGAGTCCAATTTATACTGATACAATCTTTCATGCAGGTTCATATTAGGAATACATTCTACAGAGCATTATGTACAAACTTTTATTGCAAAAAAAAGCCTATTTAACTGCATCTCAGATGCATTATCAGGTGATAGTAATATTTGCAATTTAAGAATATTTTACCCCTTTAATTTGACAGTATCAGTTTTCAGTTGGTCAAAAAGAAATATAATTGAGAATTGAACAAAATAATTTTTAAGAGCTACTTTTGAAGAAAAGGATAATAGAAATTATCCTGGAGTTAAAGAATAAAAAAAAATGTGTTAAAAAAAACTTAAAGTGCACAAGATAAATTGGTGACTGGCTCTTTTTAGGGTTGGTTAGTTTCAAAAACCCTAAGTTCTTAAAAGTGAAGGTGTTAAATAGGGCATTATTTGTAATTCAACCTAAATGATACTCCTACGATTGTATAGCATCTATGAATAATTTGTTTCAAAGTTTCCATATTATTTATAAAAATTAAGGCTTTATTTCCAGAATTTCAGATATCATTATTAAATATTAAGATAAATGTGTTAAAATAAAAAATTTAAAAATAAATTTAGTACCCACTAAAATATATTGTCAATTACTTCATCCATTATTAAAGAATTAAAACAAAAATGCTCATTATGAAAATGAATTAAATCAATGCTAGGGAGTAACAAAGCAAAATCAGGTGGCCCTATGTAGCTAGAAAAGTTTTACACTGAATGAGGCTGAAGAAGACACATTTAGCTATCTCCTTCATATTTCTGTCCTTTCACAATATATATTTTTAAGAACATAAACAGCTTATATATAATCAGTGGCTTATTTCAATCAATAAGCTTCGTAATAAAGAGGATTATTAATGCTATTATACTCTAAATTTATCAAGCAGTAGAAAAAAAATCTAAAGGTTACTAGATTGCAGAAGACTATAACCAGTCATCATTAAAAGAAGTCATTGTCCATTTAGATGCAACCCAAACATTTTGAAATTGTTCTATGCCAGTTAAAACCATAGATCTTCTCTTACAATATTTCCTTTCAACCAATATTGCCTTCACAGTCACACATAAAAGATCCTTCTTTCTTTTGCATACAGATGACATACTAGCCGACTTCTAAACTATAAACATAATATCTCCTATACATAATGGTTCTTACAATAGATATATAATAGGAATAATTATTTCTATATGTGCTCCATAATAAGCTTCTTGGCATATTTTGTCATCCAAAACTTTTATTTTCGCTAAATATTTTATTTTAACATTTGCTTCATGAAAAAAACTGAAATCATCTAGAAGAAGGGCAATGGCTCTGTTGGGGACTGGCAGGAGGGGACAGGAATGTGTTACAGCTGCAGCTTTGTACATGAGACCCCTGGCTATTACAAGTACAATGAGAAGTGCCCATCAGTACCTCTGCACAGGGGAAGAAGACAGGAAACAGAAGTAAATGTGGAAGTGAAAAGCAGCCTGGCAAGAGTGTAGTTTCTCTGGACTACACTACATTCCTTCAGATCTCATTCTGTAGTATTGCTTGTATTTGGTCTCATTTCTACCCTGTTCTAAAGATTGAGTTCCCTCAGGCAAAGACTAGGTATCATTTATTCATATGCCCAGGACATTTTATAATTTTCATACTCACAGTACATAGATATTCAGTTAAAAAAATGTAACATACTCCCTTCTACTGTTGATATACTGCCTTGTTCCCTTTTAAAGCAATTTTTTTTCAAAACAAATAGCTGCCTACATTCTACCTTTTCATTTTGCCTCTTCCTAGACTCTAGGTTACTAAATGCTCTGAGCAATTTTCAGTCTTAAATTTGATATATAAAAGAAAACCAAATTCTTGATTCTTCATCAAAGGAACTCCTTCTATCTTTGTCCTTAGCACAACAAATAGTAATTCATTCTTCCACTGGGTCTAAATGAAATTGTTGATATTTGTCTAGGTTGACAACAAAAGTGGAAACTAGTGTCTGGTTTCACTCAATACATACTGAGGCCAGACTTAAGTCCTAACTCTTCCTCCTTTCAGAACTATGTTTAGTCTACCAGCAATGAAATGGGACCTCTATCTTTTATACTGTACAAAAATCAACACCAATTAGATCTAAGAGCTCTAATTAAAACTTGAAACTTTAAGTCTACTGTGGGAAAATGTAGTAAAAACACTGCAACTAACATGGCATAAGTCACTTTTCTCTGAATAGAATTCCAGATGCTCAGAAGATAGGATTAAGAATTGACAAAATGGATATATCAAATTAAAGAGTTTATGTGTAACAAAAGAAACAATCACTAAACCTAAGAGCCATCTACAGAACCAGAGACAATCTTTTCTAGCTATTCAACAGATAATGGATTAATATCCAGAAATACAAAGAACTCAAAAAAGTAAAACAGCAAAAGAAAAAGTAATCTAGTAAATAAATGGGCATCCAAGCAGAATGTACAGTTCTCACAAAAAAAATACAAATGAGTGATATATTAAGAAATAGTCAACATCATTAGCCATAAAGGAAATGTAAATCAAAATACACTAAGATTTCATCTCACCACAGTCAACATGAGATCCAACAAAGAGATAAACAATAACAAATATTGGTGGGGATGTGGGAAAGTGAGCCCTCATTGTTGGTGGAATATAAACTAGTACAACCACTATGGAAATCAGTATATAGATTCCTCAGAAGACCAAAATAAGATCACAGTATGACCCTGGAATTACACTATTGGGCACATATACAAAGGAAAGTAAATCAATGTACCAGAAAAATACACAGGCATTATTTGTGTTTCCTGCAACATTATATACAAACGGCCAAATGATAAAAGCAGACAAGCTGCCCCCCAACAGTAAAAAGGATAAAGAAGTTGTGGTATATGTATATGTGTGTTTATGCATGCGTGTGTGTGTGTGTGTGTGTGTGTGTGTGTATCTTTAACTTTCCCATATATTTTCATAACATTTATTACCATTTAACTCTTAAAAATATGTTGCATTATAAGCTTCCATTTTTGTTCACATTCTGTTTCAACCCAATGATTATAACCCCCAAAAGGAAGTATTTGATCAGTTTTGTTGTTACTGTAACCCTGGCAATTAGAATTCCTAACACATAGTAACACCTCAATAACTATGCTTTGATTATGATAGAATTAATTTGTGTTTTAGTATACAGCATGTGCAAGATTTCTTGAGGAGGACTACTTTTAAATCTAACACAAAACTCCCTGAGGACAGAATCTGTTAACAGTAGTTTGCTCATTACTTACGGTGGAAGAAATTTACACGCTAGTGCTTCAGGGTCACTGCAAGTTTTAAAGCAGGGAGTAGCACAAGGTTCATATCGCCATTCACATGCTCTCCTGTAGGGCACAGCAGCCTGGATCTCTGAGAAAATAAAGTTTAGAATGTGTCCATTTTTAAGTGCACAGCCTGAAGACTAGCAACTCATGATAAGCACCTTTGTATGGACACTTATGGAAATGACAAAATGATCAAATGAAAACACTGTAACTGCATGGGGACCAAAGTACCTCATGCATTGGCTACAAAATGTAAATCTATCTTTAAAGATTTTTTTTTAAAGCCAAAGTTTGTAAATGGCCATGGAAAATTCAAAATCTTCCTTTACGTGTCTAGTGGATTTTCACTGATTTTTCACATTAATAGTACCCTGTATCATGCTTGGAAATATATTTCATAAAAAGTAATGTTTTACCATTATTCTATTTTATCTTTACTACTACTCAATTTACTAGATATTACTTCTGGCCTGCAATGGAAGATACTGAGACTGAAAGCAGCCTAGAACCTTGCGAACTTCAAATAACTAGAAAAATAGCCAGACTAACTGCCTTCATTATTATTTCAAATATAGGGTGAATGTACTGTCATTTCCCTCACAAAATTTAACACATTATCTTTTTACTTTTTTATTGTAAAGATACTGTACAGAGGGCTACAGTTACATGGGTAAGGTAATGAGTGCATTTCCTATGGAGCATTGTTACCCCCTCCTTTGTTTTTCCCCTACTATCCCTTCCCTCCCCACCTTATCTTGTCCATGATAAATGTTGTTAGATTACCAAAGAATAAGTGAGTAAATTAAAATTTCAAGTTACAGTTAGAAAGCCTCCTCAATTGAAACTTTTCTCCTGCAAACTCAGCTAATATGATAACACAGAGAACAGATAAATTATCTCTAACATGAGAATTCCAATTCAAGACCCAGTTGTCCTTCTAGGACTTTAGATAAAGAATTCAATTACTAAGAATTGCAAGGAAATAAAATATTTTGGAAAGCATCTACGCATCTGGAGATAAGAGTAACCAAAGAACTTAAGTTTATAAGTTCATGCATGCTGAGAAGATTATTTCCAGGACTAAGGTAGACCCTAGAGTTCATAGGCCTAAGGAAACCAAGAAAATCAAATTCAGATTTTGATAATGCCATTAGCTACAATTCTCTGCACCACAAGTGAAGACACTAGGTATAGTCTAACAGAGCAGATTCCTAGAGTTAAGAGGAAATAAAGGGGTTTATAAAGTTTAGTTTCCAGAAAACTAAAGTGAAATTATTACACTATTACACTTGTTCCATTGAATATTATGTAGTCATGACAATGGCTCTTTTTCTTAAGAACACAAAACAGGCTCCCAGTTGACCTTGGCTAACCAGTCTTTCATCTTTTCCATTTGCAATTCTAACAAGAACTACAGATTGTTCTGAGAATGACATACAAACAGAATGAGATAAGAATTTTTTTGTTGTAAAGTTCATTTTTCGACATAACGTCTTGTAGATCTCATTGTTGCAATTTGTTTTTTCCCTTCCCCTCCACAAATTATACCAACATCAAATACAGTGAAACCAGGGGTTATACCATGGGGGAGGAACATACAAAGCAACAAAGAAATATCTTATAAATTTGTTAGAAACAATAGCAAGAAACTTTGGAAGGTAGGGGGGAGGACGGGGGGAGGAGATGGGAAAGGGAAACAAAGGAGGAGGCAACAATGCTTGATAAGAAATGTACTCATTACCTTGTCTGAGTAATTGTAACCCCTCTGTATGGTATTTTCACAATTAAAAAAAAAGAATTTTTTGGAACAGCCTATGGTTTGTCTTCCTCCATCCTAAACAGCATGTTTTAGAAAGTTTGTGTTCTGGGCTGGGAATGTGGTTTAGTGGTAGAGTGCTGGCCTAGAATGCATGAGGTCCTGGGTTAGATTCCTCAATAGCACATAAACAGAAAAAATCAAAAATGGCACTGTGGCTCAAGTGGTAGAGTGCAAGCCTTGAGCAAAAGAAGCTTAGGGACAGTGCCCAAGCCCTGAGTTCAAGTCCCAGGGCTGCCAAAGAAAAAGAAATAAAGAAAGTTTGTGTTCAATAATGTCAGTGGTACCCAGAGAACAAAATTCACAGTGGAGTGCATTCACTTCTTCAGTTGAAATGCATCATGGAGCACATATGCAGACATGAGCCATCTGCTTTGCACAGATTTGCCAAGCTGGGGAACTCCAGCTCATGCTGGATCCCAGGCTTCTGTTGGTGCTTGCTGTCTATAAGAAAGTTGCTGAGCCTGACTTTTTCTGTCTCATCAGAATATACCTAAAATTTCATGTGTTCAGGTGCTAGGGATCTTGTTTACTTTCCTTTGAGCCCCATTTCCAGGGTCAGAACCCTTGTAGAACCCTGACAGTGGGTTTGTGCAAAACCTCCTGACAAATTTATTATTTTTGAGGACAGAAACTGTATTCAAGAGGCAAGTGTCTAAAGATCAATCTGAATTTTCCAATTCAGTTGGCTACACAACAAAAGGCAATGATGAGCTCTTTTGAACTAGTTTAGGAGGGTTAGATAGAATGATACAAATTGTTTGCAAAACAAGACAGCAATCAAGCACTTGGATTTAAAAAACAATCAACCATAACTTTTAAAGATGGCATTAAAGACATGAAGACTGTTTTCAGAAACTCAAAATTCAACAATTGCAGACTTCTAAGGCACTTTAGAAATAAAATCAGGTTTCTGCTGAAAGAGGGAAATTTTCTAGAAGGTATACAGTTACAAAACTTACTTAAAGTTATAACTATCTTTATATATCAAAAAATGGTATAATGTTAAGAACTCAATGATTTCCCCATTGTATAAATTGTGTGTGAGTCCTCTTGACACTCTCATGAAACAAACCTTCTATGCTGAAGCTACTTGACTGTTTGAATTCTTCAGAGTCATCATATTTTGATGCTTTGACGGCAGAGTCTGTAACTACGATGAAAAAGCCTTTCCGGCTGTATAGTTCAAACGCACTGTAGCCTGGAATCCAGAGACTCTGATGGTGGAAAAATGTGGCTTTCTGTTGAAAGGCGGCATTTGCCTTCCACAGTTCCAAGCTGAGTGCGTCGTTGTCGCGGACATAGAGAAAGTAGTTTGGCCTTTCAGCAGATTCCAAGGACACAAGTGCCAAAGCTGTAAAAATATAGAGCAGTATCTGGACAACTGTTTTGAGTTTCATCGAAAGCAGATCCCAACACCGGCATTATCAAAGTACACATTATAAAGTGAAAATTACAATTAATGTAAATCTCACAGATCTTAGAAATAAATAATAAGACCTCTAAAAGGAAAATGTAATACTTTTAAATGATTGGCAACACAATGGTATCTCCTAAGTTGATCTTCACTAAGTTCTATTTTTAATCATTCATTATGACCTTCAAAGGAAGAAAAGTAAGTATCAATAACAGATTCATACAAGAAATTAAATTATTAATTGGACATATTTGTGGTTTTAAGCATTGACATTTTCAAATGCTCACAATTTATAAACACCTAAATTGGAACCGAAAAGTGAGAAAATAGTGAATTAGAAAATAGTGAAGTAGGCATGTAACTAGTTGTACTTTAGTATCACTGAGTTCTTTTTTTAATATATATTTTTATTGTAATGATACTGTACAGAGGGGCTACAGTTACATGAGTAAGGTAGTGAGTACGTTTCCTACTGAGCATTGTTACCTACTTCTTTGTTTTTTCCCCTACCATCCTTTCCCTCCCCCCCAACTCCTCCCTCCCCACCCCTGAAGTTTTAAAGTTCATTTTCAACATTCACTGAGTTCTTAGTGTATTGTTTTTACAAGAGAATTTGCTGCAATGAGAAAATTATCTCCTCAATATTATTTATTTCCCAAAGGATTGTCAAATGTTTAATGAACAATTAGACCTCCCAAAGTGTTAGAGAAGTATCATTCTTTTTTGTTATATATTCTGTTAATTTTCCCTTATATTGGTAAAACTCATGCTATAAAAGTTTTTAATTGAGATATTTTGTTGATTTTCTGAAGTAAACATTGTATTATTCTATGAAGAATGATATTTAAGGTAAGTCATAAAATGAAGAACTAACAAGTTTAATATGATACTCATTTATTATGTCATAAAATCTTGAAAGTGACTCAGCTGAGCAAGAATACAAACAGTAGATATGATGGGCATAAACTAAAATTTCGAACTGGTGGGTGTTTTTAACACTAAGAGAGTTCATTTCATAGGTTAAAAAATGATTTATTCTAACTGGAGAATTCAAGTACTTCTCAAAATAAGTAAAAGTTAAGTAAGAGTCATTAAATTCAAGAAAGTTTTGCTAAGTTTCTAGAGCATGGTCTGCATGGTTCTATGCAGTATGCATTATAAAAAAGTAGCCTAATATCACTGTACCTGAAGGGGATATTAGCACATTCAGAACAGGGGTCTGATAGACATAAACACTACAAACCACTTGGTCCAAAATAATAAAGGCAGAGCCACCTTCTAGACACTCTAAAAACATTCCATGAGCCAGAAGAGGAGACCCACTAGATGGCAATGTCTGCTATTGTCTATGCTCTAATATAATGCCCTCAATATTTATCTTCTCTGAAATCAAAGCAATGGTTTCCCTTTTGCTTTATTCTGACATTAAAATCTTTTAAATTCTAACACTGTCTTCCAAAAGTTTTTCAACAAGTTTCACGGTAAAAGCTTCAAATGTTTGAGTTAAGCTTTAAGACCAAAATGCAATGTACAAGACACTATGTTGAAAATGAACTTTACAACTTCAGGGAGGGGGAGGGAGGAGTTGGGGAAGTGGGGCAGGAAGGGATGGTAGGGGAAAAGCAAAGGAGGGGGTAACAATGCTCAGTAGGAAATGTACTCATTACCTTACTCGTTACTCATAACTGTGACCCCTCTGTACAGTATCTTTACAATAAAAAATATATATTAAAAAAGACCAAAATGTAATCAAACATTAGCAGTTCTAACATAAATATAACAAAAATATACTTTATTTCATATACGAAATAGACAGCTATTTGATTGCCAAGATCAAAGTTCAAATTTTTATAAAGAACATAGAAACGTTTCATAAACATATAGGATCCAAAATTAATAGTTGAATGGATAATAAAAATGTGAATAAAGAAAACTATGTCTTATTTCCAATTATACTTACATGATGTCTTCTCTTTGAATAGGCCTGGAGTGATCATAAAATTAAAAAATATCTTGCCATGAATGTTACTTTTGGGCAAAGAGAAAACACTTCTACTGGTCATGTTGACACCCAGAATAAGGCCACTCTGTCCATAATTTGCCAGCATATATGGCCCATCTCCAAGTCCTAATGATACACAAGTAAGAGAATTATAAATAAACAAAGGATGTTTTTAAAATTTCTATCATGTAAATGAAATAATTTTAATTAAATACCCTAAAACTATTGAACAATTAAAAATATCACCAGTAAATTCACTGAGCTGTTTTCAAAACTAATAGAATAGTTAAGAATTTACCAGACACAGAATATGCAACTTGAAACATAGAATACATAAGTACAAATGAAGGTGTGTGCATGTGAATGTGGGAAAGAATATGTTCAAGTTTGTATTGATGTAGATGGAAAACTGAGCTGGATAGAAAACTGGCTTAAACATTTAGCCTTCAATTATTTTACCTATATGATTAAGTTGGCTCAGCTGAGCTTCCAATTCTGTGGTTCCAAGACTGTAATCTATCTCAATAAACAAAAGATACTTAGCTGGTTCAATGGCAGGTATTAAGATAATCCACTAAAATTCATTTCCCCTTAGTTGCACTGTATGGAAAAAAGAATTCACATAATATACAGTATTTTCCTATTCTAGAAGTGAGGTATGTCTATGCATAACAGAATATAAGATGAAGCTCAGGCAAGAAGTCCAAAGACTTTATAACTTACATCATAATTGTTTCCTATAAAGTAGAAAACATTTATTATGGTAAAAAATAGTCTGTGTAGAAGTAAACCTGAATCTTAATTAAAACAAATTTTCTTCACATCTCAGGAAAAGCAGTATAAAAAGGACTAGTGTGCTCATTGGTATTATTAAAAGTATGCATTCAATTTTATGATCAGGAGATCAGTTTGACTTCTATCCAATTTCTTTGTGATCTAATGTTCTCAGCATAACTGTGTATTGTTAATGTTCAAAGTTTCTTCTGCGTAATCAACTATTAAGTTAATGATTAACAGATGAATACCATTTACAGATATGTGCACATTTTGTGTTGTATGCTATAGTAATGTTAATTACATGTAGCAGGTTATATACTAAAAGATGAATAGTATTGCACTCTGTATTTCATATTCACCTTCCTCTCATTTTCATCTCAAAAACAATTTTCCCTGACCTACCCTAAGGAAGGAGAAAAGAGAGATTCAATATATATGAGAACACGATGTTCCTCCATTAAGGAGTGCGACACAGGAAAAGTAAGGGGAGAGATAAGTAGGTTAAAGGGATAAGAAGTAGAAAAGAAAACAAGGATCAAAAATTTTCAATTAGCTATGGTAAATAATGCTGCAATAAACATAGTTGTGCTGGTAGCTTTAGTATAGTCTTGTTTGTGATCAATAGGGTAAATGCTCAAAAATGGGATTGCTGGGTCATATGGGAGCTCTATGTGAAGTCTTTTGAAGAACCTCCATACTACTTTCCAAAGTGGCTGAACAAGTTTACATTCCCACCAACATATTTATAAGATGATTTCTTTGTTGCTTTGTTTGTACCTCCCCCACGATATAACCCCTGCTTTCACTATATTTGATGTTGATATAATTTATGGAGGGGAAGGGAAAAAACAAGTCATTTAAATAGGGTTACAGGTGGACCCATTACAACAATGAGATGTACAAGACATTATGTCAAAAACGAACTTTACAACTTTGGCAGGGTGGGGGGTGGGTGGTAGGGGGGTATGGGGGTGGAGGGGTGGAGAGGGGAAGGAAAGGTATGAGGAAACAAAGGAGGAGGCAACAATGCTTGATAAAAAATGTATTCACTATCTTGCCCATGTAATTGTAACCCCTCTGTACGGTATTTTCACAATAAAAAATTTTAATTAAGTTTTTTATTGTGAAAATACTGTACAGAGGGGTTAGAGTTACATGAGCAAGGTAATGAGTACATTTCTTATCCAGCATTGTTGCCTCCTCCTTTGTTTGCCCCTACCATCCCTTCCCTCCCACCTCCTCAGCTACATCCCCCATCCCCCAACAAGGATCAAAATTTATATCACATAGACCAAGCAAGAAAGGAAAGCACCCAGAGGATGGCATGTTTGGAGTTGTCCCTTCCACTAGCATCACTATAGAGCATCTGGGGACACTTACACTGTCTCTACTACCTAAAAGATAATTCTCCTGGAAGAACAAGAACCAATTGAAATCAGTGTTCCAGATGCAAATATACTCTGATTGATAAATATTTTGGTTTGGATAGAGATGCAAATAATGTGTAAAAAAGAAGATACATATGTAAATTACAGAATACAGCTCAAATGGAATTAGGTAGATATGAGTGAAGGTAGATAGATAAGATAGACAGACAGACAGATACTCAGCAACTTGAGGGCTTGGATCATTTTCAGGAACAGTTGACTTAAGAATGAGAGGAACACAAAACTAGCTTTTAATGTACTTATAATGTGCTAAGTGATCTTTTGTTTCTTTTGTATGTTCTTCCCCCATGGTATAACCCCTGTTTTCACTGTATTTGATTCCGGTGCCCTACATCTTGTATATACATTTTCCTAATTTGGGGAGGGGAAGGGAAGTCACAAAATGCTCAAATAAGGATACAGTTTGACCCATTGTAGCAATGAGCTGTACAAGAAAATGAACTTTACAACTTGGGTGGGGGGGGGAGAAAAAGAGGGTAGGGGAAAAACAAAGGAGGGGGTAACAATGCTCGATAGGAAATGTACTCATTATCTTACTCATGTAACTGTAACCCCTCTGTACAATACCTTTATAATGAAATATATATTTAATTTAAAAAAAAGAATGAGAGGAACAGTCAAACAAAATCACCCTTCCTCAACTAAAACTGCTCCTCAGGACCTAAAGAAAAACTGTTATCTGAGAAATACGTTTATAAGTACAATGTCATGGCTATTATATATAATTTTTGTGGTAGGGATTATTGAAATTGTGTTAGCTATTACCTCTAAATTCTCCTACTTAAACTTTTTTCCCTATAAAGTCACAAAGAATTATTTCTGTATTTTCTTTGACTCACAAAATGTAGTCTCTGGCATGTTGGGGTTCTTTTTTATTAAATTATTGGTTTATGTTTATTCTTTTTTATTTTAAGACAAGGTCTTGCAGACCTGGAATTCAAGATCATCCTTTCTCAGCAACTATAATGCAGAGATTACAGGGTACACCACCATATCCCCAGAGTTGGGCACATATTAAGTAAGTAAAGGAAAATAAAGATGATTCAGCTATACATGTCCCAAGAATACTGGATGATGTTACAATTGCTGAAAAAAAATGCTGTGATATTTAGGATCAAATAACTTAGTAACAGTCTTGTAAAACACTTTCTTTCTTGTCTTTTATTGTAAAAATAATGTAAAGAGGGGTTACAGATACATGAGTAAGATAATGAGTACATTTCCTATTGAGCTTTGTTACCTCCTTTGAAAACACTTTCTGATTAGTAAGAACAATCTTCATAATTCTATAATCACTTCAAAGATCTATTTCTCCTATGTTATTTTACAAATTCTTATTCTCCTGACTATATGTTCCTTCCTATTTCTTCAATTGTAGACAATAGATTTCTTTGCTATTCCATTGAGCCTACCAATGTCTTGTGAAGGTCCTCTGATGCATTAATACAGTAATACAAAATGAATAAGAACTAGTCTAGAGAAGTCTATAAACATTGAGAATTTCCCTAAATTATCTTTGTACATAATGTAGAGTCTCCAATAACAATGTATGCTGTACCTATACAAGGATGTGTTGGGGCTGGGAAGGTGGCTCAGTGGTAGAGCGCTTGCCTTGCATGCATGAGGCTCTGGGTTTGATTCCTCAGCACCACATATGCAGGGAAAAAAAGCCAGAAGTGGCGTTGTGGCTCAAGTAGTAGAGCGCTAGCCTTGAGCTGAAGAGCTGAGGGACAACGCCCAGGCCCAGAGTTTAGGCCCACGACTGGACCCCCCCACAAAAAGAAAGGGATGTGTTAACCACACATCAGTCCAAATAGCATGGGCAGCAAATTCATTAGCTCTGAAATCAGATGGTTTCCAGATCTCGTTTGACCGTATTTTGGCTAAATGATTTTAAATACGGTATGGAATCTATCTGTGCCTTAATATTACCTAGTTTGTAAAATTCAGACTAAAATAAAAATAATAAATAAAATAAAATTATATTTCAAGTTAAAATCATATGTAGTTAGTACAACAAAAGCTACTGCTATTCATAGTTTTGCTAGTATTTCTAGAAAATCAATTGCATTTTAGTCATGGAATCTAAAGGACATGAAATACAATTGTTTTTGTGTGTGTTTGTATATGTGTGTCTGTGTATATCTGTTTGTCTCTCTGTCTATCTGCCTGTCTTGGACACAATAAACAAGAAATATTTTTAAACCAGACATTTTTTTTAGATTTCCTTATCTACTTAGAGGGACATTTAAATGTTGCAACATTTAAACATCCCTCTGTGGTAAAGTCAGAAAATTAAACTTTTATAATTTCCTTAGAAATTACAATTTCCTTAGCTATTATAAAAAGTTTCTATTAAATTTCCATAAGCCTAACATAACAAAAACAATTAACTGCTAAAATGCTGGTTTTCTTTCTAATTCATCGTCTCTATTTCTCTAAAGTTATCTAGCTTTCTTCAGACATCTACAGCAGATAGATCTCTTCTTGACTTAGTAAGTGACTCAATGTGCCTTAAATTGGCTGTTTGGTTCAGATTTCCTATATCCATTATTCTAATTTACCATTCACCTGTCAGTGGTTTAGACTGATTCCAGAACCTGACAAAACCTGTCTGAATCAGTTTTGGTGCCTCTGCCTTCCTCATTAAGTAGGTTTGACAAAAAACAAACTGAATCTGCTAGTTTCTGACATTTTCACTGAAGCTAAAATTTATCTTCTTATATCTATGCCTTAGTTTTAGGCAGCACATCCTTTCAGACCTCTCACTGAAAATATGGGTGTTTGGAGTGGCTAGGAGATTTACATTATTATTATCTCAATAAATTTGTATTCTGGTGATACACAGATAATTATTTTTATCTTAGTAATAGAAAAATAAATTTCTTATATTATCATATTTTAATTTTGTTTCTTTGATTTCCACAGCATAATTAAATAATCACTACACTGTTCAATAAATCAGCAAAATTGATCCCTTTGAGTGACACTTAGTATGCTTTTGTTAACATCTTTCCTTATTCACTAACACACATACACACACACACACACATACACACACACACACACACACACACACACCTCTCCTAGGCCCTCCTAATCTCCATTTTCCTCTCTACTTCTATTAGTTACACTACTTTAGCTAACATCTTATTGAAGTGATAGAGTATTTTTCTCTATGCCTGGCTTATTTCACTCAACCTAATACTCTCTAAGGTTGGCTGCATTGTCACAAAAATGAATAGATTTCTTGTTGTAATTTTTTAAATACCATTTTGCTAGACGGTATTTTAAATGTTTCTCCACAAACAAATAATTTTGTATAACCACTATGCAAATTTGTTGCATTTTATCATTTCACTATGTCTATATGTATCAAAATATCACATTATAATCCATACAGATGTACTAGTAACAAAAGTAAAATTGAATTTAAAACTTTTGTACAATTCAAATTTGTACATACTGAGAAGGTACATATACCTTTGATGTATGTCGTTTTTCATTTAACTTAAATTTTTAAACTAATATTATTTATTAAATCTCACTATCAGAAATATTTAGTGAGGACCTTTAAGTGCCAAGAACTTAGGCTATACAATATTTTTCAGGGAATAAACTTTAATATGTATGCTTAGAGATGTAGGCAAAGTTGAAAAGTTAAAGGCTTTCATAAGTTATAAGCTAAGTTATGAACTGTGTTTACAGTATAAATTGTTTAACAGTTTTAACCTGAAACCATATCTAATTCAATAGTGATATTCATTATTAAAATGTCACATACCTTCATTGTAATATTCACAATCAAGTGCTAAAAGAAAAAAGAATAAGTAGTAAGCTACATAAACACTTATCTGAATAAATACATAAAAGAAGATGACATCCCAATGTAAGAGCATCCTCTAGACCAAAGGGAATTTTTTAAAGCGAAGTATTGCAATTAATACATCATATGCAATGATTTTAAAAAGAAACAAATAGACCTATTAATTTAGCAATATCCATCAAAGCTGTCCAAATTGTCATCTATTTATCAAGTGACTAATATACACAAGTAAATGAAACGCTTAAAGAATCAAATCTGAAGTCAAATCCAAGACAATTTAGAAGAAATGCTTCTTATAATGGTGACACTTCTCAAGTCATAAAAGGATTGAAACCATAAACAATTTCTCTGTGTGTCTGTGTGTATTTCAAATGTTTCAGGACCTTCATCAAATATAGCAGAAAAAATATCCTTTTTATCATATACTACAATTAATGATTGCCAAAGGAATATATAGACATTTAAAACCAATTCCATGGCATTGGGCTTATAATAAAACAATTTATACATTCCTCCTCCTCCTTATCTAGTCCCATCTACTTTTTTTTCCTCCTTCTTTTATGGTCCTGGGGTTTGAATTCAGGGCCTTGTGTTTATTAGGTAGGTAACCTACTACTTTTTCTTTCCTATTTTTTTTGGGGGGGGGGGGGTGCGTGGGGCTTGAACTCTGGGCCTGCGTGCTGTTCCTCAGCTCTTCAGCTCAAGGCCAGCACTCTTATCACTTGAGCCACAGCACCACTTCTAGTTTTCTAGTGGTTACTTGGAGATAAGAGTCTCATGGACTTTCCTGCCCAGGTTGACTTTGAACTGCGATTCTCCTATCTCAGCCTCCTGAGTAGCTAGGATTACAGGTGTGACCCACCGGCGCCCAGAATTGTTATTAATTTTTTTAATTTTTAATTTTTATATTTTTGTCGGTCATGGTTCCTGAACTCTGGGCCTGGGCACTGTCCCTCAGCTCTTCAGCTCAAGGCTAGCACTCTACTACTTGAGCCACAGCGCCACTTCCAGCTTTTTTCTGCTTATGTGGTGCTGAGGGCCTCATGCATGCAAGGCAAGCACTCTACCACTGAGCCACCTTCCCAGCCCCATTATTAATTTTTAATAGGATCTTCTGTTTATGTTTGGGCCAGCCTGGATCCTATGCTCCTGTTTATGCTTCTCACATCACCAGGATCACAGATGTGCACCACCACACAGATTTTTTTTCCTTTTCTCTTTCTTTCGTTCTTTTTTTGGGGAGCGGTCCGGTCATGGGGCCTGAACTCTGGGCCTGGGCGCTGTCCCTCAGCTCTTCAGCTCAAGGCTAGCACTCTACCACTTGAGCCACAGTGCCACTTCCGGCTTTTTTCTTTTTGCTTATATGGTGCTGAGAAATCGAACCCAGGGCCTCAGGCATGCAAGGCAAGCGCTCTACCACTGAGCCATCTTCCCAGCCCCTTCTTTTTCTTTTTTTTTTACTGGTTAATATACGATATCATAATTTTTCCCCCTGGGTGGGTCTCAACCATAATGCTCCAAGGCTCACCTCCCAAGTACCTGGGATTACAAGCATTAGTCACCAGCAATTTAGATCTTAAAAGGTGTCCCCCTAAGGATTCTCTAAGTAGAGTACTCACCACATACAGTGGGTGATCTCCAGTGAATTGATACCCCTTCCTGACAACACTTATAAGCATATGCTGCTACACTAGTACACAAACATTCACAGTCCCCACCAAGATTACAATTGCAGGTATCTTCATGGCAGTTTTTGGCAAAAGAAGTAACATCAATCTGAAAATGAAGTGAAAATGACATAATTTCAATAAGCACTGATTGTTTAAAACTCAAACTTCTAAGAGGAAACTAACTGGCAGGGTTTTTTTTTTGTAATTTTCATTATTTAACACTGCCACCTAGAGGGTTCTGGTTATTTCAATGCTCTACATTGCCAAAAAAGAAAAAAAGAAGAGGAGGGGGAGGGAGGGAGGGGGAGGGGGAGGAGGAGGAGGAGGAGGAGGAAGAGGAGGAGGAGGAGGAGGAGGAGGAGGAGGAGGAGGAGGAGGAGGAAAAAAGATGAAGAAGAAAGGAATTATTAGGCAGCTATCATATCAAACAACTAACAAGCAAGTAATAAGAATAACAAATACCATTTCAATATTTGTGGCATATCAGATTCATGTATTTGGATGTTCTTTGTTTCATTGTTGACATATTCACATGACATTTTAAATAGAGCATTTTCTGTGTCCAGTCACTTAGAGACTGAACATTTTCCTTCAGTCCTTTACCATGTTTATGTTTTGGTTTGCTTTTGGTTAAAGCATATAAGGAAAATCATGTCCATCTAGATATACATTTGGAAAAGGAATCTTTTTTTTTTTTTTAAATTTAATTTTATTTGTGAACATACTGTACAGAGGAGTTACAGTTACATGGGCAGGATAATGCGTACATTTCTTACCAAGCATTGCAGCCTCCTCCTTTGTTTACCCTTCACATCCCTTCCCAGCCTCCCCCCTCCCCCCCAATCCCAATCCTTCTCCTTGCGCCCCCCCCCCATGCCCACCCCCCCCCCCCACCAACGTTGTAAAGCTCGTTTTGGACATGACAACTTGTACTTCTCATTGTTGCAACAGGTCCACCTGTATCCTTAACCAACTGGTTTTTCCCCATCTCCTCCACAAGTTATACTGACATCAAATATAGTGAAAGCAGGGGTTATACTGTGGGGGAGGGACATACAAAGTAACAAAGAGATAATCTTATAAATGTGTTAGAAACACATGCATGAAAGAAAAAAACATTAAAATACACATCTAAGGGTTCATTTTCCTGACATCACATTATCTGACCTTTTCCGCTTGACTCATACATATACTAGATATTACAAATAAGGGAAACCATGGGACCTACGTTTCTTTGGGCATGGCTTACTTCACTTAATATAATTTTTGGAAAAGGAATCTTTTGGTCCCTTTTTCAGGTAACTGTTATTTAGTAAACTATAAACTTGAAAAAATACTGTTTTCTTGGGGCTGGGACGGTGGCTCAGCAGTAGAGCGCTTGCCTTGCATGCATGAGGCCCTGGGTTCGATTCCTCAGCACCACATAAGCAAAAAGAAAAAAGCTGCAAGTGGCGCTGTGGCTCAAGTGGTAGAGCGCTAGCCTTGAGCTGAAGAGCTGAGGGACAGCGCCCAGGCCCAGAGTTCAGGCCCCATGACCGGACCAAAAAAAAAAAAAAAAAAAATACTGTTTCTTAAAGATTAGGTGCAGTGTAAACCTGAAACTGCATCAACAAACTTTGTGTTTCAATATGTTAAAATCCTTTGGTTTAACAACTTGAAGATTAGGTCTTTACTTCTACTTGATTAACATCATACATTGGTCATTTGGAAAATGAACTGACTTACACAAATCTTCTAAGTAGTAATGCATCTAAATATATATAATATCAATAAATCACCTTTGTAAATAAAGTCATCTATATTATCAGAAAAGTTGCTAAGTATTATAGTACCTTCAAACTTACAGTGACAGTTACAAAGTTCTACTTTTCATTTGAAAGTTCAGATCTTTCTGGGGTTGGGAATGTGGCTTAGTGGTAAAGTGCTTGCCTAGCATACATGAAGCCCTGAGTTGGCTTCCTTAGTATCACATAAACAGAAAAATCCCGAAATTGTGCTGTGGCTCAAGTGGTAGAGCAAAAGAAGCTCATGGACAGTGCTCGAGCTCTGAATTCAAGCCCCAGGACTGGCAAAAAAAAAAAAAATTAAAAAAAGAAAGTTCAAATCTTTCAAGGACAGAAAACTGTCACTTTCCTTGATAATACAGACTTAATTCCACTCCTTTTCAAGTAAATATCTACCAGATAGTCTTGTCTGAATTACTATATTTGTCTGGAATTTGTCACTCTTCTTGTTCTTTTAAAGTATAAATGTTCACAGGAAAAAAATCACAATACTGTCTTTCCTCAAAGCAACTAGTGTATCTTTATATGCAGCAGTAATATTGTTAGACTTTTACAAATATGTTAAACTGCTTTCAAAACTTCTGTAAGGCCTAAAATTATTGTGTGGGAAAGAAGTTTAGAAAGTTGTTTCAGAATAAATAATATTCTTGGAATGTGCTCTTAAAACAACTTTAAGTGTGTCACTAATAATTCTGTTAAACTATGCTTTGGGTTAAGGAGAAGAAAGTCCAATTGGGAATACTCCCTGAAGACTAACATTTATGCAAAGTAGCTAAGAAATACTTCCCTAAGGCACTAATTGGGTGAAAATTAGTAAGATCTAATGTCAAAAACTAATCTCAGTATAACGGATGCCTGGGATTCCAGCTAAGCAGAAGATGTAAAAAGGAGGATCAATGTCTAAGGCCACAGCCTAGTCAAAAATACAAAAACCTATCAGAAAAATAACTAAAGCAAAACAGGCTACAGTCATGGCTCAAGTGCTATAGCACCCGCTAATCAAGTGTAAAGCCCTAAGTTCAAACCCCCAGTTCCACCAAAACAATAATACTTCATAAGACAGAAAATATTACAAGTGATATGTATAGGCAGAGGCTGTTAAATAAGTGCCAGGAACAAGAGAGCTAGTCCAGTAAATATATTACTTCTACAGAAAACCACTATCAAATAGGTTCTCCTTATGAGAGTTCAGTGATATATCTGAAAGAAAGAAATTCCTGGGAATCTAAGCTCTTTGTCTCTCATCTGTCTGATATAGATACAGCTGTACCTCTTAACATTTGGGAATTAGTAAAGAAGTCACTTACCACATTGCGACAAGGAGCAAAGACATCACTGTACAAAATGGAGCATTCTTTCTTGGCATAAGGAAATTTGTTTTGATGAGCTTCACAGGGTTTCATTGCTTCAACTGGATCTTCACACTGTTGAGATTGTTAAGAGTAAGGAAGATCTTAAAGACAGGATTTCTCAAACAGACCCCTAAATAACCTTGCATACTCCATCCATGCCAGTGACATCTAACATTCTCATCCATTGAGCTGGGCTTTGCCTACAACATCTGCTTTCATTCATATATGGTTAATAGTATTTGAATAGTATTTGTCTTCTTTAACAGCAACTGAGTATTAAAAAGCATAGCAATAGCCAGTGTCAGTGGCTCATGCCTGTAATCCTAGCTACTCAGGAGGCTGAGATCTCAGTTCAAAGCCAGCCTGGGCAGAAAAGGCCGTGAGACTCTTATCTCCAATAAACCACTCAGAAAACCGGAAATGGTGCTGTGGTTCAATTGGTAGAGAGCTAGCCTTGAGCTGAAGAACTGAGGGATAGCGCCCAGGCTGAGAGTTCAAGCCCCAAAACTAACCAAAAGAAAAAGAAGAAGCATAGAAATATTAGAAAGAGAATGGAAATATATTGATTTTTCTTAAGTGCAGCATTTGCTTGACAAATGCTATGAGCAGGAGCCTTGTTCCATGAATATTTTCCTCTTTCGTTTTTGTCACAGTCTGTCTTCCTGGATATTGTATTCATGTCTTTGCAGCCTCAACTTCCCTGAGCTCCAATCCTCACATCTACTTCCCTGAAACTGCGCTGAGAAAGAATTGACCTCCCTCCTCCCCCAGAGACCTCTTCGCTATTAAACATAAAGGCAGTTTTGCAATCTGCAAAGCTTGACCTTTCTGCTTAGCACTTGGCCCTTCTTAAATGTCTCTTCATTTGGCTTCAGCAGCATGACTTGCTGAGTTTCTGTTGCTGCCATTCCCCAACCTCCAGCTCCCTCCTCTCTTGACACAGTTTTCTTCTTAAACCTGTATTTTTCTCATTTAATACAGGTGCCATGACTTCAACAACCTAAATATACGACTGTCCGAACCCTGTTTCATCCCAGACCTTGTTTGTACTTCTAAACTGGTCACCTAAATATCTCCCAGGCATATCTCACAACACGTTCTTCAACCAAAATGATTACTTTCATCTTTAATGAAATTTGGAGTTAATTTTCTTTATGTAAACCGTAGTTTGTATATTTATATTTGTAGTTGCATAGTTTTCTCATCTCCACTGATGATGTTCTAGCTAGAATGTTGGAGCCTTGTGACCCTAATATCTTGCAAATCTGTACTTTGCATTCCAGCTATTCTCTAGTTCAAACTATTCACCACAATAATATTGACTTTTTTAAAAAATTCATTTTATGCACTCTAATCTATCCATCCTCTCTCGCACTTGTGAGGCAGCTCCTGCCTCTTTTTGCTATCTTCTCTTCCATAAAATTTTCCTCCCCACATCTTGTAATTCTTAAAGAATTCATCCCCCGATCACCTTCTCCAAGAACCATCCTATCTACATACTGTATGCTTCTATCAGAGCACCTATCTTACAATTATTTTTATTGTTAATTTTCTTGACCTCACTAAGCTAATCTTTGAAACTTCTTAGCAAGAAAGTATGTCTTTTTGATATTCAGAATCTAAATATAATGGAAAAACTAGTGCTAAATAAAACTTAGAGAATGAACTTAAGAGTAAAAAGAGGGATAAGACTGACCAATGGTTGCTAAATTGTAGCTTGGTAAGAAGAATGTGTGTTATGCTATCATTGCATAGTCAAATGACTATGGATAGTGACTGTATACTATATATCTCAAAAAAGCTAGCAGAAAGGATTTGGGAAGATTTGTTTTAGTGACAAATGGACTGGAGGTAATGGCTCACACTTGCAACTCCAGCAACTTGTGAGATAGAGACTGGGAGATTATGGTTTGAGGTCACCCTGATTAAGACTCCAACTGAACAATGAAGCCCAGTGAAGTGGTGTAGCCAAGTGATTAGGTCAAAGATGTAGGTAAGAAGATAATGGTCCAAGCTGGGTGCCAGTGGCTCATGTCTGTAACCCTAACTACTTAGAAGGCTGAGATTTAAGGATCAGAGTTCAAAGCCATCCAGGGCATGAAATTCCATGAGATTGCTATCTCCAATTAACCACCAAAAAACTGGAAGCGGTGCTGTGTCAAGGAACTAGCTTTGAGCAAAAAGCTCAGGGATGGCACCCAGTCCCTGAGTCCAAGCCCCACAAGTAACAACGACAAAAAAAATATCATGGTCCAAAGTTTGCCTCGGCAGAAAATATGAGATATCATCTGCAAAATAATTAAAGCACTAATGAAAACAAATGATGATTTGACTTTTAGATCATTCTATGAGATATAAATATGGAACTTCATTTTATGACATTTAAAATCATTTAACATTCTTAATGTTTCAGAATTATGAGAAACTTGTTATTCACTGATTCATTTGCAAATAGGAGAAATCTACAAAACTTCTACATTCATGAGAAATGAATATGGTCATAATTAAAAGAATTTTGTCTCTTTCAGTAGGTATTTTAGATAATTAAAAAATAAAATCTTGGTGCAATATCACACTGAAATAAACTGCTCAATTTTTACACAATCAGAGATGTTTAAACCCATCTTCTGTTGATTTTTTAAATGTCTTAATACATGTTAAGAGTATTTTGCAAAGAACTAAAGTAAATAACCACATGGTTGGCAACCAATCAAGAAATTATCATTTCATAATACTAGCCATAAAAACAACATTACAAGGAAAGAATACTATCAAGTCCTAATTTGGATCTGTTTTTAGTTAATTCAACATTTAAGATGTGTTCCATTGAACAATACCTTATTGAAAGTTTGTAAGTTAAGGTACAATTTCATGTTAGTTGACTTTGAGAAATCCTTCAAACACTCCCCTCCTTTATGGGTGTATAAAGCCTCAAGTAATCTTCCAAAAGAAACATGTAAGTAAGCCAGGTCCCATGGTTTCCCTTATCTGCAATAACTAGTATATGTCTAGGACAAGCAGAAAAGGTCAAAAGCTATATCTATATGACCATATGAGCAGATGCTAAGAAAAATGAACCCCAAGATGGGGACATAAGAGGTTTTATGTTTTGTTGCTGTTGCTTTTAATGTACTTATAATGTACTATGTGATTTTTTTGTTTCTCTTGTATGTTCTTCCCCCAGGGTATAACCCCTGTTTTTACTTTATTTATTCTGGTGCCCTACATCTCATATATACATTTTTCTAATTTGGGGAGGGGAAGGAAAATAACAAAAAACTGAAATAAGGATACAGGTTGACCCATTGTAAAAATGAGATGTACAAGACACTATGTTGAAAATGAACTTCACAACTTCGGGGGGAAGGAGGGAGAGAGGGGTTGGGGAGGTGGGGAAGGAGGAGATGGTAGGAGAAAAACAAAGGAGGGGGTAATAATGCTCAATAGAAAATATACTCATTACCTTACACATGTAACTGTACCCCCTCTCTACAGTATCTTTACAATACATATTAGAAAAATATATATTAGAAAAAACATGCCTAACAACTTATTTAATTTTCCCCAAAGGCAGACATCCAACATGTTCTTCCCTATATGCATGCGTGTGTGCACATCTTTGTGTTGTGCAGCATTAACAGAGGTTGTGTTCTAGAAAACAAATGTTAAAAGACATTCTGCTAGTATTTATTCATTGTTTTAAGATGGCAAGTGTATATACGTCTTAGAAATGCAGATATATTGGCAAGGTATCTTGCTATGGCCAGGAAAACATGAGGAAGAAAATGTAAGTTCACACATAATCTCTGCTACTTCCTGGCTATATAACGCACAAGGTGACACAGGTCACCTGAACTCAGTAAGATTCAATTTCTTCATCCATGGGACAGGGCATCATAAGTATGCATCATAAGTTTGTCACTCAAATGCATTGGAAGAGAAATCTGAAAATTCATCCATCATAAATTACTGTAGACCATTATGAAAAAATATTAACATAAATATATTTAGAATATAATTTAATGTTTTATTCAAAGAATAAAATTTCCTAATAAAAAGTTGTAAAATATGTTGTCTTATTCTAAAATACATATACTTAACGTACCTGTCCTAATGCCCAACTATCTCCAAATACCTGAGCATTTCGTATTTCCAAATTATTAGATGTGGTCATATCATTTGAAGTACATTTGTCAAAGTTTCCACACAATCCTGACAGTTTATTCTAAAGTAAGAGACAAATATCACGAAACATTTTATATTTAACATTTACAGACTCATATCCAAAGTTTGAAAGATTAAAACATACAGCTATTAAATTCGAAAGCAATTATCTACAAAGAGAAATAAGTTGAAGAAAGTTATTTTCTTACCTATTTAGTTTTAAATGTGATTATTTGCCAGCCTCCAAATCTTTTACTAATTCACAAGTTACAAACATTTTAGAACTGATGCTACTAATAACATGAATAAGTCAGAAAAACTATAAGCAGACACTATTATATACATATAGTATGTATATATATATATATGTTTGTAAGTATATATAGCTATATCAGTATATATCTATATGTTTTATAAGTATATAAGTCTAGATATATTCCTATATACTTATAACACTTTTAAACTTATTAAAATATTCTTAATATTGAACAAAATAGAGAAAATAGATTGCAGCAAATGAATCTAATTGTACTACAATCAAAGCTGAAAAACAGAGGAAGAAAATTGTTGATCTAGGCAATCCTGGAAAATATACTATTAGGTGAAAGTAAAAAGGATCAGAATTCACATCACTGGCTTCTAGTTGGTAACATTTTTCAAAGGGGTTAAGTAATTCTGAAAATATTGCGTTTTTCTTTCTATCAAACATCAAAAGATAAATGCAGTTTCATTTCATACATCAACTGTATAGGTTAGGTTAACTTACTTTCCACTGTGGTCCAACTTTGATATGAATAGTTGTCTTCTGATCCCAAAGAACAGTAACATCTTCCTCTGGGAAGTACACCACCGTGTAGTATCCAGCCTTCCAAAGCTGGTAGGTAGGTTTATTTTCTAGAAAGAAACCTGATCGTTTCTTCTAAAAATAATAATAACAATAAACTGTTGGTGGGAGTGTAAACTTGTTCAACCACTTTGGAAAGCAGTATGGAACTTCCTCAAAAGACTCCACATAGAGCTCCCCTATGACCCAGCAATCCCACTTTTGGGCATTTACCCAAATGATCACAAACAATACCACACTAAAGCTACCAGCACAACTATGTTTATTGCAGCATTATTAACCATAGCTAAGTTATGGAACTAATCCAGATGCCCCTTGGTAGATGAAAGGATCAAGAAAATTTGATACATATATATGTATATATATATATATATATATACACACACACACACACACACACACACACACACACACAATGGAATTCTATGCCTCCATCAGAAAGAATGACATCGCCCCATTTGTTAGGAAATGGAAAGACTTGGAAAAAACTATGTTAAGTGAAGTAAGCCAGGCTCAAAGAAACATAGGTTCCATGGTTTTCCTTATTTGCAATAACTAGTATATGTCTGGGACAAGTAGAAAAGATCAAAAGCTATGTACATATGACCAGATAAGATGAAGTTAAGCAAAATGAACCCCAAGATAGGGACACAAGGGTTTTTTTCTTTCTTGCTATTGTTTCTAATGTATTTATAAGGTACCATGTGATTTTTTTTGTTGCTTTGTATGTTCCTCCCCTGTATAACCCCTGTTTTCACTGTATTTGATGTCTGTATAATTTGGGGAGGGGAAGGGAAAAAACAAAATGTTTAAATAGTGATACAAGTCGACCCATTGTAACAATGAGATGTACAAAACACTATGTTGAAAAACCAACTTCTCAATTTAGGCGGGGGGGTGGGGGATGTTTGGAGGGGGGGGAGTGTAGTTGTGGAGGTGGGAGGGAAGGGATGGTAGGGGAAAAACAAAGGAAGAGGCAACAATGCTCTATAAGAAATGTACTCATTACCTTGCTCATGTAACTGTAACCCTCTGTACAGTATTTTCACAATAAAAAAACTTATTAAAATAATAACAAATAAGAGTACCCTGTTTTCTAATCAGGATGTATAAAAAATTATATCAATATCTGCCAATAACTACCTATATACTAGTATTATTTCTTGGTCATGTCTTTTTTGAATTCTGTAAAGAAAATCGAAGACATAAAGTAGGAAATACATAAGACTGATAATTAGATGCAGACTCATAGAAGGGCTCAACATGGATAAATGTGCAAAAGTAAAATTTTTATCAGTTATGGAGAACACAAAACCAAAACATGGGAATAACCATGAAGGACATTAAGAAATGAGAGAGAAGATGAGTTACTCTCAAAGGGATTAGGAAAGTCTCTTGTCAAAGGTAGGATGTGAACTGATTTGTACACCTTTATACACAGGAAAGTATACCTGGTGATGATAATGAAGAAGTTATCCTAAGAATAAGAAATGGATTAAATCAAGTTTAGGGGAAGAAATGTCCAAGACATGTTCAGGACTAGAAAAAAATCATCTAAGGGCTATAGCATGGATTATCTGATAGTCTGATACTCATAACAGAGTAACTATCTTAGGTACAGAATATAGTCAGTAAAGTGAAAGGGAAGTGACATTGCATATTTAAAGAAAATAATATTTATTCTAGAAAATAATGTCTCTGCATATTTAAAGAAAATAGTGAATATGCAAAAGTCAAAAGTAGAGAGACATTAAAGATGAAATACACAGGAAAACTAATTTAGAGTTCCTTTCTCAGGCAGAGTGAGAATATGAAAACAGAGTATTCGCCCAAATATAATTATATTGACTATAACCTTGAAATTAACTTAAATAATAGCTTTAAAAATACATGATTGTGTCAAAGTAGGTAAAACTAATTTATCCAGAAGCAGAAGAAAAAGGTGAAGGAGATATGAAATCCTTTCCTCACTTTTCTCCCCAAAGTAATAACAGAAACATAGCTTGAGGATAATTCTACTGCAGTGGCATTTAAATAAATATGTCAAAGGACAAATAAAATAAACCTAATTATATCCCTATGAAGCTTTCAGTCTCTTAGGCCATGGCTGCATTTAAACGAGGTGTGTAGTACTGCATTATACAGAAGATACACCTGCATACATTGATGGCTGCTTATACTAACCTCACATTCTTCTGTTCCTCAAATCCTGCTGTATTGACTATGCTCCAACCAGACTGCCTTTCTTTCTATACTTCCTGTTTTTTCAAGATTAGGCCATCTCAAGTCCTCTTGGTTTTCTTCCTGCTAGGTCTTTTCTCCCAGAAAAGTTGATTGTCTTATTTATACAAACCGTCCCATGCTGCTCCCTCCTCAGAAAGGTCTCCTTTATGGCCCTCAAAAATCTCTTACTCCATTTCCCCAATGGACTGGATTGGTGAGCACTTGGCTAGTCAGTCCATGCTCAGTGAAGGGGTCCCCCCTTTAGAATTTAAATTCTAATAATTTTCCTTTGAATATGTGCTCAGTAAGGAAAGTCCATTGGCACAAACAGTACATAACAGTGCCTCAGAGCATCTACTCAGGTGGCTTTCCTCTTCCAAATGTGGCCCAGTTTCCAAGGACTGATCCTCAGCAGCCTGCTTTTCTGCCCTGCCCAGGGACTACATACTGTAAATGTCTATCATGCAGAGCTAGGGCGAGGGGAAGTTAGGCACACGGACTTCATTGCCTACAAGCAAGATCCTCAGCATTGTGTGGGTCTGCACTCTCCTCAGGAAGAACTGCTGTGTCCAAGAGAGCACAGAATTAAATGATTTTTTTTTAAAGAAAGAAAGAAATACCATGACAGGTCAAGAAAAACATGAAACAAAGTTTTTTGTTTTTGTTTTTGTCGGTCGCAGGGCTTGAACTCTGGGCCTGGGCACTGACCTCAGCTCTTCAGCTCAAAGCTAGTGCTTTACCACCTGAGCAACAGCACAGCACCACTTTCGTGGGTTTTTTTGTTTTTTGTTTGTTTGTTTTGGTTTTTTTCTGAGTGGCTTATTGGAGATAAGTCTCCCTAACTTTTCTTGCTTGGGTTGGCTTTGAACTGCGATCCAGAGATCTCAGCCTCCTGAGTAACTAGGATTACAGGCGTGAGCCACCAGTGCCCAGCCGAAACAAAGTTTTGTCATAGTTGTTGTCCTTTTAAAAAATTGCTGTAACAAGTGAACCCACATTTTTCATTTGGGTCCTACAATTTGTGTAACCAGATCTGCCACACGGGTACTCTGCTAGAAAATCTATTTAAAACCTATTTGTTTTCATTACACTTAGTAGTAGCTAGTAATTCAACTCATGTTTGACATTATTGCCTTTCCTTACAGGTTGGTTTTAAATTAGTTATTAAGATGCAAAAGATTAGACAAGGAAGTTTACTGTAAGATAATAAAACCATGTATAGTTTAGATAAACTAAACATATATTTCCTTCATGCCTGATTGAATTAGGACCATGTCTATATTTTTTAAAAAAAACAGATTTTCCCCTTTTCCTTGGATAAACCATTTGTCATAAATAAATGGTCATTTTTTCCTTATGATGTTTACTTGTGTTCTTCTACAAGTATCTATTAGTAGGGGATTTTTTAGGGACAAATTATTTTTGTGACTTTTCTTACCCAAACTTCATTGTTTATATCCTATCTAAAGATACTTCATCAACACCCACATATGGATGAAAATCGGAAGTTGAAAATTACACAGAGCTGTAATTACCACTTCAAGAATGTGTCAAACAGTTTTTATGTGAGCATTTACCATTTTCTCTGGTGTTTTTTGTTTAAACACTGTGGTCATAAAGAAAACTTTCATTTATAAATGAATAGCCAGTTGATGGCTAGGCCAAAGTCCTGTAATTATTTCAAAAAGATGTCAATGTGACTGAAGAGGCTCTGTTTTGTCCAAAGTGTGATTATTTCCTGGTTGGTTTCAATGTTTCTACCTTAGATATGTTTTAAAGAAGTAGTTTTCCAACCTTAGTAGGAGAATTTGGGATACTTTAAAGAATACTCACTTAATTTAAATCTTATCCACTGAAGTTATGAGGCAGAACATGGAAATCAGCAGCATATATGACAAATATTGCAGATGGCTCTAGTTAAGATCTGCATACCAAACTTAGAGAAATGGTATTCTGAAGCCTTAGAAAAGTGGTCATTTTTTAAAGGACCATTTATCAGATCATATTTAGTAAACCTGCCTTGCTGTTTTGATCAAACAAATTTTCAAAAGCAAAAGTTATAAATTCCCGTGTGGACACTGGGCAGTTCATTTGATACAGAAAAGCTCTGTCAGTTATTGATTGTCTTTAAATTATTTTGTGATCTATGAAGTGCTCCCTTAGCCTTAATTCTATAAAAATACATTAGACATCCAAAAGCAAATGTTGCCAGAAAAGGCAAAAGTGAAGAGGTAAGATGTTAGATTTTTTATGGAAGTCAGATTTGCTTTTTTCTCACATTTTTATCAGCACTCATTACCTGTACAAGGGTGTTTCATTTTGGCATACCCTGTAGTGTGCAGTATATGTATGTATGTATGTATGTATTAAATAGACCTGCATTAGACTCACTCCCTCTGGCACTTCGCTTCTTCTCCCCCACTTTCTAAACTGATTTCAAAAAGCTCTATTGTTCTGTTTTAGCAATGTACATAAATGTACATAAATTTTAACCATATTCACTGTCTACATTTGTCCTTTTGGCTCCCACTAGTATTTCACATCTTTAACTGAAATTTCCTGTCATCCTGAAAATCTTAGATTTGTTGAGAATCTTTGATTTGTTGGTTTGTCCTTAGCAGAAGTAGAGTTGCTTAATGGGGGGAAATATTACAGTACTAAACTCTATGTATCCTATGATTTCAGAGTTATTTTTTTTTCTCAGCAGTACTCTTCTGGAAGAGCAAAACCTATGGATGTCAAAGGTTTACTATGCTTCCCATTTTCAAAAGTTCTCGGAATCTGAATGTCTTCTGTTATTTAAGGACTTCTATAGTGTAGATGTGTCCACTACTGGACAACTGTTCTTGACCCCTGCCTAGTAAGGAGATATCCCCCCTTGAATCTCTTCATCTAGTATCTGTCCTTCACCTATTATCCCATATGCCCTGCTTAAACAAAATGAAACCACTTGCACTTATCTATACACGCCAATTTTGTCTTCCAACTGTGCTTCCTTAAGTATGAGCATTCTCTATTGTCATTCTACTCCCTGTCTTCATTGAGCCAGTACCTACTTGTCCTTTAGGATGTAGTCCAGATTGTTTCATACAGAGCCTATCTTCTGGGCCTTTAGAATTAAGAAGGATGAAAGAGAAGAAGGGAACCATTTCTTGAAATCTGTTATTTCACATTATGATGAAAATCCCCAATTGAGCTCAAGATTGTGACGATCATCCAAAATTTACAGATGGGAAAGCTGCAGTTTGAAAAGCTATGAACCTTGTCTGGTATGACACAGATAGCAGGTCACAAACAGGGGTTTTAAGTCACTACTATCTCCAAAATCTATGCTCTTAACAATCACTCTAACCATCCAAGTTTGCTGTAGGCATTCCCAGAAGTTCCAATAATAATACCTTTATAGACTCTTGCCTTGCCATATCATGCTGCACATCTTTATGTACCTGAATGTATCACTCACATGAGTGTAAGTTAAAGGCAAGCATGATTCACAGTTGTAGTCTCAATACAGTTTTGATATACAGAAGATATTGTGAATGGATGAATGAATGAATCAAATTATTTGTTTTGTTAGATTTGCGAGGGTTCTAAGGGTACAAGAATTAGTGAAGGAAGTTATGATCTCAGTTATTACACAGCTCAATATAATTGAGAGAGATAGACAACCACATAAGTAACTTCTCCAAGATGTAACAGGATACTTGAAGGCATAAGGAGGAGGAGCTTCCTGAAGAAGGGAAGACATCGTGCATGAGAATATGTCAAACTGAAAGTCATACCAAGATAGAAGCAATGATATTTCATGAAGGAATAGAGGTATAAGACTATAGAGTATGTAAACCAGGTGAGGGGGCTCTCCAAATTCTGGAATGTGAGTTTGAAATAGAAAGAGATAAGAGATGAGACAGGAAGGTGAAAACAGCAGCTTCTACAAAGCCAGGTACGAGCAATGAAGAGGCATGTGAAAGTTTTGAAGCATTAAGCTGGCTTCCCATTTCAGTAAGGAGCTGGGTGGAGCTGAGAGAGATGGGGAGAATGATGGAAGGAACGGTATTGATCAAGATGCACTGTGCTCACCAAGGGATATGCGGACCTGAAACTCCTTGCTACAACTGCTTGAAGATAATACAAAACTTTAAAAAGAAAAACCATTCTAATTATAGTATGTGAGGATGGATTACAGGAGAAGGACAATGACTGGAGGTCAGACACAACGTGGAGGTACGGGAGCAGTCTAGGAAGTTAGTGTCCGTTGATGACCATAAAAATGAAGAAACAATTGGGGATATGAAGAAGTGGAGTGTAAACAGAAGAAATGAGGAATGCATGATAAAAGTCGCATAAAATGACAAATATGCAAACGTAACTGACATAAAAAAATACGCTGAAGCATTTCATTCTATTTTCAGTATCCTCAGGACAAACTAAAATGATCCTAAAAAAAATAATTCACTAACCTGTTTGTAAGGAGTATCATTCAGATAAATTTCAGTGTCCCCAACTGAAATCAAGACACTTTTAGAACAAACAATATCATTGTCGAAGCACTTCTTATTCTGGGAAATCACAGATATATCTGAATCATCTGTAGTCTGAAATGTCAAAGACATTTTATTAATATACAAATTCAGTATACCTAACTTTATTTTTATTAGCAATCAAGATCCCAATTTATAATGGGTTACATTAGAATTGAAAATATTCTACTTCTAAAATCAACAAAATTATCTTAATCTAATAACATAAAAGTATTTATGGAAAAAATAGCTCAACATTTAAACACATGCTTCTAATAACACTACTAAAGTTTTGATCTAGCAAAGCTTTTTATACATTTTAAACTCAAGTTTATTAACTATTATCATCATTTTCTTTATCAACAAATAACCAGCAAGTCAATCATTCACTTAAGGGAGTCCTAGAATAACTATCGTCAGGCAAGCCTACATTTTGCTTCATTTTAGAGAGTTTATTGGCTGAATAGTTTTTGCACTCAAGTTAGAACTGTAATAATTACAAAACTATGGCATGCATTAGTAAATTAAAAATGTATATTCTTTACAGATGTTGTTTTAAGCCTGGTATAGGATACCTTACTTAATTCTTATGATAACTTTTAAATTTATTTTGATGAGATTTTTACAGATCAGGAAACAGGTTAAGAAGGATAATTGGGGTGGAATCTCAATGTTGTTTTGACTTGCATTTCTTTTATGGGTAGAGAAGTTGAACATTTCTTCATGTGTCTATTGGCCATTCTCATTTCCTCTTCAGAGAAGTTTCTCTTTAAGTCTTTAGCCGATTTATTTATGGGGCAGTTGTTTCTTTGAGGATTTCTTGTTGGGGGATTTAATTTTTTGAGTTCCAAGTATATTTTAGATAGGAAACCCTTATCTGTTGTATGCATGGTGAAATCATTCAAGTTTTCTTAGATAAATAACTGCAGAGACAGAATTCAAAAGTCTAATCTGTTTTGAATTGTTTTCCTACTATTGGTGGAGAAATTGAGGGTGGATTTGCAATGTTTGAGGAGAAAAATCAACATCAGGCTACAAGTAATCTGTACTTTCAAAAAGCATTACTTAGCATCCACAGGCTAAATCTAAGCTCTGTTTAGACTCTCTCCCCCAACTTTACACTCCATCCCGTAGAACATGCTCCAAAGAACCATTTCCTAACTTTGTCTTCCAGTTTCACAGATGGCTGCTCAGATTTTGGAGAATTCAGAAATTCATTATAAAATGTTATATTAAGCATCTGTATATTTTATTTTTAATCAACAAATTCATTTTCAGTGTATTTGTAAGACATTATGGTATGTTGATACAATGTAGAATAATTAACATATTAATGATCTCATTATACATATCACTTTTCCAGGAAGAAAGTCCATGAGTTTCTGGCAAATTTCCAAAGTGGTCTTCTCTACTCAAAAGTTGGAAGTTACCACTTGACATTTTGCTAACTTAAGGAAGGTTAGAATTTGATCAAAAGGGAGGGAAGGAATGTGATGTTTCTCTTTGGACCAAATGTGCAATTTTCAATGATTTGCATACATTTCTTGATGCTTTTCCGTTGTGAGATACGTGAGTGAATTTTGTTTGCATAGTGAGATAAGGCTTTTAAATTCTTAGTAGTCAAATAGGACTTCATGTAAATTCTTCACACATAGTTTCTCACATCACTAGTAATATGAACACCGGATCAATATGTTTCTAGTTCAGTCACACTCTTCCTGACTTATTAGTAATTACTTTAGCCTTGTGCCTGGCGGACAGATTTTCAATGAAGGGGGTTGATGGAAGAATTAATGTGTCTCTCTGTGACTCATTTTTCCTTGGTAAGTGCTGAACACTTTTATTCCTCTTAAACAATTCTTTCACAATGCATTGCCAAAATTTTGAAAAGTAGAATAATAAGAGCCATTAAGATGATTATAGGATTGTGCTGCTCAAAAGAGTAATACCATACTTTATGCTTTCATGAATGGTTTTCAAAGAAGAAAGAAAGCACAGAATTCAGAGATTTTGTTTTGCTCTTCCTGTTCAGAAGAGTTATTATATTAAAGGATGAGAAATGCATGCTGCAAAGCTTCTATTGCCATTAAATTTCTATTCTTATTCCTCGAAGTGTTCAATGTTAGCTATATTTTTATATTAAGTAAAAAATGTCAAGATATATTCCATGTTAGATTGTCTGTCTTATAACATCATGCTTTGCTGACAGAAATCTAGAACAACAGAAATGTCTAAGAGTTGTGTTTCTACAATTTCTATTTCTAATCTATTTCAAGTTAATATTAGGTTTAGAAATAATGCCAGAGGGTTGCTAGGCAACATAGTAAGTAATGATTACAAAGCTAGAGAAAAAAGGTCAATATCAGTTTGTTACATGAATTCCTCACACCCTTTATTCTCTTTATTCTGAAAGCTCTGACGGAGGACATTTCCTCTTAATGATTCCAAAATTTGAACTGTCAGCAACTGTCAAGGTATATATTAATTACTATATTTCATGTCAATCTCAGTACTTGGTCCCATGACAACCCCAACCCCTTTAAAAATCTCTGCAGATATGGTAGCTTATAGATCAATAAATAAATAAACAGGATCTGTATCTTCAAAGTATTTTGAGACTACAACCAACAGTTTTGTAGAGGAAACAGATGTGGGGATATGGAAATTGTGGGGCCTGGTATTTTAAGAAACTTCAGGTAAAAGGCACCAGAGTAGACAGTGTAATCAGAGAAACAGAAAAATGAGGCAAGAGGGGGAAAAAAGAAGAGAAAAGATACTTAATTGGATTTTGCATCTAGGTAGTTATTGACTTTTGTGATGATGTTTTTATATTAGTTTTGTAATAAAGTGAAAAATGCAATTCTCCTGCATCTGGAATTTTTAATCAACAGGAATGGAAAAAGAGGAAAGAAGGCTATTTAATAAGGAAGGGGAAACTGAATCCCTGTTCACAGAAGTGACTCCAGACTCTAAAGTGGCAGGAAGTAAATGAACGATGCTGCAGCCATCCTATGCCTCATAGGAAATACTGACTCTCAGAAGAAGAAAAAAACCTTTTTTATGTTTCACAGGAACTTTCTTAGTGGGTGAAATAAGCAAAGAATCAGAAAGAATGACATTGCCCATTTGTTAAGAAATGGAAAAGATTTGGTAAAAAAAATTATATTAAGTGAAGTAAGCCAGGCCCAAAGAAACATAGGTCCCATGGTTTCCTTTATTTGCAATAACTGGTATATGTCTAGCACAAGCAGAAAAGGTCAAAAGCTATGTACATATGATCATATAAGATGATCATAAGTGAAATGAACCCCAAGATAGGGACACATGTGGTTTGTTCTTTCTTGCTATTTATTGTTTTTAACATATTTATAATGTCCTATGTGATTTTTTTTTTGTTTCTTTGGTATGTTCTTCCACCACGGTATAACCCCTGTTTTCACTGTATTTGATTCTGGTGCCCTGCATCTTGTATATACGTTTTTCTAATTTGGGGAGGGGAAAGGAAATAACAAAATGCTGAAATAAGGATACAGGTTGACCCATTGTAACAATGAGATGTACAAGACACTATGTTGAAAACAAACTACAATTTCAGCGGGGGTGGGGGTTGGGGGCGAGGCATAGGAGAGGTGAGGAGGGAAGGGATGGTAGGGGTAAAACAAAGGAGGAGGTAACAATGCTCGATAGGAAATGCACTCATTGCCTTACTCATGTAACTGTAATCCCTCTGTACAGTATTTTTACAATAAAAACATATTTTAAAATAAAATAAAATGGAATTCCATGAACAAAAAAGAAATTAGGTAGTAGAATGGTAATTTATTATTAATAGTTTCTCTCTATCCAAATTACTAAATTAAGTTCAGTACAGGCTGTTCTGAAATCTATTCTTTTCAAACAATTTTTGGGGGAAAAACATTGAAAAATGTAAGAAAATTAAAGAATATTTTTGTTTTGTCATAAAAAGGCACATATAATTCTATAACTTAGTTTGGACATTTTTTTCTAAACTAGGGTATCTCTATATAGCCCAAGATGTCTTGGAACTTGAAATCTTTCTACCTCAGCTCTCCAAGTGCTGGGATTACAGCCATGAACCACCACACTAAGCTCAATTTAGATTTTAATACTATGCATATTTAATTCTTATTAAGTGAACTAATCCTCAACCAGGTATTAATCCAAGCTTAACTGTTACTAAAAAATTGGAAAACTTCCTTATGGTGTGTCTTCTCATACACGGGCAAGCAACTCTATCAAAAACTGAACATGACTGGTATGTATTTATTATAGCATAAGGAATGGACTTGAGTTCTGACTTCTTAATAATCCATCCATTTTTGCTTTATGTCTACAAACCATATTTTGACTAGTAGGGATGGAATGAATTTGAAACAACAAAAATTCAATAATATCCTAAAAGTATCCCAAGGTGATGTACACTGATACTAAAATTAAGAAGTGTTATCTTTGGAAGTGGCACTGTGGCTCAAGTGGTAGAGTAGTAGCTTTGAGCTGAAGAGCTGAGGGAGAGCATCTCGGCCCAGAGATCAAGCCCCACAACTGACAATAAAAGAAAGAAAGGAAGAAAGAAGGAAGGAAGGAAGGAAGGAAGGAAGGAAGGAAGGAAGGAAGGAAGGAAGGAAGGAAGGAAGGAAGGAAGGAAGGAAGGAAGGAAAGAAAAAAAATGAAAGAATGAAAGAAAGAAAGAAATATTATATACTTCATAATGAGTGGATTTTTCATAAATATTAATGGCTCAGTTAAAAAAATAACTGAGTTTACATTTGTTGCCTCTGCACATATAATTGTGATATACAAACTACCAAGCCAGTAGAATACGAGAACAGGACAGATCAATATGGGCTAGAAACTTTTATTTGAGACAGCAGAGGACCTCAGATATAGACAATTTGCTGAGTAAAGACAGAAGAAAAACTAAGAGACCTCAGAAAGACTGGCAGAGAATTTTTATATGAAACAGGTCACATGAAGAACCACAAAGATTGGGTGGTTAGCATAGTCTTAGCCACAGTCTTTGTGGTTCTTAATGAGAAATGACACATATAGTACTAGAAATATTAATGGAACGAGACAATTTGTCATAGAGAGGAACTTGAGCTGGAAAGACAGCTCAAGAGTAAAGGGTTAGAGGTGTACATATTGATTTGGGAGTTATTGGTCAGAAGTATAGCTAAGCTCATAGGAGCAGGAGAAGACATCAGACATTAGGAAAGAAGGGCAGAGAACCAAGAGCTCTGTCAACACTTAATGGACCACACTGTATTCCCATCATGGTGTTCCTCTCTTGTGAAACAATGATGACTAAGAGATGACCCTTGCCTTAAAGGAACTAATGCTAGAGTCATCTTTCTTATGGAAGAGGAAAGGAGCAGCAATCCAAAGCAAGGTAACAAAGGGCTGATAGAGATACCAAAATATAAATTAAAACGAGAATGAGATACAAAAATCAATCTGAGACATCCTGAGAATAAAGCCTATTCATTGAAAGACTTAACTTATTAAATATTCTTCCTGATTTTTAAATTCACAATCTGAACTTCAAGGTATGAGAAATTCTAAGTTCAAATGTTTTTTCTAAAACTCACAGAACATATATGTTCATTACTGTGCCTGTCTTATGCTCCAAAAATAAACAACACACACACACACGCGCGCACACACACACACACACACACACACACACACGGAAGCTGCATGCCATCCTCTATGATTATATGACCGCCAAACTCATTCTCAGATATTTCCCTATAAGAAACTTAAAGTCATTCATAAGGGATCCTGAAACAGCAGCAACAAAAAACTCTGATGGTTTAAAAGATAAGCAAGAGCTCTGCTTAAGTTTAGAATGCTACAAATTATACTATTCATTTTTACTTGATGGACATAATATACTAGTTTTAAATTACTGTGACTTACACACATTTTGTTAATGATTTATGGGTTTGTTATGTCAGATATCAACATGCCGTCATATATTGTCTTTATGCAAGTTCAAGTAGAAATGAGTAACCATTATCTACCTTAAGCAAAAACACCTGACAGTCACTGACGTAGTCATATTCCAGTCCATCGAAAGAATGATAATGCCTATCTCCATATATTGTGCACACTGCTGGACACGGGTAATATGTGCAGTTGAACATTCCTCGTCGACAAACACTGTTTTTTAAAAAGAGACAACATGATACACCGTACCAAGAAACCTGATATAATGTTTTTCAAGAGACATTTGCTCAGCTTGTATTCTATAATATTCACCTGCACTGGAGACACAGCTCAACAATAAAGTGCTTGCCTGGAAAATGTGGGACCCTGAGTTCAAAACCAACTAGTCTAGAGAGAAAGAGAGACAGAGAAAGGGAGCGATAGAGAGAGGGGGGGACAGAAAGAGAGAGAAAGACCATTTATTCAGGCAACAATTTTTAAAAACAGTGCAAATTTATGTGGATAAATCTATTAAATCTGTACATTAGGCATAAACTTATACTTCATTTAAACATAATAGCAGTCACCAAAATGAAGCCAATTTTCTTAGTCATATAGAAAATAGATGGTGGAATAAAAATTAACCATCTAGGTCTGTTAGCCAACAACAAAACAAAACAAAAAAACAGTATCATCTTCGGTGTTAAAGTTAACTTAATACCTAGCTGTGATTTCAGAAACTTTGTGCATATTTTATGGGCGTTATATTTAAGTTATTGTGGGGTTTTGGAGGGGTCACTTCTTTTCCAGACAGAATGCCTTCCATTAAATGTGATCTACACTTTAAAACATTTAGCATCTTATTTTAAACTTGAGATTTTTTTTCCTATTAAATTCCCAAATTGTTCTATTCACACTTTTCTTCTTCGCTCAAAAAGTATGCACCAAAACAGCAGTAGTTCTCCATTAACTGCTGAAGCCTTTAAAATCTGGCTTAGTAGGCTTGCCTTGTTTGTTTTGTTGTTGTTTTTTCGGGTTTTTTTTTTTTTTCGTTTTTCTGCTTTAAAATTCTCCTTACTCACTCTTACTTCGGCATGAAGCAAATTCAGCTATGTAATTAAAATGAATGCAATTGCTCAGAAGAGTTGTGAACTAAATGGATCTCATTACCAAGTGTAACATGGTGTAGCAATGACTTCTCCGGAGAGGTATTCCCAGTCTTTCCAGATGCATGGACAGCTTTCAGGAACATAGCACTTCCCTTTGTGCTCTGCCATTCTTCGAAATGAAAAAAGGAAAACATGATTAGTAAAAACTGCCGGTTTTCATTTTTAAAAATAATATCAGTAATCCTGTCACTTTCCACACCATCTTCTACATTTTCATATTTATAATAGCAAAATAAAGTCTCTGATCAGAGGTTTAATAATTTTTCACATCTTTACACAGCGTTCCTTGCAAATCGCACATCAAATAAATTCCAGCAGCATTCTCCCATCACCCTATGCCATGCTATGCACTGAGGTAGATGATGGGGTTGGGAGGGATGGGGGAGAACAATGAAAGGGATGATACTGATCAAGATACCTTGTACTCGTAAACTGACATGTTGAACTGTAAGCCCTTTGTACAAGATGATAAAAATAAAATTGAAAAAAATAAAGAATAAATTCTAGGCAAATGAACAAGTGTGATTGTTTTTACTTTTTTGTTAGTCATGTAGTACAATTTAAAAAAAAAGAAAACAGAAACCCATATTTCTAATAATGTGAGCTATTATGAAGAAAACATTTAGATAGGAAGGAAAATCTCTGCTTTCACTATTAGCTATTGTAAGTGTCTATAAATGTAACAATTTTTGATAGAACAGTAAATTGTGAAATGTTACAGGATATACAGGGCAATCAAAGTTTCTTTTGGTTAAATAGTTAAAATAGTTAAATAGATAAAATTCTTTCTTATTAGGTAAAATAAAGAGAGTTTTCTCCAGATGTGTTATAAATAAAGCAAACATATCTCATTTTTATTAATGCATTATTTTGAATGTTAGTTTCATTTATTATACCATGAAAAAGTACCTAAAGATATTTAGGAATACAAAGATTAAAACATAGAAATTTGTCACAAAATATGAACACTACTATGAAATTAAATTCAGTGTTAGTGAATTAATTTTGAGGTGTTATCAAAATACTTAAATATGAAAATGAATAAGGATATATATTTATATATTACAATATTAACTTTTTTAATGAATAAGTTTATAATTACATGAGCAAGATAATGAATACATTGCTTATCAAGCATTGTTGCCTCCTCCTTTGTTTTTCCCTTACCATCCCTGTCCTCCCCCTCCCCCACCACTCACCCTCCTCTCCTACCCCCAGCCAAAGTTGTAAAGTTTGTTTTTAGATATAACATCTTGTACATCTCATTGCTGCAATGGGTCCACCTGTATCCCTATTAAAACAATTTGTTTTTTCCCTTCCCCTCCACAAATACGGTGAAAACAGGGGTTATACCATGAGGGAGGGACATACAAAGCAACCAAGAAATCATCTTATAAATATGTTAGAAATAATAGCAAGAAAGAAAATCCATTTGAGTCCTTATCTTGGGGTTCATTTTACCTAACATCAACTTATCTGAACGTTTCTGCTTGTCTAAGACATATACTAGTTATTGCAAATAAGGGAAACCATGGGACCTATGTTTCTTTAAATATTCTCAAAATTCTCTTCCTAAATTATCTTTTATAAATAATTTAATTATAGTAAATAAATTTTAGAGTAAATATTATAACTATACTATAAATATGTTTTAAATGTGTAATGTAATAAGACAATATGAAATAAGTATTATAAAATAAGAAAATAATTGAAAATAAGTGAAATAATTGTAATAAAATAATAAAAATAGCTAATAGAATACATAAACTGTGTCACTTTTCTACATTTGTCTTAAAATGCAATAATTTGACATTATGAAAAATAACATAGGTCCAGGGATGTAGCTCAGCAATAAAGCACTTGCTTAGCAAGTATGAACCCTGAGTCTAGAATCTTGAATGTTGCTTTTTTTTTTTTAGTGTTTGACTTTCCCTCTCATATTTCTTCTCCCATGGCACTGTGCTTCCTTATTCAGTGATATGCTTTCCATTGAAATTCCACCTAGGAGAACCATCATATTGATGGCTGAGTAACAGTGAATAAAGGTACTTTGGTATGTAAATGAGGCATTATCTCAATAGATTGCTTTCTGTCAGCTAATAAAGCCTAAGATTATGATTTCTCCTCTCAACTTGTCCAAACTTCTTGTTACTCCTAAGTTTTGCATCTCTGTTCTAGAAATCCATTCTCCTCACTTAAGCCTCAACCATAGTGTTAATCAGCTTCTTGTAACTTAGTAATTTATACAAACTATCATTGGTAGATTATCACAATAAACTAAGGTCTTCCTTAAATGTGTTACTCTGACAGTAAAGACACCAGTAACAAAAAGTAATATTTTTCACTGTTTTCTATGACCCAGAATTGAAACTACCCTAAATGTAGTACTACTTACTTTTAGCATAATGACAATATCTAAGGTATATAAAGTTGTTACTTCATATAAAATTCATATATTAGTGCCTTCTCCTGTATCCTGTATCCACAGTGTTTTAACACTGGGCTCCAAACACTGGAGCACAATCCCTATATATTCTGGTCAAAGTAATAGTTTTAAGTGATTATGTAATGACTGGTTAGATTTTTTTGGTGACTAACAAAAAAAGTAAAAGAGGAAAGCTGTAAATCACTGTACATTAACTACTTTAAGTAGGTTCGATCAGTAGGGTATATCATAAACACTAATCACATACTATATAACCTGAGTGCTACTTCTAGTCAACCATTCAGGAAGCAAATATCATGAAGCCTATTCTTTAAAACTGTCCTTATTCTCCAAATGAGTACTGTTCCTTGCCCTAAGATACTTTATCTAATAAGAAGGACCAATACTTAACACCATTTATATTTGCCTCTTTCCACAATAAAAATATTCCTTATGGGTCCTTCTATGGTATAGAAACTGTTGGCACTATCAGGATCCATGGAAGCATGTGATACTAGGATATTGTCCCCCAAAAGAGCCAGTTACAGTCAGATGGAAGACAGGGTAAATTTACATCACCTCAAGTAACTTTATTTCTGTAAAAAAAAAAAACAGTTAAAATAACTTTATTTATTTCTGTTTTAAATAATTCCAAGTCAGTCAGAGGCCTCTAAAGCAAGGCTCACTATATTTCCGTACAATCAGAAAGGTAGTGAAATTTAACAACATTTAATCAGTACGTAAAAAGTCATTGTGAAACTAAAAGTAAAAGGTGATCTAGATTGGAGCGGGTGGAGGCAGAGAATAGCATCACATACTTTAGGAAACAAAACAGAGAGAGAAAGAAAAAAAAGAGACACTTACCCTGCTGCACAAACACAGCCACTTATACAAGGTGAGGATGGGGCACAAGTGAAGTTCATGGCCAGGTTTGCACATGTAGTCTCACAATTTATGCCACCAGCTGGCAACGCAGGGTCAGGAAACCTGCAGTCAAAGTATTCCTTTCCTTCTGGACAGGCATGAACTTCAGAGATAAAGCACAGATGAAATGTCCTTACCTTCAGATACATTCAAAGCACAAATAATCATATGGACATATATCTGTCATCAAAACAAAATTTACCATAGAGAATTTCATCCATTATGATCAGACAATGCTGTTGTTAGTATGTGGCTTTTAAGATATGAGCAAGCACACTTTCCCTAGTTAGGTTTTTTTAGTTACCAATGCTTCGGGAACCTATTTTGAATTTGAAAACCTTATCAGCCTCTCTAAGGAAATAACTAAAGACGTGAACAAGTGGCATATGTATGATTATTTGTGCTTTGAATGAATGTGAAGGTAAGGACATTTCATCTGTGCTTTATCTCTGAAGTTCATGCCTGTCCAGAAGGAAAGGAATACTTTGACTGCAGTCTATCTGGGCTTCTCTTCTTTCTCGGCAAATCACTTGAAGCATAAAGGAAGAGCAAATGCTCTATAGGTATTAAATGAGCATGATTCTGGAACAAAACCTGTCAAGAAGACTGACATAACCTGAGTCTTCAAAAAGTAAATCAAGGGCATCGAATGCAAAACTCACTTATAATAATATATACATGGCCATCCAAATAAATTAGCAAAGCAAACTTTTATCAGCCTAACTTTTCCCTACCCACAAGAATGAAAGCAAGGTCACTCATTGGCAAAGAATTCCACTATAGTCACTGAGAATTTGAGGTTCTAGCTGTACATTAATAATATAAGGTCCCCTGACACAAAATATTCGTGAAAGGTATTTCATGATAAAATGATATTCTAAGGAAAGATAACAATAGAGATCTTCTTTATGCCATTTTTAATTGACTAGTCCCAGAGCCTTGCTATTCCTAATGTAGCCCAGAAACCCACATCACTAACACAACCTTGGTCATTGATAGAAATGCTCCAGACCGATTGAGTGATCTTGGGTGATTGTACACACAGTAAAATCTAAAAGGTACTAATTGACAGTATATTTTTCTCAATTTGTGATCCACAACTCATGAACTCATGTCCCACAGGACACAAGAGACGGTCCTTTCATAGGCAGCATCCCTGAGCTAATCAGCTCGGTTCCTAAGCAGTCGTATATGCTCACATCAGAGTATTATACAAATATTCTAATTCTCAGTATAAGAAAAAGGGTAAAGAACACTATGTTAAGAAACATTCCAAAGCTTATATCCATGCACTTTGGCAAGGAGGATTGTGTTAAGATGGATGACAGAACAGTGGAAGAATACTAGAGCTCTATTCTCCATAAGGAAAATGAACTCACCAGCAGAGGGCGTGGCTGGCTCATCACATTTCACAGTTCCATTTGAACACTGGCTGGAAGAAAAGAAAACTTATGAACCTAAGCCTTCAATTTTTCTGTGTTTCAACAACAGTCTAATATGAAATTTATATATGTGTGTGTTATAATGCTTATCCTTTTCTCATGAATGCTTTTTAGAAATGTTATCACCTTAGATCTAATTTGAAGGCAGTGATTTCAGTTTCACTTATTTTTGTCAAATACATATGGGCATTGTAAGAGGTGTTAGGACACAAACACCAGAACTCAGATTTGTTTGCCCAAGTATTTATAGTCTACTGGGAGAGTAATACACACAATAATTTATGCAGTGTGGCATATACAACCCAGTATTATATTCAAAATCTGATGCCAACTGAATCAGTACTATCAGAGGTAGAAAACCTTTAAAAATTTGAACAATAGAAGTGGCCGTGATTGGTATAAAGTAGGATGACTATAACAGTCAATGAAACAAATAAATGAGGAAGAAGCAAAGAAGTGTTCTATGGAAAAATGTGCCAGGAGATGAAGATGGTCAAAGAGGCAGGGTCCAGGTCCTACTGAGGTACTAAGCAACACTGAAGACAGAAAGGTCAGCAGGTTGGTTTGGATTTTAGGAAAGCCATCCCAACAACAGAACTGATGATATCATAGATTCATATTCTTCCTTTCAATCAGGATTGTAAGCTAAAAGTTTTTGTATCAGACAAAAAAACACATTACAAGAGAAGTAACTTGAAGATGATAGTATGACATGGAACAGCATGCCCATGCTCAATAATTACTTGAAGAACTTTCCTGAAGGGAAATTTTTTCCTTCAGGTTTGCAGCAGATCATGTGTTCCAGATTTGAGCCAAGATGAAGAGACTAACTAATATATAAGGAGCTGCATCACATGGGAAATATGTATAAGCGTCCATTAACAGGAGAATGACAATTGGAGATATAGTTAACTCACACTACAAATGACATAGAGTAGTTGAGATAGACAGATCTCAGACCATACATCCAGGTCTTCAATGTAACAGTTCTTTACAGAAAGAGTCAATTTGAAAGAAATACAAGTGAGGTCAATGCTAATCGAATTTTTATTTTTCAAATTGAATAGGGGTTGAGGTTGTTCTTGCTAATTTGTCATGAATTTGTCAATTACATTGAACCCAACATTTTAGCAGAATGGAAATAGCAGAATGGATCTGGTTTGTTCCTAATAAAATTCATGTTGAGGTGTGGTCTCTAATGTAGTAGTGCTAAAAAGTGGAACCTTAAAGAGATGAAGTCAAGCAGAAGGTAACTAGGTTTTCCATGCTTTGCCTTTAAAGGGATTACTGATTTTATCATCAGAGTGAGGTTGTTGGTTTTACTTTCCAAGTGAGATTGTTTATTGATTTTCTTGGTTCTCTTTTCCATCTCCCCTCTCCCTCTCTAACACACACACACACACACACACACACACACACACACACACACACACACACACTTCCATCATGGGATTATGGGAGTCTGTTTCCCATGAGGACCTCACCAGAAGCTCTTATAAGTGCCATGGCATTGGACCTCTATAACTCTCCATAACTTCAAACTAAATAAGCTATGTAAAGTACTCAACTTTAGATATTTTGCTACACCATCACAAACTACACTAAGACGATTTAGAAACTTACAAGGATGAGAGAATTGATAAAGTAGTGGCATGCAAAGAAAAAGAACAAGTCAACTATGTATAGCAAGTAAAACCAAATAAAATCAAAGATGTTGGGTATCTACTGGCAAGGTTTGTTGAGTAAGAAGGAGGTGTCAAAAATGACTCTCAGACTTCTGATTTGGAAAGCATGCAGCTAGTAGCTACTAAGATCTCTATCTACTAAATAAAGTTATAAAACTGGTTGTCTTTGCATCTTAATCAGGAGGGGATAAGGTAAATTGAGTATAAATTATATTCCACTGTCAATACAAATGGAGTAGCAGAATAAGATCCACAATACAGCAAGCACTTCAGAGCCTGGGTGCCTGGGAATCCGTTGCAGCTTTATTATCAAATTGGTTGGCTACTTGCCTCATTTTCCTTGCTTACAATTGGAACAAAGTAATAATGTCAACCTATTAGATTGATAGGTATGTTTTAATAATTATAGAACACTCAAAATGGTGCCAGGACTATAGAAAGTGAACAATAATAGCTAGATGTCATTGTGTTCACCGCTAATATCTTTTTATCTTGTTATCTGGGGACATCTATGACACAACTAAAACAAAGTTAGGAACTGATGGAGATAAAAGTGTGCTGCTGCATAGACATGCCTGCATTTTTTTTAACAGGCAGGTTAGGACTAGAATGACAGTTTTCACACACTGGGGAGAAGACACATTGATTAAATGTGTGACAATGTTCAAATCTGTTTTGGAATTTAGTTGTTTGTATTCAGAGCCAGACCATGAACCATTCATCCAACAGCCCTCAGTAATATACATAATATTTGAACACCCATCTCTCTCCTACTTTCTATCAAAGAAAAAATGAGCTAAAGGGCTTTGTCATTTCTGCGTGGCACTTAAATTCAGAATTCTTTTCTTCAGTGAGGAATGCAAGACTCAGGCATTCCACATCCCACATTCTAACGTAAACATACATTTAATGTGTTCCTCGAAACCTACCATAAGCCTGAAGGTGTTGGGATGAGCTCCCCAGGTTGGTAGATGCTGCCCCTGTAGTGACACCGGCAGTGATATCTACAAGGAGATAGGAAAAAAAGAGGGATGGAAGGTAAATTCTTACGAGAGCCACTGAAATCCAGGCAAAGCCCATGCTCTGTATTGGTCAGTGTGAGGCATGCTCTAAAGTTGTCACTGTTCTCTGAGACTCCAGGCGATCCCCTAATGCAAATGGCAGGAACCAAGTGGATGCAAATTTTGTGTGCTTTAGATTTTGTTTTCTAAAACAGATTCCACGAACTGTGTTAGTTTACTCACCAGAGAAAGTCATCCTTTCGCCCTATGTGTAAGGAGTGTCCACTCTATGTGATAAGGGGGAAATGTCTGAATGTTGATACACATCACAATCCTGCTAACACATACCACAGGACAGGGAGCCACGCGCCGCCTAGTTATCCATACAAATAAGGTGGGGGAACAAGTAGGAATAAACTTCCGAATTAACTATTATCTGAATATACACATTACAGAGGCAACAACAAAACAAACAGGGAAAGCATTAAGAAGTACTAAAGACGGGGCTGGGAAGGTGGCTCATTGGTAGAGTGCTTGCCATGCATGCATGAGGCCCTGGGTTTGATTCCTCAGCACTACATAAGCAGAAAAAGCCAGAAGTGGCATTGTGGCTCAAGTGGTAGAGCTGCTAGCCTTGAATTGAAGAGCTGAGAGACAGTGCCCAACCCCGGAGTTCAGGTCCCACAACCGACCAAAAACAAAGAAGAATAAGAATAAGAAGGAGGAGGAGAAGGAGGAGGAGGAGGAGGAAGAGGGGGAGGAGGAGGAGGGGGAGGAAGAAGAAGAAGAAGAAGAAGAAGAAGAAGAAGAAGAAGAAGAAGAAGAAGAAGAAGAAGAAGAAGAAGAAGAAGAAGAAGAAGAAGAAAGAAGAAGAAGAAGAAGAAGAAGAAGAAGAAGAAGAAGAAGAAGAAGAAGAAGAAGAAGGAAGAAGAAGAAGAAGAAGAAGAAGAAGAAGAAGAAGAAGAAGAAGAAGAAGAAGAAGAAGAAGAAGAAGAAGAAGAAGAAGAAGAAGAAGAAGAAGAAGAAGAAGAAGAAGAAGAAGAAGAAGAAGAAGAAGAGGAGGAGAAGAAGACGAGAAGGAAGGAGGAGGAGGAAGAGAAGAAGAAGAAGAAGAGGAGGAGGAGGAGAAGAAGACGAGAAGGAAGGAGGAGGAGGAAGAGAAGAAGAAGAAGAAGAAGAGGAGGAGGAGGAGAAGAAGACGAGAAGGAAGGAGGAGGAGGAAGAGAAGAAGAAGAAGAAGAAGAAGCTTACATTGGCACACAGAAGTTCAGAGTGTCTTCATAGAATTTTCCTTCAGGACAGTTGCAGCCTTCAGCACAGTCATCATTGCACTGCTCCAGGGAGGAGAGAGAGGTGCAGGACCGGTGGCAAAATGAGGAACATTGGTGGTACAGCATGCCCTGCTGGCACACCACAGCTGAGGACAAGGGATGGTCAGTGAGACAGACTTGTACATATCACAGAACCATTTCCTGCTTACTTAGAGGCCCAGGGTAATCATGAAACAAAAGCTACCTTGCACCACTAAACAAGAGACCATAAAAATTCTTTAAAATACAATGAAGAGATAAAGAAATTAAATGATTTCTTGGTCTCCATAGAAGTATAATAGAAGAATAAAATCTCCATTTTGGTATATTTAAGTGTAACATTCCATAATGTTTGAAACGCAATGGTTTTTTTAATATGGGAGGTCTTTCATATATCTTTATAAACACCCTCTCCTTACTATCTATAATTCATCTATATACCATCATTGTAACCTTTCTAACATTATTTAAACCTAAGTAAACTTTGTCTCATACAAGTAAGAGAAAATTTGACTTTACCCATATTTATAGGTTTTACTGTTTTTCCTTTTTAATCACTTCTATACTTTTTCTAAATGCTTCTCTTTATATAGAACTGACTGATTGTAATGGACAAGCTAAATTAACCTAAAAATACACTTATACAAACATTTAAGAGAATGCTAGATAAAACATATATATTGTAAAACACACACACACACACACACACACACACACACACAGAGAAACAGTCAGATGCCAGAAATGATGAAGGACAAAATCGAGAACTTTGAATGGAGGAGTGGGGGATCAATTTCATTAGTATGAGCCTTATATTTAATTCATGTAAAAATGAAAAACCAAAGTTGGTCCCTTACACATGAGACGGTTGGTAAGCCCTTAAATTATACACTCAAAAAAGCAACTTTTGCTAGGCATTTCTGGCTTATACTTGTAATCCTAGCTACTCAAAAGGTAGATTGGAAAGACTTCACTTTGAAGACAGCCTAGACAAAAGCTCATAAGACTCCTTCTCAACCAATAGCTAGGCATAATGGAGCACATTTTTCATCCCATCTACACAAGAGGATCACATTAGGAGAAAATTGTAGTTACAGGTCAGCCTAGGCAGAAACTTTTGAGAGAACCTACATCTGTTTTAAAAAGCTGGGTATAGTAATGTGCACTTGGCTATGGTAGGAGCTATGGTAGGAGGATCACAGTCCAGACTGGACTTGTGAAAAACCAAGACCCTTTCTCGAAAAGAAAAAATAAACAGGAAAACCTGGGTGACAATGATTCATGCCTGTAATCCTAGCTATTGAAGCTCCTCAGTTGAATGGAAGTATTAAACAAGGGGTAAGAAATATTTCCGAACATTAAAATCATACACTTTGTCACAACTACTCATCTGTCCCTTTGTAGCACAAAAGTAGCCATAGACAACATAAAAAAATGAGTTGATTGCTTTCCAGTAAACTTGATTTATAAAAACACATGACAAGCAAAAAGTATTGAGTTCAAACCCCAGTACTGTCAAAAATATATATTTCACTTGATATAATTCACTTGATTGGCCTTCCATTTAAAAAATAAAAGCAGCACTTAAAAACACAACAATCTGTTACCTGATGGTCTTTATCTGACTATCGTACTCACCACAGAATGAAATCTCACTTCGAAAATCAATGGGAACACCACGCTGCCCACAGAGGTAGGCATAGTGAGCAAGAGCATTGCAGAGACAGGAGCTTCCACACTTGCATGCATCATGGCGACATAGCTGATAGTACAGCCCCGGGCTGACGTAGATGTGGCAAGGAGCAAAGAGCTCCTGATGGATAACATCACAGTGTGCCGCATACCCAACTAACAAATAAGAGATCCCATTAAGCTATCACACACTAGTCCAGATCTTACCCTAAGGAGCCAAGTTTCAGAACTAGTCAAGCATCTTGCTTTTCTAAAGAGTAATTTATTGTATGTAACTTTAAATAATAGCAAATTCTTCCAGCTTACAAGGTTTTTTTGGTCTTTCTGTTTATGTTTATAGTAATATAATTAACAATACTTAGTCCTTGTGCAGTAGTCATCTAGCTATAAACACACAAAAACACACAAAAGAAAACATATTGTGCCTGAGTAACATGAATAACAGCATAGTTGTGGAAACAGTAAACTCAATCAATGCATTGCATATGGATCATCTTAGAAAACCCACATGAAGCTCTCAGAGGTTTATCTGCAACATATTCATGTAAGAAAAGTAGTTCAAGATCACAGATATGATAGCAACTTAGTGGAATATCCAATTACCCAAGAAGGATTGGGAAACCATTTCATTCCAGTGGAATCTCAGATGGTACTGTAGCAGATGCCACATAGTCCTTGAGTTCAATGTCTGCACAATGCAGAGTGTATAATGTTTCACAGTTATTAGGAACTCAATTATAAATGAAACTATCAATGCAAGAATAACAAATTGAAATTGGGAATTGGAATCCATGAGTATCCTTATATCATTTGGACATAACGTGTGTGATCACACCTTAAAAATTGTTCATTTTTTTTACTATGAGAATGAATATCCTATTTCCTTATAGAAATGAAAAATAAGTTGACATAATAGAGCTTTTAAAAAGATTCAGTCCTGCAGTTCCTTAATATATTGGACTTTGATTGGTTTCCTCATGGATAAAATTGAAACATCTTTTATTATCATTGTTTTGAAAGAATAGATAGGCTGCTGGGCATAAAAGTTATTTTTATTACTAAGGAATTATACTGAATTTATTTATTTGAGTAAATTATATTTATTAGTAAGAAACATGGTAGTTGCAGTATTTTTGCATTGAGTGTATGTAGTACCAATATGAAAATAAACGAAAGATGCAGCAGCATACTGTTGGTATATATACTGCTCACCTCAAACACTCTGGTAAAGTAATCAAACATACCAACTGCACCATTTTTGTGTACCCTAAGAATTTTTATTTTTGTCGGTCATGGGGCTTGAACTCTGGGCCTGGGCACTGTCCCTCAGCTCTTCAACTCAAGGCGAGCGCTCTACCACTTTAGCTACTGCGCCACTTCCAGTCTTCTGGTGGTTTATTGGAGATAGGAGTCTCACAGTCTCTCCTGCCCGGGCTGGCTTTGAACCGCGATCCTCAGATCTCAGCCTCCTGAGTAGCTAGGATTACAGGCGTGAGCCACCAGCACCCGGCTACCCTAAGAATTTTTAAAATAAAATGTTTTTACAGCATTAAGAAAAGCATAACTCAAGGAAGTTCTTATAAAAAAGATTTTGGAACTCTGAATTCAATTCAGTTATTGATTTTTGTCTATTTTCATTTCTTTGGAAATCTTTATAAATTTATCAATTTGAATTTTTAAGTCATATGTTATGGAAAAATGTAAAGGATAGAAGTCTGAAAAATCTACATCACAGAAGATAAAAAATTATGGGGAGGAAAGTGATGGAAAATAAAGCAATATACAAATACATCGAAGATTCTGAAAGAAGAAAGCAGAGGGAAACTGAATTATCAAGTAAACTTGCTTATGCTTTTACATTATTTAAAAATTAAAAATAAAGTTTAATATCAAGGAAGTAAGGAAAAAAACAAGTAAGAGTATTTGAAAGGAGGTAGATTTGTGAAAATTTGGAGATAGGGAAAATGGGAGCAGAACTACAAGCAGTAAGTTACAGAGACCAAAAACTTCTTACGCTTTAGATAGGAAAATAAATAAGTTTCAAAATCTTCAAGTTTTAAAGTCATCCTTAAAAATATTTAAGTATTGAGAGCAAATGTAGTTCCTAGTACAACCAAACTTTAGGTTAATTATTTTAAAAAAGCCTTGTGACAGTCAACAACATTCTCCCACGCAACCCCCACAAAATCTTGAAATTGGATACAGAGGCTCAAGCAATAATAGCAACATACAAGATTAACTACCTAAAAATAGTAAATCTGGAAAAGGAACAAATTAAAATTATGAATATCTAAACAAGTACATAGCCTTTTTCACAAGCTTCTTTTCTTGAAAAAAATTTCAATTTTTTCATGTTCCTTTTTTTTTTCCTCTCAAGACATGTTAAAGGCTAGAAATGTACTAGCCTTCAACCTGGATTTCTGTGGCTTTAGTACATAAAATAGGAAGAGAGCCCCAAAGCTTCCAAAATATTGGCATTTCAGTAGCATTGTCACTGCAAATTAGAACTCCAGGTAATGATCATCTCAAATTGTTGCCTACTTAGTCACACAAAACCATCTTTGGCTTCCTGCTTATAGAGACATAATATGTGTTGTGAGTTTAGAACTTGTCATTGGATGATAATAAACAGAAGAGGAATTTGAGTTACCACACTGTAAAAGTGCAACCAAACTTCCAGGAACTATAACAGCATTGCTGGAATATTTCCAGAAATATCGCTCAATCATTCAAAGTCTCCTCTAAAAGCTCCAAAGTGCTAAACCACATTTTGGGAGGAAGGGGTATCTAACCACCTTAAAATAGGTACATATCACCCAATGTGGAAGAAATAACTGCATTGTCAAAGATTATAGAACTTATAAATTTTATAGACCACGATAGACAATTTGCCCCATGAAAGTTAGAATGTGTGTATGACTTTAACTAAGCATCACTATCCCACAAGGCTGTGAAATGTGTGAAATTATGTAATCACTTAATCACAATAAAGAATTTGCAAAAACATAGGTACATAACTAAACACTTTAAATAGGTAAAATGAAGTCAAAAAAAAAGTTATCATCATCTGTTCTTTCAAATAGTTTCTATTGCACTAAAAAGGGCAAAACATTAAGCAACAGTATGCAAGAAATGGTACTGATTTGTCATAATTTATGAATCACTATATAATTTTACAAAATTATAGTCAAACATAGAACATTACTTCTAACTTTACATGCCAAATGGAACTTACTGTTTTGTTGGTTAATATTACAGGGGTCCACCACTGGAACATGTACGGGTGCAAAACATGTGGAGGAAACTCTCCACGCATTGGCGTGCAGTTGCGGAGTGCCTTCTATCATGCCTGATGGAGAACTAGAAAGCAAAGAGAAAGTTCTTCCTAGTCTCTCTTGTTCACTTTATTAATTCGTACTCTTTAAATATTTAAATAATGAGGGGCTAGGAAGGTGGCTCAGTGGTAGAGTGCTTGCCTTGTATGCATGAGGCCCTGGGTTTGATTCCTCAGCATCGCATAAGCAGAAAAAGCCAGAAGTTGGCACTGTGGCTCAAGTGGTAAGTGTGCTAGCCTTGAGCTGAAAAGCTGAAAGACGGTGCTCAGGCCCACAGTTCAGGCCCCATGACCAACAACAACAACAAAAAATTTCAATAATGTGCCAAGATATCTCACAGCTTGAATTTTTGCCAGTTTTTTTTTAATCTAAAGGAATTTGTTTCCTTTTATTAAAACTTTACAGGGTAAAGACCTAGAGGATTTTATTCTGTCTTCATCTCCACCTTATGAGGAAAACATTCTGTATTAAATATCCTCAGACTTATAAAAGGCAAAGCTACACTCACCCAGTTCTTGGTGAATTAACCAAACACCACTTAAGTGACCGCAAGGTGTTTGGGATAGGTGGCACTTGGAGACATAGGTACACATGGTACAAATCTCTCCTTGCTGAAAACAAATGTTCTAAATAACAATCTTACTGACACAGCATATCAAGTTCCATGATGAAGGTTAAAATAGTGAGCAAACAAGCCAAAGAAAATTGAGGGGAAGTGGTAAAACGTTGCTCTTCTTCCAAATTTGCTAACATCTTCACTTTCTTTAGCAAATAAAAATGAAAAAGAAACAGTTACCTCTTCAAAGTCAGACTTGGAGACCACAGTAACAACTAGAGGCTAAAATATACCATTCTACCTCCATCAGCCATCAAGTTGTATTAATTCAAGAGCCAACATTTGCTCAATGACATTCCCTATTAGACACTGTGCCAGACTGTCACAACAACTTAAATATATCAAACTAAGTCTTTCACAAGATTTTGAACATACCACTAGGCCCACTATGTTAATTGCTACAATATGGATGAATGCAGTGTCAGCTTTACATCAGATACTCTCATAATCATCTAGCATAGTCATCCTGAACTCTGAGTTACCACAACCACTGAGAGAAGAGAGATGTGGAGCTATAGAAGACAAGGTACTATGATTTCTTTTTTAATAAGTTTTTTTATTGTGAAAATACCATACAGAGGGGTTACAATTACATGAGCAAGGTAATGAGTACAGTTCTTATCAAGCATTGTTGCCTCCTCCTTTGTTTTTGCCTTACCATCCCTGCCCTCCCATCTCCACAACTACACTCCCCGCCCCCCCAGCCCATGCCCGCCAAAGTTGTAAAGTTCGTTTTTCAACATAGCATTTTGTACATCTCACTGTTGCAAAGGGTCAACTTGTATCCCTATTTAAACAATTTTTTTCCCTTCCCCTCCCCAAATTATCCCAACATCAAATACAGTGAAAACAGTGGTTATACCATGGGGGGAGGGACATACAAAGCAACAAAACAATCACCCTATAAATATGTTAGAAACAATAGCAAGAATGAAAAAAAACTTGTGTCCTTATCTTGGGGTTCATTTCATCTAACATCATCTTATCTGACTTTTCTGCTTGTCTTAGACATATACTAGTTATTGCAAATAAGGGAAACCATGGGACCTATGTTTCTTTGGGCCTGTACTATGATTTCTGGAGGCAATGTAGGGCTTTGAGGGATGTGTGCCTAGGTGGGCTTGAAGGTATGGGAGTTGGTGTCAATTGTCCTGTTGAGGTCATTTTTGTTTTTGTTTTGTTTGTCTTCCTCTACAAAAAACAGAAGGTAGAACTTTGTAACAGTTCTGTGCCTACTTAATACCTCTTTTTAGTGTTGATCAATTTACAAATATATCAGAAGATCAAAGTATCCTTAACGATTAAAAGTATACTTTCTCATTTCCTTTTTTAAAAAAAGTCAATGTAGTATGTGTATTTGTCATCCTCCTCCCTTTCCTTTCTTTTCATACTTCTCAACATCTAGAACTGTAAAGAATTCCAATAAGCTTATTATAATATTTTCATTTTGTTCACATGAAGGCATGGAGGCACACACACACACAAACACACACACACACACACAATTGCATGCCTTGCACGAGCTTTCTTCTCATTCTTTCTCCTGCCTTCCCCTTTCTCCTCTCTTAGGGACAATAAAATAGGTTGGGGTGGTTAGTGTAGTCAGGGCTCCTAGGTGGAAATGACCCAGAACCTGGCTCCATTATCTTATCAGTGTACTTAAAATGATACTGTATTTTTTTAAAGAGCCAAAATATAGAGCCATTCACTATTGCAGTGCATTTTATAAAACAATCTTTCAGCTGGCCAAATAAACAAGTCTGTCATATTTGACTTGCTATAACAAAGCAGGCAAGTTAATTTTTCAGTTAATATTTTCCATTATGCTATGTTTACAGATTGGCATTAGCTTTTCTGAAGTAAAGAATTTTAAGTACTTAAGTTGGAAAGTTAAACCATGTTCAGAAGTTATCTCTGATTGAAATATCACCCTGCACTCTTATCGTGCTTTAGTGTTTATGCATGAAGGAGACTAGCCAACAGATCAGCCATCTGCTAAACACTGACAAAGAAGGCAGAGAAAGGCTCGGATGTTTTCTGAACATGTTAGCCAAGCCTATAAAATACAGTGTCTGTTTCTCAAAAGTGAGAAATGTATCACTGCCTGACCTATGATACATAAACCCAAAAATGTACCAAAAAAGCAAATTAATCACATATTTTTAACATTGGAACTCCAGTTTTCTAAGTCTATCCTAATTATTTTCTTGATAATATTAAAATTTCTACTCAATTCAACTCTACACTGAATATAAGATACCTGTGATGACAAGGACCAATGATACGATCCTGCTACTTACATTCTCTATGTAAATGATCATTTTTGTGGATAACATAGGTAGAATTAATTTGAGTGGGACATAAACTAGAAGCAAAGATGTCTGCACTGACATTAATCAAGAGTTCACAAGAAAGACTAGAAGAGTGAAATAACCCTTAACAAAAAGAATACATATAAAAGTGTGTTTATATAAAATATATCATGGTTTTTGGAGAATATCTTCTCTGTGAAATATTCCCTGGTTTCCTATCCCAAAATAACGATCTCTAAATTCCCACTACACATTTAGCTATGAGCACAAAGCTCAACATGTAAGATTTTGAAATTGTCTTGGTATTTTATGCATATTATTGGTTGACACCTCAGTAACCACTAAATATTTGTACTTTTATTAAGTAACTATGTATATATTTTATATAAAATTAAATATATTGTGTATACTTCTGGAGTATACAACATAATGTTTTGATGGCATATTATAAAATGGCTAAATCAGCTAATGAACATAACCATCACCTCATATTCTTATCATTTTTGTGTGAGAACACTTACTATCAGCTGTCTTAGAAAGTTTCAGATGTCTAATAAATCAGCTTTAAGCACCAGATCTCTATCCATCATGTCTAACTAAAAGCAACTCTTTGAGTAGTATTTCTCATCAACCTACTCTAACCTTCAGCTAGTAACAATCACTGGAGTTTTACTTTTTTAGATGCCTCATATTTCCTTTTTTCAAATATTTCTATTATCTTTAAGTAGTTATACAAAGAAGGTGCCATTCACCAAAGCAGTTTATGAATATAGTATATCTTGATATATGTCACCCCTTTCAACATTCTCACTCACTCTCCAAACCCACCTTTTCATGTACTCATCTTAACTTGATATATTTAATTTTTTTGCCATTCATCAAAGCATTTTCTGTATACAGTGTATCTTCATCTGTGACATCATTTCAACATTTCACCCCCCTTCAACCCTACTTCATCCTTCTCTTGTCCCTTTGGCCCCATCTTCCCCCTTTCAAGTACTCATTTCCTGTTACTTATTTTGTTTTAGTCTTTTTAAAGAATTATACTATTTGTACTCTCCATAGAGTCTATTACACTTCAGTTAACCTGTTTGTAGCCCCTTGCTTACCATACAGTGTGTTGACCTGTAGATTTATAGGCACATTCTAGCTACCACAAATGAGGGCAACCATGCAACCTAAATTTATCTGGGTTTGGTTTACTTCACTTAATGTAATTTTTTCCAAGTCTTTCCATTTCCTTATGAATGATGCAATAGTATTCTTTCTGATGGATAAGTAGAATTCCATTATGTATATATAAAACATTTTCTTGATATGTTTGTCCATGGAGGGACATCTGGACTGACTCCATATCTTGGCTACATAAAATGAAATGGTTGTGCTGGCAGCTTTAGTGTGGTGTTGCTTGTGCTCTATTCCAAGAGTGGACTTTCTGGGTCATAGGTTAGCTCTGGGTTTAGTTTTTTGAGGAATGTCCATACTGCTTTCCAAAATGGTTGAATAGCTTAAATTCCCACTAACAGTGTAATAGAGTTCCCTTTTAGACCCATCCATGCCAGAATTTGTTATTGTTAGTTTTCTTAATATTGGCCATTCTAAATGGTGTTTGTTTGTTTTGTTTTGTTATTTTTATTTTTGTGGATCATGGGGCCCAAATTGGGCCTGGGAGCCACCACTCAGCGCTTCAGCTCAAGGCAAGTGCACCACCACTCGAGGCACAGTGCTACTTCTGGCTTTTTCTGTTTATGTGGTGCTGAGGAATTGATCCAGGGTCTCATGCATGCAGGGCAAGCACTCTTCCACTGAGCCACCTTCCCAGCCCCTAAAGGTATTGTTTTGATTTGCGTTTTCTTTATAGCCAGTAATAATGAACATTTTTCATGGGTCTTTGGGCCACTTCTACTTCTTCTGAGAAGTCTCTCATTAAGTCGCTAGCCCATTATTAACTGAGTTGTTGTTTCTTTGAGGATTTATTGTGGAGGGGGAGGGAAGGGCGGGGGAAGAGAGTAATTCTTGGAGTTCTAAGAATACTTTGGATATTAGACCCTTATCTGATGTATAGCTGGTGAAAATATTCTCCCATTCTGTGGGCTTTCTATTTAGCTTGTTAGCTATATCCTTTGCCATGAAGAGACTTTTAAGCTTGTTACAACCCCATTTGTCCAGTCTTTCTTTGATATGTTGTGACTCTAGACCTTTATTTAGAAAGTTTTGACCAGTGCTTAGAGCCCTAGTATTTCCCCTACCCCTTGATGTAATATTTTCATGGTTTCTAGCCTTACATTGAGGTTTTATCCATTTTGAATTTATTCTGGTGTAAGATGATATATAAGAATCTAGTTTAAAGGCCAAGGCAGCCCCTTTAGTCATAGCCTAAATAAATAAATAAAAATACCTAAGAATTAACCAAAGATGGGAAGGACCTCTAATGTAAAAACTTTTAGAAAATTGAGAAAGAAAATTTGAAGACTTAAGGAAATGCAAAATCCTTCTTCATGTACAAGTCGTTCTGTCGAAAACTGAACTTTACAACTTTGGTTGGGGGGAGGGGGGAGGGTCGGGTAGGTGGGTAAGGGAGAATGGGAAGGGATGGGAAGGGGAAACAAAGGAGGAGGCAACAATGCTTGATAACAAATGTACTCATTATCTTGCCCATGTAATTGTAACCCCTCTGTATGGTATTTTCACAATTAAAACAAAAAGCGAAACCTTCTTCCATGCTCCTAGACTGGAAGAATTAACATCATGAAAAGTGGCAATACTGCCCAAAGCAATTTACAAATTCAGTGCAATACCCATCAAACTCCCAACATCATTCTTCAATGAAGTAGAGAGAGAGCAATCCAAAAATTTATATGCAATAACAAAAGACCCCAAAAGCAATCCTTAGCAGGAAGAACAGTGTTGTTGGAGGAATAACTACCAAACTTCAAATTCTATTCAAAGCCTCATATTATTAAAATGTTTGGATTATCCTTTATCTGCAACACCAATGCCTTTCAAAACAGCAAAATCATTTTACTTAAGTTACTACCACTGTGCTTTCAGCAAAATAAATTTAATCCATTAATGTATTTACAATGCAGTATGTGATTCTTTTGTTTCTTTTGTATGTTCTTCCTCCACAGTATAACCCCTGTTCTCACTGTATTTGATGCTGGTGTTCTGCACCTTGTATATACATTTTTGTAATTTGGGGAGGGGAAGGAATATTGGGGAATGCTTAAATGGGGATGCAGGCAGACCCATTGTGACGACGAGATGTACAGGACACTATGTTGAAAACGAACTTTACAATATCAGGGTGGGGGGGTTGGAGGAGTTGGGGAGGAGAGGAGGGAAGGGATGGTAGGGGGGGATAACAAAGAAGGAGGTAACAATGCTCGCTATGAAATGTACTCATTACCCTACTCATGTAACTGTAACCCCTTGTTGATACAAGGGACACAGATGTATTTTGCTGATTTTTCTTCCAGTGACAAACCACCTTTCTCAAAATCCAATTTTAACTAATGCCAAAATGCCTAACTTACTGCCACTAACACCAAACATTTCATTTTGGGGAGGGGGGTGGGTCCGGTCGTGGGGCCTGAAAACTTTGGGCCTGGGTGCTGTCCCTCAGCTCTTCAGCTCAAGGCCAGCGCTCTAGCTCTATCACTTGAGCCACAGTGCCACTTCTGGCTTTTTTCTTTTTGCTTATGTGGTACTGAGGAATCAAACCCAGGGCCTCAGGCATGCAAGGCAAGCGCTCTACCACTGAGCCATCTTCCCAGCACATTTCATTTTTTTTAAGGCTGAAAGTTTTTGAAAATAAAATGCTGTTGAATTTGATAGGTAGCAGAGGACGGAATGGCAACAATTAACTGACATTCTAATTGAGTCAGACTGTCTAAATTCAAAGCTTGCTCCATTGTGAGCTACAGGGCCTTGAATGATTTACTTACCAAATGAAGGTTTCCTTCCATATCTGTAAATCAAAGACACTAATCAGGGAATTACTATACAATTTAAATATAATGATCAGTGTAAATCAATTAGACTATTGACAGCTAAGCTCCTATTAGTTATGTAAACATTTAAATACATTGATAGACTTTAAATCACTGTCATTAAACTCATAAATAATACTTACAGAAAATCATCTCTTATGTTCCCATTAAACGTGCCACACAGACCTAATGTTCTTCTTTTCCATGTACTAGTGAGCTGAATGTAAATTCTTTCCCCATCAATAGCAAATAGGATCTTTAAACCAAATGTAGTTTTTAGAAGAATAAATAAGGATGACAGAGTTTGAATATCAACAATACCTTCAGGAAAGAAGCATATGTAAGTTAGCTTTGAGACTTACAGGTTAAATAAATAAATAAATATGTGTGTGTGTGTGTGTGTGTGTGTGTGTGTGTGTGTGTGTGTGTAATACTACATTGTTACACTTGTACTAGGACTGATCTTCCTATAAGTCATTTTTCTCTCTCTCTCTCTCCCTAATTTTGTCACCTATGACTGGTTTCTTTTTCACATTTCTCTTTTTTTCTCCCAATTTCTTGGATCTTCAATAAATATTAATGTCTGTGTTTTCTCCCTTCCCTTCCAAATTCTACGCCACTTGATGTAAAGAGTAGATATTTCGGACATGGGGGGGGGGGTCTCCCCCATTTCTAACTGAGAATCTGTGACACACAGAGAGCCTTGTTTCTTACCATTCAGACTGAAGCCTTGGTTAGGACTGGTGATGATTTGTCCACCCCTACTGAGGGTCACTTGTTTGTTAATATCATCTTCTAGGATTAGAGTTATAGACTGAAGGCAGACCAAGCCAAGGTTCTGCATTAAAATCAAATTATCAATGAAAGGAATGAGAGCCAGACATAGACACAGAAAGTGGTAGAGAAGATGAGAGAGGAGAGATGAGTAAACAGAGAGACAGTGAGAGAGAGAAGGAAGAATACTATAAATACAAATTAATCCTTGAGCATGATATAATGAAGTAACTGTCCATACATTTCATGTAGCCCTGTTTCTAATAAGATATATTTTCCTATTGTATAATAAATGAGCCACACAAAAATATTTTTATGGCCTTGGGAATTGAACTCGTGGGCTTTCAAGGCAGGCATTTCACTATTTTTTGCCTTGTAGAAAAGGGTCTCATTTGGTGCCTAAGCTGGCCTGGGCTGTGATTCTCTTGCTTATCCTTCACAGTGTTGCTGGGATGAAAGGTATGTGCTACTATAGTCAGCCTGAGCTAACCTTGAAATCCTCTATCTCCATCTAACATGTAGGTTAGATTAGAGGCTTGAGCCACAGAACCTATATTGCTTTCACATTTTGATATCTCTAAAATCAAAGTACATCATGCAATTAATGATATGTCATGATTGTCAGCATTTTCCCCTCCTCTTGTGGTATGACAGTATTTCTTATAGTATCCTAATTAAGATATGACATGTAAGCATGAAAAATACATGTTCTTCTTATCATTTGAGATGCTGTCTTACCTGCTCACAGTGAGCTTTCTGTAAAGTAATTGTGAATCTATCTTTTCCAGTTCCTTTCACAAGGATGTACTGACACATGCCAATAAAAGAATAATGTCGGCCATCAAAAGTTGTAAAATGAGAATCACCCACAACAGAGCATTGAACTACCAAAAAAAGAGAGAGAGAGAGAGAGAGAGAGAGAGAAAGGATGAGGAAAGAGGAGGAAGAAGGGGAAAGGAGGAAGAATAGGAAGAAAAGAAAAGGAAGAGTTGGAGAAGGAAGAGGAAGAACTTATGTTAATTCTTAAATAGCAGGAAGTCACTTAGGATAAATAATCACATATCAAAAAGAACATCTGAAGCACTTGCATTTTACTGATGTGAGCAAATTTATTAGACTAAGTTAAAGTATTCAAATTAATTACTTAGTGAAATTTAGAGCTTGTTAAAAGTCCTTCTATATACTTTAAAGTTTTTATTACATTTATACATGTTACAATAGTCTCCTGCTCAAGGCTATCATGTACTCAATTTTCCACTTATCCTCAGTACAAGCATTTGTAGATTATCATATTCTTTGCTATATAGAGCTGTCCTTATAAAAAGCAGAGCTATTTTTCATTCCAATTGTCTTAATTAAGACATTTGCATCAAACATATTTTCAAAGATTACCTGGACAGTCATGCTCAGTGCAGTTCCAAACTCCGCCAACACACACACTAAATGAAATTTTAAATATTAATTAATGACTTATAAAAGCTGTTAATATGTGTATCAATATTTTGATTAATATAGTAAAATATATCATGTTTACAGGTTCTGAACAGTCTATCTTGAAAAACATCTCTACAAAAGTTTGCTGATTTTGAACTGAACCTCAGAAATTATTACCTATAGTCTATATACATTTAATGTCATTGGGCATTGAGGAAAGAAAATAGATGTTGTCTTATGTACCTTAACACAGATATGAGTTTCAGAAAACAGAGCAGACCATGGCTAATTATCTGATCCCATTTCTCTTACAAACACTGACACCAAAGAGAAAAGATGGTGCCTAGTCTTCTGACCTTTTTGGATTACCCTAAAAAATATTTCATGCTTAACTAATATAATAAAGAATTCTAAATCTTTCAAAACTGGCAATATAGAGTCACTTTTTTTAAATTATCCAATAGAAAAGCTCAGGGACAGCATTTGTTTGCACTATGTGTGCAAATTAATTACGAAGTATAGGAAAATACAAGAAATGCATTTGATGGGTGTCAGATTGCATGGAATTACAAAGGGAACTAAACTAGTAGGCATGCCATCATAGAAGAAATTATAGACAGAAAACTTGGTCATGCAATTTAAATAAAATTCAAACATATCCAAAAATGTTTGGAATGACAATAAGTATATACTTTTAAACATGTTATCTCTCATGAGTAAGTTGTTAACTAGCTAGATATCAGAAACAATTAACCATACATTAATCACATACCATTCAGTGCACTCTTGTTCAATTTTGGAGCCAACTGAATAAGCTAATCCATGAAAACTACAAGGGCAGTTTTCCAAGGAGATGCAAGTTCCATTTTCCATTATGAGCCCTATTTAAGAAAAGTATATTCCACATGCTTAAAGGAGATTTAAAAATGATTGCTTTTCAAAATACAATAATGCAACTGACTTTGCTTGAACACCTGCTTATACTAGGTACTGATAGTACAAATTTCTCTCAAAAAGGATTTTTGGCTCTCAGTAGCTACATTGTAAGGGTCTATTTTGGTGCATTTCAACTTTTCTCTCCCATGACTCATGAACATTATAAAAATATTTTGTGTGTATATATATGTATTAGAGAAAATTTATATACACATTTATATACTTGAACATAGCAGACTGAAACCCAATAAAATATCTTTAAGTGGAGAGAAGGTAGCAAAAAGGATAAAGGAAGAATAATATAGAAGAGGTAAATTTGATAAGAGTAAATTATAAACATGTACATAAATATCACAATGAAATCCATTTGTAGGATTAATTTATTCTAATTTAAAAGCTCAGGTTTCATCACATAGAATAAAAGTAATTAAATACTGCTGCCTTAAATTTGAGGGACAAACAGAAAGCAAAAGAAAGAAAGTAGAAACTTCCGTTAGTTTCTGTTCATTGTCAAATGACAGATATTTATGATACTATCACACAGATAACAAAGAAGAAAGTATTGAGACTTAATTGTCTGACACAGTGGTACTACATTTATTATTTCTCTCTGACAAATAAAGAATAAATCAAGTATGTTGCTATGTCTATTTCATTATACATACCAAGACTTTGTAGGAAAAACATTGACTTATATTTTGATCCATGGATTTATCATTAGATACAATCTCCTTACCTTGTCATTGATTGTAGTGGTTCAATATAGTGTGACCAAAAGAACAATAGACTAAAAGTAAACCTGCTCATTTCCAAGTAATCTTAATTTATATTAAGATTATGACATTAGGAAAAAATCACTTAATATCTCTGGGCTTTGTGTGTGTGTGTGTGTGTGTGTGTGTGTGTGTGTGTAGATATGTGTATGTGAGATGCTAGGAATTGAAACCAGCATATGAAAGCTATGCAAGCAGCTTATTACTGAGCAATACCCTCAATATTCTTCTTTTTTAAGTCTGTAAAAATAAAAGGGTTTGGGGGCTGGGAAGGTGGCTCAGTGGTAGAGCACTTGCCTTGCATGCCTGAGGCCCTGGGTTCGATTCCTCAGCACCACATAAGAGAAAAGAAAAAAGCCCAAAGTGGTGCTGTGGCTCAAGTGGTAGAGCGCTAGCCTTGAGCTGAAGAGCTGAGGGACAGTGCCCAGCCCAGAGTTCAGGCCCCATGACTGAACCAAAAAGTAAATAAATAAAATAAAATAAAATAAAAGAGTTTGAATAAATTTTCTCACCATTCTATCAGTACAGTGAATCAACTTGTAAATTGAAAACCCTTTTTTTATCACCTGCAAAGTTATTTTTTCATTCAAAATACTAAAATTATATCCAGCTAAAGTCTTATTATGGGATAGTAGGTGAAAAACAAAGGAGGGGGTAACAATGTTCCACAAGAAATGTACTCATTACCTTAGTCATATAACTGTAACCCCTCTGTACAGCATCTTTACAATAAAGTAAAATTTTAAAAAAAATAAAAAATGAAAGCATTTTCTAAAACTTATTTGTATCTTTTAGAAAAATACAAATAAGTGAATTTGTAAATTTGCTATAAGAAACTTAGGACTTTACATTCCAAGCATTCCTTGGACATTGTCAAATAGTGAGCCTTTGGTGAAAGAAAAGCAACCATTCCTCTCAGTCACTTCAAGGACCAAATCCTACTAAGGTGAAAAATGGCAATACTCTTCATTTTTCTGAGAGAGGACAGCAAGATCAAGATGTGACACTCAGATAACTGAATGTTGGTTTCCATGAGAGCAGACAGGGTTCCTTCACAATGTACTTACCATCTGGGCAGTAACATCCATCAAGACAATGCAGATTGCTCCCAAGACATTGCTTTTCAAATGTACAGGTAGGTGGGCAACAACTGATACAGTCCCGATGGACAAAGCTGTCATCACATTTATCAACTAAAGGGGCAGAGAAGCTTAATTTTATTCACATCTCTTTCAAAAAATTTACAGGAATAAAAATACTTAAGTTTACACATACAGTTGTATAATTTAAAAAAATTGAAGTCACCAGTTTTGAATATTAAAGTAAATGTTAAGCTGCAATATAAGACTAAAGTTAACTGCATAGCTTGAAAAGTAAACACATACTGCAAGCTGAAAAGTCATCTCTCCAATCTTGAATAGGGAAGCCAGCATGAGAACAGGCTCTGGCATACTCAGTGGCTGCTCGGCAGTATGTTTCATCATCATCAGTTCTAGGAAGTGAAAGACAGAGCAGGATTAAATAGTAAGCACTGATGGAACTTCTGCTTCAGAGCTACTAATTTTTAAACATGCCCATTATTCCGGTGTCAGCTGATGTCATTTTGTATGTCTTCAGAATATAACTTATTAGGGTTAACAAGGTAGAAAATATATAAGCATAGGATCTCAGTTAATTAGGTTTAAATGTACTATCTTCACTAAAGTCTTTCAGTAAGTACACTACAATAAGCACACTACTTATCTATTGAGTCAAGTAGAATCCATACTGGAAAAAATTTCTATTTAATAATGAAATTCTTATCAGTCTCTCTCTATATATGGATACATGTACAGAAGAATTTTTAATGCACAAACTATCCCAGATATTTAAATTTTTAATAATCATACTACTCAGATAAAATTTAAATCCCATTAAAAGAGATCAAATTCTATCCCAACAAAAACTTCAAGCATGAAAGTTGTTTCCAAGCATCATGTTCTTAATTGTCCACATTCTGAAATACAATAATATCACTAGTCTATGAGGCTTAAAATTATTTCTATCATTCTTCAACACTCTTCAATAAGATTCCTAAACATGCTTGAAAGATTAAATAAACAGCATTTGGCTGAAGTTTTAAAAGAAGATCTTGAATTCTTTACTAAAACTCAATACTTTTATATCATTGCCAAGAGTAAATAATCACTTTTTCTTGTAGTCACTTTAGGAGCTCCCTCAAACAATAATTTCTTACAGGATCTGCCAGTTCCCAAAGCAGATTAACAAGGTGCCTTAAATAATAAACAGGTTTTTTAACAAGGCAATGGGCTTGTTCTCCAACCTAATCCAAACTGAAAATTGAATAGTTAAATATTTTTAAAGATAATGACCTTAAGAACATTCCATTGTACGAACCTTAACATTTAAAATGCCTGTGTTGTAAAACTCGCCATCTCAAATTACTCTTATCCTGGGCTCCTGTAATGGAAGTAAGGCAGCTTACCCAGTCCAATTAACTCAGCTTTAGCAGAAAAAGAACCTGGACATAGAAACTTTGGAAGTTCAGAAAATTCTAAAACTACAAATAAAAGGAAATTCCTCCTGAAAAGCAGTATAAGCTAAATATTGTTGGATTCCTAAAAAGACATTAAATTCAGGATTTATTTTAAAGAGTGTGCATGTCGGGAGTAGAAGATGGAAAGAGGAATGGTGAGTGAATACAGACATAAGACTCCATGTGTATACATGAAAATGGAACTAGCAATAATGGACATGTTAAATTGTAACTCCCCTGTACAATGATTTGGAGATAGCAACAGATTAAAAGAATTAAAATTAAATTATTTTTAAAATTTTCATTGTAAAGGTGATGTACAGAAGGGTTAGAGTTACATAAGTGAGGTAATGAGTACATTTAATTTTGACAAATTTCACATTCTCCCTCACTTTCTCCTAGGTTTTTTTCCCTCCATCCCCCCCCACACACACACCAAGTTGTACAGTTCATTTCCAACACACTGTCTAGTGAGTAGCTGAATTTTTTCTGTGTGTATTTCCTACAATTAATGGTGATTTGGAAAGTTAGTAAGTGATTATTGGTTTCTCAAGAAAATGCAACTTAAATTAAACTATCATTTGTTAAATGTCTACATCATTCTAGTAAACATTCTAGATACATTAACATACAGTAAGGAAAGAAGTGTTTACCACAATGTATCAAAGGAAATAAGCCTTTATTTATTTTAAGTGTTAACTTTAATTTTTTTAAAAATTAACATTATAATAATGGTTTTGTCTCAAGAAGATAGTAAAAAAGAAAAAAATGTTTGTCTCTAACATAGTTGACTTTGGCATGGTAAAATTAAAATCATTTCCTTGCTGTAAAGTCTGATATTCTTGGAAGCAAAGTCATAAAAAGCTTAAAGGTCTGGTATTATATTATCCTTTAAGTTTCAACTCAAATACCACCTCCTATATGGAGTCTTATAGACACTCCCTGAGAGTCAGGTCTAATTCCACATGCTTAGTACTTTGCCCCTAGAGCACTGAGTCACTGCTGGAGACCTGCCACACTAAAGTCTGGGTTCACAGGCCAAAGGCCACTTCTAACCTGATTCTGCTTGTGCACATGTCACACAATGCTCAGTTCAGAGTACATGCTCAAAAAGTCGAGCCTTGAATCAAATTTAGTATGCCATCGTTATCCAAATAGGAAATTAATTTGTGCTCACCCAATTCACTTTTTCATTTCCATAATATAAGAGCCTTGTGATTTCAAGAGACACACCTTGCCCACAAAAAGAAACATATTCTGGGATACTAGGGGGAAAACAAAGGAGGAGGCAACAATGCTCAATAGGAAAAACAAAGGAGGAGGTAATAATGCTTGATAGAAATGTACTCATTACCTTGCTCATGTAACTGTAACTCCTCTGTTCATCATTTTTACAATAAAAAATGTAAAAAAGTAAAAAGAAAAAAAAAATTCTGGGGCTGGGAAGGTGGCTCAGTGGTAGAGCGCATGCCTTGCATGCCTGAGGCCCTGGGTTCGATTCCTCAGCACCACATAAGAATAAAGAAAAAAGCCAGAAGTGGCGCTGTGGCTCAAGTGGTAGAGCACTAGCCTTGAGCTTGAAGAGCTGAGGGACAGCACCCAGGCCCAGAGTTCAGGCCCCATGACCGGACCCAAAAAAAAAAACATTCTGAAAGTGAAAGGCTGGAATAAAATCTACCAAGCAAACTGCCCCCATAAACATGAAGGAATTGCAATCCTAATATCAAATAAAAATAGACTTCAAATTAAAATTAGCAAGAAGAAATAAGGAGGGTCATTACATACTAATTAAGGGATCACTTCTTCAGGAGGATAATACAATTCAAAATATCTATTCACTAAATAACGGAGCACTTAAATTTATCCAAGAAACACTACTTTCCCTCAAATATCACATAGATCCAAATACTTTAACATACCACTATCCCGGCTGGAGAGATCAACCTGGCAAAAACTCAACGGAGAAATCTCAGATCTAAACGACTGCATAGATCAACTAGACTTAGCAGGCATCTACCAAATATTTCACCCAGTAGCATCAGAATACACATTCTTCTCAGCAGCACATGGATCATTTTCCAAAATAGACCACATTTTAGGTCACAAAGCAAATTTGTCCAAATTCAGAATATTGAAATTATGTCCTGCATTCTTTCAGAACACAAGGGAATAAAATAAATATTCAACACCAAAAGCCAACAACAAAAATCCTGTAACACATGAAGGCTGAACGACACATTGTTGAAACATGAGTGGGTCATGGAAGAGATTAGAAAGGAAATTCAAATGTTCCTGTTATTCAACAGAAATGAACACACCAATTACCAGCTCCTCTGGGACACAGCAAAGGCAGTACTCAGAGCTTATAGCTCTGAGTTCCTACATCAACAAATTGAAGAGATCTGAAACCAACAATTTAATGAGACAGCTGAACTTCCTTGAAAAAGAGCAGCAAGATAAACCCAATCCAGTAGATGGAAAGAAATAATTAAAATTAAATCAGAATTAAATGAATTAGAGTCTGAAAAAAACCATAGAAAAAAAACAACAAAACAAAAATCAACAAAATCAACAAAAATTTTAACAAAATCAACAAAAATTTTAACAAAATTGACAGACCCTTAGCAAATCTTATCAGAAAAAGAAGAGAACACACCGATATAAACAAACTCAGAGATGAGAATGGAAACATCACCACAGAAACAACCAAGATTCAGAACATTATAAGGGAATACTTCTCAATCCTTTATGCTAATACGTATGAGAACCTTGAAGAAATGGATGATTTCCTAGCAAATATCAACATGCCCAAACTAAGCCAAGATGAGTTAAACCAACTTAACAGACCCATATCAAGCATCAAAATAGAAATAGCAGTAAGAGACTTCCCACACAAGAAAAGCCCAGGACCAGGATTTACAGCTGAATTCTACAAGGCCTTCAAAGCAGAACATTCACCAATATTCTTCCAACTCTACAATGAAACAAAGTGAAAGTTCACTACCAAACTCTTTCTATGAATTCATCATACCCTCATCCCCAAACCAGGTAGGGACTCATCAAAGAAAGAGAACTATAAACCCCTTTCTTTGATGAACATTGATGCAAAACTTCTCAACAAATTTTGGTCAATTGACTTCAATAACTCATCAAAAAAATCATACACCATGATCAAACAGAATTAATTTCAGGATACAAAGCTAGTTCAATATATGCAAATCAATCAATATAATTGATCACATCAACAAGAGCAAGAATAAGAGCCACATGATTTTCTCAATAGATGCAGAAAAAGCATTTGACAAGATTCAACAGCCCTTTATGATGAAAGCTATGGAAAAACTAGGAATCCATGGAACATTACTCAATAAAATAAAGTCTGTGTATGACAAACCTAAAGCCAGCATTATACTTAATGATGATGAAAAGCTTAAGGCATTTCCTCTAAAATCAGGAACAGGACAAGGATGTCCACTTTCTCTACTTCTCTTCAATTCAGTATTAGAATGCCTCGCCAGAGCAATAAGATAAGATACAAACATAAAGGGGACCCAAACAGGGAAAGAAGAAGTAAAACTCTTCCTCTTGCAAATGACATGGTCTTGTATTTAAAGAACCCCATGAACTCCACTCCCAAGTTACTCAAGCTGAGCCAAAACTTTGGCAAAATAGCAGGGTATAAAATTAAACCTCAAAAATCAATGCGTTTTCTGTATGCCAATAATGAGAAGAGAGTAGTTGAAATCAGGAAACAACTCCTTTTGTAATAGTCCCACCAAAAACAAACAAACAAACAAACTAAGAGTTAACTAAAAAAGTGAAGGACGGACCTCTAAGATGGAAACTTTAAAAACCTGAATAAGGAAATTAAAGCAGAACTAAGGAAGTGGAAAAACCTCCTATGCTCATGGATTGGGAGGATTAACATCATGAAAATGGCAATACTGCACAAGCCAAAGACAGCATTGCTAGTTTTCCTTGAATCTAGGAAGTGGTCATGTTTCCAAGTTTAGACCCAAAAGACTTTTCTAAGTGAAAATTCCTGAAACATTTAGGCCAAACAATGTCAGTCCTCTATTTTCTATTTTTCTAAGGACTAAACATGGACATGGCATTGGGAATACCACACTAGGCTAAAGAGATGGTATAACAACAACATTGCAGTCACAGTGAGTGAGAATTATGGGTACATAAGCATGACATCAACTCAAGAGCACTTACTTAAACTTTCATGTGAGAGAAATACAAATATCCCATTTAATTTAAACCATTGTTACTTCAGCTGTTGAAGATGGCAAGTAGTATTATAAGCTAATCAAGGAAAAGTGATATTTCTGGACCTACCAAATGATATTCATCTCACCCTACATGAGATATGTGTATAAAGATGTTAATGAAAAGACTCATGGACAGTGGTCTAAGAAATCACATCAAGTAAAGGACAATTTAAAATTAAAATTCTTTATGTATAGCTAAATAAGGGCCAGAGCCTTCCTAGGGAGACCCTCAAATAGAAGAGACTGAGTAAAAGAACAAAGATCTAATATGCCCCTCTTAAAAACAAACAAAATAAAATAAAGATCACAGAACTTTTAAGTATGCAGTAAAGTCACTGTTCACTATTTTAGGCAGGAAGCTATTTTAAAGGGGAAGCAGTTTTAAAGCTTTTCTGTTAGTTCAGGAATCCTTGAAATTTTGACACTCTACATAGAAACAAGGGCATAACTGAAATATGCTCTGAATGAAAAGATTAAATAACTCAATTTAAATTTTAAAAATACTACTACATTCATTGCTTCTGTAAGAATCTCCATTTAACTAAAGAGTGTTTGTAAACAACACAATTCCATACTATCTCAGCCTTTCTTCTGTGTTGTCACCTTTGATAAACTCAAACCTCTTAACAAGCTGCTCAAGAGTCCTCACAGTGGCATTATTCAATCATAAGCCAATTTATCTTTTACAAAAAAAAAAAAAAAAAGTTCAAATGGCCAGACACTTGTGGCTCACACTTCTAATCCTACCTACTCAGGAGGCAGAGATCTGAGGAAGGCAGTTCAAAGCCAACCTGGGCAGAAAAGCACATGAGACTTTTAACTCTAATTAAGCACCAAAAAAAGCTGTGCATGGAGCTGTGACTCACTAACTCTTTTAAGAATTCAGAAAACATGCAGGTATACTAAAAGTCCTTACAGTTTTTTGAATATTCATGCTGTCTAATCACATACACTTGGTAATTTCTTTAAACGATTACTCCATTTCAATGGTGGGTTATTTCTCTTATGTCCTATGATAAATGTGTTGCCAAGACAATTTCCTGTTGTAGCTGCTAGCGTGATTTCAAATGGCATCTATAAGCCTGGCTAGGAATTGGTTTTCTACTAATGCTAATTTACAGTTATTTCCTCACTAAAACTATATGGGTGACACAAGACAATTTTCTGAGAAATGTCTGTGATTTTTGCCATCTCATGTTTTTCTTTTTTTCACTTGTTATGACAATTTTTGGCAATATTACAAAATACTGCTTATGTTCACTGTCAATTAGCAGTAGCTATGAGATCAAAAACATATTGGAAGCATACATATGTATAAAATTCAGTTATTTTACTATTATGATAATGATTTTATTTTCATTAGCATTCTTCACATCCATATTGCATTTTGTATATTTCAGGCATTTTTGTGTATGTTTGCTGGTACTAGGGTTTGAATTTAGAAGCCAGACACTGTCCCTTAGCTCTTTCTGCTCATTGTTGGTGCTCTAACACTGAAGGCACAGCTTTACTTCTGGCTTTATTTGTTTAATTGGAGATAGAAGTCTCATGGTCTTTCCTGCCCTTTCTGGTTTTGAACTACAATCCTCAGATCTCAGCCTCCTGATTAGCTAAGATTTCAGGCATGAGCCACCAATGCCTACATCAAGCACTATTTTGAAGAAATAAAAATCTATAGACATCTCTACAATCCCTAAAGGGGATAGTAGCACAAAAAAAATGTTTTAAAGCTACAGCATTGTGGTCATGAAGTTATGTAAAACATTTATGTTGTAACTGTAAATTTTATTGTAGGGGGAAGAAGAACTTAAGTTTGAACTCAGAGACCCCAAGTACTGTCATTAAGCCATGCTTCAAGCACTTTTTGCTTTAGGTAATTTTTCAGTCAGGGTCTGACACTTTTATACCAGGATAGCCTTCTACTACAAATCCTCCTACCTATGCTTCCCTCCTACCTGAGATTACCAGTAATTGAACCACTGTGGTTGTCTTGCTTTTTGCCCAGACTGTGCTCAAACCATGATTCTCTCAATCTCTGCCAAGCCATTATATTCTGCCTCATAGTAAACTTGTAACAGTCATTTTTATATAAGTACTGTGTTTTGCAAACTGCTAGGAAGGCTAAGCTACAGAAGTGGATTTCACATAAAGAAAAGGGTTATGGCAAATTCTAATCAGTTCACTTACTTGCAAAGGTCATTAACACAACTGGCAATATATAAGTATGGGTCAATATATTCATGACAGCTTAGGAAAGGGAATTGCAACAGTATCTGGCACTTGAAGAAGATTGCCTGTGAATAAACAGATGCCAGTTACCAGGACATATTGACTAATGTATGTCTTCTTATTTTCCATTTTTACTAATCTAGTTCGCTGATTCTGTTCTTACCAGGAAAGAGAGGACCATTTATGTTTAAGAACTTTAATCAACAATTTTCTATCCACATATTTTCATGATAAGTACTGCATTTATAAAACTCATCGAGTTTTTTAAATAATCCTCAAGTCATTCCCTTATTGCAGTTATATATCCTAGACTTAATTTTTAACTTAATATTTTAACTATTTACAATAAAAAAAAAACTTATGCTAAACATAGAAACAATTCATTTATTTTGAGTTCAACCTGCCCAAATTACTCACATCAAATTTACCTCAAATGCTGGCATTCCACTGGAACATGGGTTTGGAAAATCTGAGGGTGTGGGTACACATTTGGTGTCATCTGGAGTTTGCACCAACCAACTGTTTGCAAACATTGCGATGTCTTCTGTGTAGTCCTCTATATTTCATACAACACACAAACAGCCATGATTATATCAATTTCAATTGTCGTAGACATTGTTCTTCAACATTAACTTGCTATTCAAAAAGTTATATTTAATTTTGTTATTACCAATATCATATCAAACTATAACATTCTTTCAGTATAATAAAAACTAAACTCTATAAACATAAATACCAAATAAGAATTAGTATAATTGAAAGAAAAAATCAGACTATTGAAATAACAAAGAGAAAGATAGAAGGCAAGCTAGTGCAGCATTCATACTAAGCAATAGTTAACTAGACAGCATTCAGTTTGTGCTCAAGAAAAGAAAAATATTTATAGAGCTAATGCATAAATAAAAGTTTGCTGAGAAATCTTTCAGACAGTTGTCTCATGATAGTTGACATTACTCAGAAGCTTGTTAAAATTGCTTTTCCCTTTTGAAAGGCCACAATAATTATTTTGTTGGAGTACTTAGGGACATTCCTGTAAATAATTACATAGACAATAAAAAGAACTAGAAAAGGTACCTAAAGAAGAAAAATGTAAGAAATGAGTCTTTTTCATCTAAATATGCTTAACTATAGACCTCAATATGCTCAAGAAAGAGCCCAGTATTAAGAATCCTGAGCCTTTCCCAGCATTTGTAGCACATATATGAGCTAACAGATGTTTGATACGGAACATTGTGGACTCTTGTATCTAAATCAAGTTTGAATTATCTCACTATCTGACCTGTGAGCAAAGTATACAAAGTGAATCTGCTCTAATGAACCTATTTAAAAGTGGTGAGAAATTATTTTTAAAGTTAATTAACAGTCACAATTTGTTTGAAAATACCGTGCTTTAAAAGTCTGAAGAAAACAAATGCTAAAAGGGATGTGGTCTAAAGGGAATTCTACTACACTGTTGGTAGGAGTGTAAACTTGTTCGAGCACTCTGGAAAGCAGTAAGCAGGTTTCTCAAAAGACTAAACATACAGCTTCTCTATGACACAGCCATTCCACTCCTGGACATTTATCCAATAAAACACAAAGAATGCCACACTAAAGCACCAGCACAACCTTGTTCATTACAGCATTGTTCACCATAGCCAAGGTATGGAATCCACCCAGATGCCCTAAGCAGATGACTAGATCAAGAATATGTGGTATTCTATTCAATGGAATTCTACTCATCCATCAGAAAGAACAATATTGTACCATTCATAAGGAAATTGAAAACTTGAAAAAAACTATACTAAGTAAAGTAAGCCAGACCCAGAGAAACATAGGTTGCATGGTTTCCCTCATTTGTGGTAACTAGAATGTGCCTATAAATCTGTAAGTAAACACACTAGATGATTAAAAATAAAGAGACTGGGATATACAGGTCTTTAGATAATCACACAGTAAGACCAAAGGAAGATATTCAAAGGAGCAGCAACAGATAGCTATGTGCATATGATCATATAAAATAATATTTTACAAAATGAATTCCAAGAAATGGAAACAAGAGATTCTTGTTATTGTTGCTGCTGTTTTTGTTGTTTTTTCCTTTTGTTTGTTAGTTTATTTATATTTGGGAGGGTCGGAGGGGGGGGCACAAAAAAGTGGGACAATGGGTGAACAAATACAACACCTCTACAATAACAATAAAATACATTTTTAAAGAAATAAAATAAGAACACCTTAAAAAAGACTAAAGAACCAAAATATTCTTAAAGGCATATATATTTCAATATTTATGCACAAACTAAATAACCCAGGCAATCATTAAGAGTCCATTTTAACCCTGCTGTACTACACATTTGGCTTTTTTTAATACTACATTATAATCACAAAAGAGTCACAAAGGTGTTTATCATGAAACTTTAAATCAATACCTAAGGCATTGTAGGAGCTTACTAAACTACATTAGAATGCTTCGTGTGAAATACACTTGAGCCCAATCATCTAGTATCCCTGCTGTGATGCTTTTGATAGTGAAAAGGAGGCCATGGATTATCATGCTGAGAAGGAAGCCTGAAGATCAAGACCTGCATATTGGTGGCTAGTGAGACCTAGCCATCACGTACAAAAACGGAGTTCTCAACTAGACAAGAAATTCTGAAAAGCCTAATTTCTTTGTGAATTCATGCCTGAAGGATAGATAGGATTGCAGGGAAAACACACTTTTAATTACTGTTAGACATATAACTCAATGTCAGTCAAACTTCTCTAAAGATTAATCGGCAAAGTACAAACTAAGCTTCAAAAACAAAACAAAACAAATTACTAGGCAAGTTAAAGCCAAAGATAATAAGACCCATCTGTAGACATTTTTTTTTTTTTTACTCTTTCAGGACTTGGTGAGACAAAGGACAAAGGATGAACTAATGCAATAGTGATACTCATAAGACACTATGTTGGAAATGAACTTTACAACTTAGGAGGGAAGAAGGGGGAGACAAAGTGGGAGAAAAGGAGGCAGGGGTAGCAACGTTCAAGAAGAAATGTACTCATTACTTTGCTTATGTAACTGTAATCCCTCTGTACATCACCCTTACAAAAATTTTTAAAAGGGGGGACAGTTTTTTTTTAAATCACATCTCTAAAAGTTGCTGTAGGATTTTTTTAAGTTACTTGGTCATATAAAATTGTGAAGAAGATGAAACGTCTCTTTGGGATCTCCCCACATGCTTCCTACCCACCACCCAATAATTCAACACAACTGCCACCTGCCAATTTCCTCTCTTGTAGTCTCCTGACGGCCTCTTCTGTGCTGCATAGTTCTCTTAGGATGCTCAACCACCTATTTTCCAGGTAATGGAGTCTGTCTAGCCCTTACTCAGCCCCCTAACCTGATTCTCTATCTCTATCAAGATAGTGTCATTTCCTTTCCTGGTCTGCACACCACGTTCCCTGGATATCCTGGGGTTAGTTGCCAAAGCACTCTTGTCTAAAACTAACTCTGAGAACTGGACTACTGTTCTTCGTGTAGCTTTAATATAGAAGAAAAATAATAAATTATCACTAACTAGTTCTGGTTAAATCCAAAAGCCAACTTTCTAACACACTCTGAAGTTTCCATATTTGTCATATTGGTTTTATGTGGTTTTATGGAGTCTTGCTGTCTAATCCAGGTCCTAGTAAAAGACCTGAGGATGCATTACCGCTTACAGGCATATTTGTCTGCATTTGAATAAGGCTGCTTAAAAATACTCGAATGCATCTTCGAACAATTTCATTTCAGCTGCAGTACAGGTTTATTGAGAAATGCTTAGAGAGTGAAATGTACTGAGTATTATCTATATGTCAAACATTCTAAGTATTTTACACTAATTATCTCATTTAATCCTTGAAATTCTGTAAAATGTAAATCATTATATCATTAAATTTAGCAACTGAATAAATAGCAATGATTCCAGAGCCCACACTCTAAAGTGGTATTTTTAATTTCTCTTAAAACACACAAATAGCATATCTATTTGTGTCTAAAGCATAACAAAAGTTAATTTGTAACAAATTAGAGTTTAGAGGCAATTATTCACTTACTTATCTAAATAAATGGTGGGCAGTCAATCAGATCTGCAGTCCAACCCTAACAGTACCTTTACAAGATCCATGACATTGGATACACCACCTGTGCTTCACTGTAAGGCTAAGAAAACACTGTCCAGCTTATAGTTTGTTGTAAAGTTTGGAAATATGTAGCCATTGTGTATATTAACTGTTACTATTAATAGTAGCAAAGTATATTGTTACTGAGGCTAACAATATTATATATCCATTGCTTCTAACCAACATGAAAGTTTGGAATTATTTTCCTGGACAGCTGAAGAAGCTGATCATCTAAACGATTAAGTGGATTACATTACAGAATTTGTAAGAGCTGAAGCAAGGTTCAGACAATAAGGGAACTGATGATAGGAACAATATTCTTTTTTATACCACTACATGTAAACCTAAGTTATGATTATGGCTCATGGTCCTCCTGCTCTATTGCTACTGGGCACTAGTACCTGTACTAAAATAGATTCTATTACTAATAACTCATGATTTAGACTTAATAGTTAATCAGGTAAATATATAAAACGTTTCTGAATTACTATTCAACTTTTATAATCCCACTCACATATCATTTATCTTTACAGAATTTGTTAGTTGTTTACTCTCCATCAAGATGGAGTAAAAAACAAATTTTTGTTCTAAAGCAAACACGTTAGACTCAAAAGGGTTTGAACTACTATACCAAAAATCCAAGACCAGAGAGGTCAACACCTCATTCCCTGAAGTGTGCCAAGTTGCTTAATATAGATACACCAGTAGATGCAGAGGCACAAGCTCCAGACAGAAGGTAAATGGCTCCATTAATATTTACTGAACATGTGCTTCATCTTCACTTAGGAAATGTAAACCAAGTTCATGGTTTTCAGTAATGTCCTTAAATGTTTTCCTTTTCAACCTAAGTGAAAGGCAGTTAGAGCCAGGGACTTTCCTGGTCTGTGACACTTCGAGGTTCTAACTGCTTGATGAGAGGAGAAAGGCTTTGGAAAGTACCCACATGTTTCCTTCTGCTTCACTTACCTTGCTCGATGATGAAATCATCAGACTGAATGTCATTGTAGTTTCCACACAGGCCACATGATTTCCCTTTATGTTCTTCAGGCAGTTTGAGATAAACTCCAGATATTCCATCCCAAGCCAAAGTAAAGCCAAAGGTTGTTTTTACCAGAATGTAGTCAGCTAATTTCTCAATGAAAACCTGTCCAATTGTCTGAGGCAACGTTAAACTTAAAAAATAGAGTAAAAGCCATCTAAGAATTATGATGAGCCATTAATTGCAGAGATGTATTTTCTTCTTGGAGTGACCAGATAGTAATTAAAAGGACCTTATTATCATTGAAGAAAGTATTCAATGAGATCCCCAGAGCAATCATCCAACAAGAAATTTCAACGTTCTTGAAAATATTAAATAGTATTTAACATTAAATGTCAACAAATAATACCAATTAATTACAATTAATACTGTGATAATATGTTAGTAATGTTCATTCTAAGATTAAATATTAATTCTTCTAATATTAAAATTTTAAAAATGATAATACTCTTGTGCCATTGTGAGTTAGTTACATTTACAATTGGATACTTATTTTAATCAACCAAAAATTCATACATGCCCTTGCCCATGTAATTATAACCCCTCTGTATGATATTTTCACAATAAAAAAAAATTCACACATGCTAATTATAGATACATTTTTAAACCTAAGAAGTAGCTTTGCCTCTTCAGAATGTAAAGGTTTTTAGGTGTTTTTTATCTAGAGACTTAAATATAATCTAATAATCCTATTCAATTTCGAAGTAAAAGTAAACAGCAGTTAAAATACACAAACACACTTGAGTTCTGATTTTGTTTAACTGAATTTTTTAAATGGCTATAAGGAAATAGCTTCAATCACCAAAATGGCAATTTGGAATCAACCAATGTTGCTAAAAGAAAATGCTTAGGGATGATTAGTTCTCATTTACAATTTTAGTGTTGCAAGAAATAGGAGCTGGGAAGGTGGCTCAGTGGTAGAGCGCTTGCCTTGCATGCATGAGGCCCTGGGTTCTATTCCTCAGCACCACATAAGCAAAAAGAAACAAGCCGGAAGTGGTACTGTGGCTCAAATGGTAGAGTGCTAGCCTTGAGCTGAAGAGCTGGGGGACAGCGCCCAGGCCCACAGTTCAAGCCCCACAACCAGACCCCCCCAAAAAAAAGAAACAAAGAAATAGTGTTAGGAATATAATGTGCTTTTCTTAGAGAATTGCATAGAGTTTATATATTTATACTTTTCTTATTGGATACAATTTAACCTATTTAAACAAGGATCACAGAGAAGGAAGGAGAGAAGAAAGGAAGGAAGGAGAGAAAGCAGGCAGGCAGGCAGGCAGACACAATGGCACTTACCTGTCACCCTAGTAATATGGGGAATCACAAATATGAGGATAACAGTCTAGTCTGGCACTGGCATAATCTTATCTTGAAAATAACCAACATAAATGGGCTGGCAGAGTGTTTCACCTGCTAGAGCACCTGCCTAACAAGTGTAAGACCCTGAATTCAAACTCCAGTACCACCCCCCCCAAAAAGAGAGAGAGATTCTTACATGTGCCTATGTAACAATGCTTATATTTTGTACAAGCAGTAGAGAGATTACATAAACTACATTTTTTTGGCCATCTGATTGGCCTCAGAACCTACTGAATTTTGTTGTCTATGTAACATAGCTGTGAGGCCACTGTCAAAGAAGGAAATTTCTGTCTTGTACTCTACAGTTCACTTATAATCTGTGATATTTGAAAAATCAATTAATCTATGGTATCATATTCATGAGACAATTTATCATGTCTTACCTGATTCCATCCCTTTTTATTTCATGACCATAAATTTGAATTTCCTCTTGGTTTGAGAAAAATAAGCTGATTGACCGATAGCAAGAGTACACTGACCCCAGGCACCGAGGACTATTATGAACCTTTCAGGAAGAAAAACAAAAAGACAGCATAAGAACCAACAACCAGTAAGGTCTCTTGGATGATTAAAATCTTTATAGATGGTTACTATTCTATTATGGCACCATCAGTCCCACGCTTTATAAAGTTATCACTACATTTATGAGTGCTAATTAATTCAGGATAATTTTAGACATATATAAATCTTGGCATGTTGAATATTAATATTCTGAAGTTACCTGGTACATGTTGAAAAAATAGTCCTGATAGGAAAAACGATAGGTACAGCAAAGAAACACATTTTTAATATCTATATCCATATATATTTTGTAGAATCACAAAAAAGAGCCACTTAGAGCTCTACACTAAGCAAAATCTAAAGGTTGGAAATGTGCTCATGACTTCAGTAAATATAAAGTTTATTTTCTTTTTACCTGTTTTCAGATTCTTTAGAAAAAATTGAAGTTATTACTTAAAACATTGATGAAAAATTTAGTTTACTTGTAAAAGAAAAGTAAATCAAGGAAGAAGAGAGAAGATACAAGTTAATTTTCTTTCTTATACCAAATTAACATCAGAAGCTCTCTAAAATGAAGTATAAGTAACGAAAAACACAAAATTACTGAAAAAACATAGATAACTGTGGGAGTAGAAAATGACTTTCAAGGGCTGGGAAGGTGGCTCAGTGGTAGAGCGCTTTCCTTGCATGCCTGAGGCCCTGGGTTCAATTCCTCAGCACCACATAAGCAAAAAGAAAAAAGCAGGAAGTGGCGCTGTGGCTCAAGTGGTAGAGCACTAGCCTTGAGCTGAAGAGCTGAGGGACAGCGCCCAGGCCAAGTTCAGGCCCCACGACCGGACCCCCCCCCCCAAAAAAAAGAAAGAAAAGAACTTTCAAATATAATACAGTATATATCTGATTAAAATACCAATATTGAGGTCGAATTTAAAGGTGGTAGTAATTTAGTGTATATCAATCAAATGGCTAATCTACAAGTTCCATTTACTACAAATCATGTACAATATACTGTACTAGATTAAACAGATAAAAATATCCACATTTAGTCGGGTGCCAATGGCTCCTGCCTGTAATCCTAGCTACTCAGGAGGCTGAGATCTGAGGATCACGGTTCAAAGCCAGCCCAGGCAGGAAAGTCTGTGAAACTCTTATCTTCAATAAACCACCAGAAGAGCGGAAGTGGCCCTGTAGCTCAAGTGGTAGCGCGCTGCCTTGAGCTGAAGAGCTTGAAGGACAGCGCTCAGTCCCAGAGTTCAAGCCCCACAACTGACCAAAAAAAAAAATTCACATTCATGGAGCTTTGTCCCTTTGCAAATGTTGGAAAACATAATTTAAACTTCTTTAATGCTGGGAGACACTAGGGAGAAATACTGAACAGAAAAAGGAGACGTGTCAAGTTTAGGGAATTAATTTCAGATTGAGTAGACAAGTAAGGTCCTTCTGGGGCAGTGGAATTCTGAAAGAGAAGGAATATGAGAGCAAGCTGTACGAGAACTCTAGAAACTGATTCTAGACAAAGAGAACACAAGCACAAATCTTGAGGTAGGAATCTTCAATATCCAGTCTCCACTTCCATGAAAGATGGTGGGATAGACTTCTCCGGAGAAGCAAAATGAAAACAAAACCAAAAAAGAAATATAAATATCAATATGTGAGCACTTAACGAATGAAACCAATGGACAACTGCTTCATCTCACACCAGCTAAATAAACTCACTCCATAGATCAAAACTTTCCAATCAGCTTTTAGAGCTTTATCCTCAAATGTAAACAAATGTTTACAAATCATTCATCTTCTGATAGAAGTGTTCAACATGAAAGATACCAAATAAACAAAAGGAAATCAGAGAAATAAAAAAACTCAATATTAAAGAAACTTCCATAAGAGGGATAATTTCCCTCTTTAGAAGGACAAGTGAGTAGATGACACTTATAAAATAAGAATTAAGGGCTGACAAGGTGGCTCAGTGGTAGAGCGCTTGCCTTGCATGAATGAGGTCCCTGGTTCGATTCCTCAGCACCACATAAACAGAAAAAGCCAGAAGTGGTACTGTGGCTCACGTGGTAGAGCACTAGCCTTGAGCTGAAATGCTGAGGGACAGTGCCCAGGCCCAAAAAGTTCAGGCCCCACAACTGACAAAAAAAAAAAAAGCAGTTCAAGGCTAAGTGTACTAACTCACTCATTCCTGTAATTGCAACTACTCAGGAGGAAGAGATCTAGAAGACAATTGGTTGAGGCCAGCCCAGGCAAACAAAAAGGAGACACCTCAAAAAAAAGCTGGGTATGGTAATACACACCTGTCATCCCAGCTATACAGGATGCATAAATAGAAGGATTGCAACTAGGAGGGAAATAATGACAATAATGTAAAATCTATATGTTGTTTTAACTAATCAACTCTATATAACTCTATTAGAATGAGGGAGAAGATATGCAGGTATATGCATATTGTCTATGAATTGCATGTGTCTGTGTGCCTGTTAAGTAGCATGAAGAGTAATGTAGTTAAGATGATCCCTAATTTATCATACTAAGAAGTGGTTAAATAAGATTCAACTTTGAAAGTAAGGAAATAATAGTATATTTTGACATCCGATAAAAGCTCTAAATGACAGCTTTTTAAAAGCAGGAATACTGAGATGGATTTCTGTTGGAATGGGTAAAAAAAAATGCAGAACTATATTTTTTCTTGCAGCATTAAAGATAAAACCCAGGGTTTGAGCATGCTAAGCAGAGACTCCACTTCTTGAGCCAGGTACTCAGATCCAGGGCTATAGCTTTGATATATCTTACTTTCTTTGGGGGGGGGGGGAGGAGGGCGGGTCCAGTTATGGGGCCTGAACTCTGAGCCTGGGCGCTGTCCCTCAGCATTTCAGCTCAAGGCTAGCGCTCTACCACTTGAGCCACAGTGCCACTTCCAGCTTTTTTTTTTCCTGCTTATGTGGTGCTGAGGAATCGAACCCAGGGCCTCATGCATGCAAGGCAAGCGCTCTACCACTGAGCCACCTTCCCAGCCCCTGCTTTGATATATCTTGAAGAAGTCCTTTTAACTATGTTCATATGTCCTTATCATAAAAGCAAAATTAAATTTAAATAAGAAAAACCTTGGACATAAAATATATGTAAATAAAGTATTTATCAGTATATCTTTTAGAAATGCTGATTTTAAAATATAAATTTACAAAAAAGAATATTTATAGTCATTTGATTATCCCATTAATTTGAACAAACTTATCTAATAAATTTGTTATGAAAAATATTTGCCATGAAAGATCATAATGTATTGCTATGTATTATTTGTATATTATTATATATAATTATTATCATGTATTATGTATTATTAGTCTATGAACACACAGAACAAAGAATTATGAATAATATGATTTAAGTTTTATAAATGCAAATAAAAGCCAGAGGAAGAAATTCTATAAGGAAATATACATCAAGCCATTAGCAATTCATGATTAATAATCCTAATACTGTTTTATAGACTTCTCTGAAATTTCAAAATTTTCTACAAAAGATGTGAAATACTTTTTTAACCAGTTGGAAAAATGACATTTAAAATAAATGTATTTCTTGATTTGAAAGTAAATGTTTCAAAAAAAAAAAAATCCTGGATCCAACAGAAACATTATCTATTAACTTGTGGAGACATTGTTCTGCGTTGTGCTATTTTCTAAGAAGACCTAGTTGACACCTTAGCCCTTGAAAGAGTGAGCCCTAGACAAGAACATTTCAATGAGAATGAGATGAGTTCAAGTGATAAAACTAGGGCAGGGGACACTAACTTCATATCTCAAGAGACTGCTGGTATTTTATCCAATACCCCATAATTTAACTCACTATATCTCCTTGCCTTTCTAGGTCACAGACCTAGAGCTTATCTGGGCTATATGGAATTTTAGCTTCTACAGGGAACAGAACAGCAGTCTCCTGGTTGAACTGTGAGATTCTTAGAAATTCAGAGAATAGTCGGCAGGGAAAGAAATCTCTGACTGCCTTACTTCAACTATAGCCACTCTGCAGCTTGAATTTTGATGTCTTCTAAAACCCCATTCAAATCACAAATTCAGCAACTAAAGAATCAATTCTTTGAGCTCAGACTTGCAATACCAATGTGCCTAGGAATCATGTAACTCATGTTCTCTATTTTCTAAAATGTTCATTCCCAGCATGCCATTTCATTTTATTTCATTTCATTTCATCCGATGCTGGAAGCTGAATGAACCTAGGTGCTATGAATGCTAAGCACACTTTTTACAATTGGGCTATAACCCAAGACCAAGGGGAACATTTTTATTTAATTAAATCATGTGGGCATTTCTCAATTCGAGTGTCAAGAGGAAAGTAACTGTTAATAATATGATTGGTGCCCAAACTCAACGATCTTCAAAATGATCAAATTAAATATGAAGGTAAGGATATTGGCTGAAGTTTATATTGCAACAAAGTATATGATACAATCCCTCACTGCCTGTAGGACTCTCTAACATGGATTTAAATCCTATGTCTCACTGTGCTAGGCCTCATGTCAATAGAATTATACTCAACATTGCAACCAATTTGAACCTTTCCACTAAGGACAGAGCCTTAAGTCTTTATTCTTGAGTAATTTATTTTCCGTACCATTTTTTCCCAGTACTTTTTAAACACATGCTTTTCTAGTGATAACTTTTTAAGTTAGTTATAGCCTAAGATCACCTACCCATACTGTGTATCGAGGTTCCAAGTTACCACAGTCCTTTGCAAAAATGTAAGAACAGTTTCCTGGGAAGTAATAGTAGATGCCATCAAATGTTTCAAAATGATACTGTCCCCAGGTTTTGCAAATTCCATCTCTTCCACTGCCCATGTTTGGGACTGAAACAAAACAGGACAAAGTAGGACAAAACAGGACAAAGTAGGACAAAATAAATGTCACTTTTTTCTAGTAAACTTAGAACAAGGTAAGTGAGCCTGATTTTTATTATAATGGTCTACAGCACATGAAGAAATAGCCAACATAGAATTACCAGGTATTCTCAAAACAGTCAAACCTCTTGAAGAAAAAGAGTCTCCAGATTGTTGCGCAGAAAGAAATTTACGTTAGAAACTTCACAGATTTTTGTTTCTAGAAGACTCTAGGAGAAAGGATGAGCAGGTAAAATGATAGGGAAAAAGTGATGGTGATGAAGCAAGTCAGTGGCTCAGAAAAGAAAGAAGTGTCACAACTGAGTGTCCCAAAAATTAGCATGGGCAGCATTAGAGTCTTCTAGTCTCCTCAGTTTTTTCAAAATCTGAGAGAAAAATAACTCAATTAAGAAGAAATCATATTTATTATGTCTAGAAACTTCAGAGTTTACTGGAATCTAGAAAACCATGACCTCAAACTGGCCAAATTTCAAAGAGTATTCATCTCAAGTCAAACAATTTTCTTTTCTTTTCTTTTTTTTTTTTTGTCGGTCATGGGCCTTGAACTCTGGGCGTGAGTGCTGTCCCTCACTTGAGCTACAGCGCCACTTCCGGTTTTCTGGTGGTTTATTGGAGATAAGAGTTTCACGGACTTTCCTGTCCGGGCTGGCTCTGAACCGTGATTCTCAGATCTCAGCCTCCTGAGTAGCTAGGATTACAGGCGTGAGCCACCGGGGCCTGGCTTCAAACAATTTTCATGTATGATGATTATGCCTACTCTGGTGAAATAGACTTCAGTTTATTTTCTGGACCGTTCATGTCAGATTAATGTAGAGGTTGGTGATATTTTTGAGCATATAAAATGTTTAAAACACTTCAATATATGCTATAGAAGCATAAAGAAGAAAGTAGGCCTGGGGGTGCCTGTCTGTAATCCTAATACTCCAGATGCAGAAGCAGGAGGGCATATCACTGCTAGCTCAAGGACAACCTGGGCTGAATAGGAAGAACCTGTTTCAAAAATGAAAACAAAACAAACATTCTAAAAGAAGGCGGGGGAAGACAAAGGACAATCTTCATACCTTTTCTTTCTTTTTGAAATGTAGCTAAAGTTGCTAGTTTTGAATAGACCACACCTGGTTGGTTTTTCAGGCTGTTTGTCCTGCCTGTGTCTCATCTCTGTGGTCTATGGAAAGAGCTTTCCTTCTGAGTGCATGGCACAGAGCTCTTGGGTACCTCCAGGGAATCAAGGATATATCTGTCCTATGCACCAGGTATCCCCTTAGGCTGGGGTCCTGTAGATGTTCAGTAAATGTTGATTAAAACAAATTAATGTTTGTTTATCTTTACTAATAAAGGATCCTATCTTAGTAAAGATATTTGAAAGGACATTTTTCCCTTTCTTTGAATAACACACAATACAATTTCAATTTTATGTATAGAATGCCCAGATAATTCAGAATTAAAAAACTGAGTGGTTTCCAAGGAGGAATCTAATTTACAAATGAAAAAAAGATACAAATGTGAGTCTGATTTCAACAGGCTAGAATGATATAAAGTGGAAAAAAATCTTTGAGGAAATAGTTTAGATCAGTGAGTAGAGAAAGTGGGTATATCTATTTTCTATATGACACCAAATTACTCAGGATGAATTGTGAGCTTTCTAGTTAATATATAATGTGGCTGTACCAACTCCCAATACATGAACACTCCTGTAGCAAATTATGCCTTAATGTTGCTTCAGTATCCTATAATTCTCTCATAAATATCCTTAAACTTACCAATCTGGCACCTGGTCCCAAGAGCCTGAAATATTTGACAGTCACATGTACCAGTCTTAGAACAGAAAGCTCCATTAAGGCATTCATGAGGACAAGAACCTGAGGACAAAATAATAAGTTATCTTCTGGAATGCATCAGTTCTTATAAACATAATATGTCAAGATCAAGTTCGGACTAACTGTAACCACTATTAACTTAAACAGAACTCTGGGCCTTTTGCCTTGCAGAGCTAAAGAATTAAACCATCAAATTTCTATCAAGTTCATTTCATGATGCGTGCTGTGAAGCAAGAAAGACAGGCTTTCACATTTCAAAGAACTCCCAGAGCAAAGGTTAGCCTCCTTCAAGCAATTGAAAGGTCAAGTTCCCATGTAAGGAATCCCTGTCCCAGAAGATGAAAACCAGAAATACACAAGGTGCAGAGATTGGTGGCTAGATTCTGGCACCATTGGCCCCTCTCCCAGGAGAAAGCACCCTCACAGAGGATGCTGTCTATTGCCAACTTGTGGGATCATAAAAAGTATAGAACAAAAAAGAAAACTACCACTGGAGAAGAGAATAATGACACACTTCATTTGACGTTTGTCTATTAATCCTTAGACTGGATACAGATGATGCAATCTTTGGAACCTGTGCTTAATATGGATGAGGCAGAAGCCAAAATCCTTGTGGTCACAAAAGTACTCTTTTTCATGAAAAGAAAAAGTGACCCTAAAGAATTACATTGAAAAGAAAAAGCAAGTAACTTAATTTTGTCATCATTGAGAGAGTTTGAGAATGCAAATGAATTACAGTAGAAACTTTCCTTCTGTTAAGCAGAGGACAAGAGGCAACTGGCAAAACTCAAGCAGGAAGGATTTACATGACACGTTAACAAAACTACAAATATCTTTTGAGTTACTGTAAAGTATTAGTCAGGAAGTTGGGCCTGCCTGGATTCCATCAAGCTCATGAAAGCCACTTATCTAACTGCAATAATTTAACCATAGTTCTGCCAAAAAGTAAGAACAAATTATTTTATTTTCTAATAAGTAAATCCCTGTTTAGATGTGTACTTAGATAAAACAATGTATCTTCTTGAAAATGTTATTTACATTCTTATCCTTTCTCTATAAACAAACACCAAATCAAAACTAGTGCTAACTTATTACCATTATTATATCATGATATTAAAAATTATAGTAGTTTACATTTCTATTTGTTAGTTATCACCGACGTTAAATTTTAAATTGTTATCAACAATCTGTTCAATGGAAATGGGAAATCCATAAGGAAAAGAATCATGGCATCAGAAAGGGCTTCTGATACTCAAAATTCAAATTCAGAGTAATTTGAATTTCTATAAGAAGTTTAAAATATTACTATCCAGGCCTAGTTCCCTCCATGTTGTATGTGGGAACAATAAAAAAAATTAATATATCTCTCGAAGGGACTTTTAGAATAAACAGAAATAAAGCCACAAGTATAAGCACTGACCTTTTATTTTACTCTCACCCCAATTAATAGCTTCATGGAAAAAATACCTTGGAGAACTGGCTTCAAACTTTAAAAGAAAGAAATGAGAATTCAAAATAGTTAAGTTGTTTAAACCAAACATGCAAATGGAAAAATCTGAAAAAACAGCTACGAACACAGAAAGTATAGAGTTTCAGTTTATGTTGCTTTGATAATTAATGGAGGCAATCGCAGTAAAGCAGAAGTGCCTGTGGAGTAGTACAGTTAGAAGACCCGGTTTCAAGCCATCACCGCCTGTCCCCACTTCCTTTGTGAAAGGAGCCTGGTTGGAGCCCAGTGTTTGGATTAACTATTCACTTTGCCTATAGAAATAGCAGTTATCTAGCATTTCCAGGTATCTTTGGGTCTGTGGGTGAAAAATGCTTGTGGCTGTTGGACCAACAGTTAAAACTGTCTGCCAGTGCACTAACCTACAAAAATACCATGACAGTATCACCTTCTGCCTATTTAGGGAAGTTTCCTTTCTTCTTAGTGCTACCAATCACTGTCTGTACAATGAACAATATGACACTTCACTGCGCAGTTATGACAATAAAGTAAAACAATGTAAAGATTTTAGCATAGTGCCTTACACAGGAAATTAGCAATGAAGAGATTTATATTGATTCAAAACAACTTCTATGAAACTTTGCTGCTTTATGGCAAATCACTGTGCATTGTTAACAATAATCAGTTACATATTATTATCATCATTATTATTATTATTATTATTATTATTATTATGGATCAATGTCAATTGACCGTTTAGCCCAAGGTCATATACACCCACAATTTGCCACATAATTACCAAATTAAGTAGCTGCTGATGTTAAAGAAAACTGGACAAAAGTGTAGGGAGGAAGAGGGATGTGACATGAGGACAAAGTCCTCAACCCTCTTCCTCATTTTAGTTTTGTATCTATCATCTTTCCACAGGAAAGCCCACTCCTTGCTCATGAAATTTCTCTCATTATTTGGAGACTCATTTCTAAACTCCTTGCCATACCCTGTTGGCTCCATGGTCTATATTTTTTCTCCTTCCTTGCTGATTACACATCCACAGGAAGGTGAGCAACACCAACAAATAAATGGTCCTTGTGGGAAGATGACTGCAGCTCACACATACTCTACACAGAAGTCTGTGTCTAGCCTTTTCTTGCTCACTACCAGTTTCTGAGTACAATTATGTACCCATCAGTGCTACTTTCTTGCAGCAGAGGAATGAATAATTTAAGAATAACGGTTTTAAGTATATGAAATTCTAAACAGTTCAACATATCTTGGGTAGGGGGTGGCAGTCTTAGGGCTTGAACTCAGGGTCTGAGCACTGTCCTGAACTTTTGCTCAAGGCCAGCACTCTACTATTTGAGCCATAGCTCCACTTCTAGCTTTTTTGGGGGGGGGGGAGGTAGAGGTTATTAGAGACAAGAGTATCATGGACTCTGACTAGATTGGTTTTGAACCATGATCCTCAGATCTCAGCTTCTTGAGCTCTTGAGTCCCTAGGATTATAGGAGTGAGTCACCAGTGCCTGGCTTCAAATTTCCTTCTTTAACACATTTTTAACAGTTTTTCAGACATTGGATGGTAATTAATGCATGTTTCCAGGAAATAGAAGTGCATATCTCCTGTTCTTCAGTCTCCCTAAAATGGAAATCAATGTAAGATAAGTATGTTCCTCACTTCCTATTAAGAGGGAGTACTAATTTAGTTCCATTGAGGTAAATTCTACAAATTCTGGCATCCACATGAAGAGTAATAAGATTCCATCCATTGGGTGCTTTATTTGACACTGTTGTGAGGGTCTATTTCATAGGCTTTCAATCTCCTGAGTTGACCAGAATATAGTTTTTCTCAAAATCCATTTTGATACTCTCATGCTAATGACCTTTGGTGATTAATATGTTCTAATTGACAAACATACTTAAAATTTCTAAGAGGAAAATTATTTTAAATATGTCACAAGACATATAAGCACTTCTGCACACAGAACACTATTTTACTTGCTATATTCCTTCCTTATTTTATTGAGGGGTGAGGGTCTGTTTTGGAGTCAGACTCTTGCTGTGTTGCCCAGGCAGTTTGGACTCAAACTCATGATCCTCGTGTCTTAGCTTCCAGAGTATAAAACATGTGTTTTAAAGAAAAACTAAACTAGGTATAGTGGCTCATATCTATAATCTTACCTACTTGATAGGTGGAGATGAGAATATCATAGTGCAAGGCTAGCCCAAACAAAAAGTTCATGAAAATCCTCCATCTCAATCAATAACAAGCTGAGTCCAGGCCAGCCACAGATAGCTCATGCCTGTAATCCTAGATCTCAGGAGGCTGAGATCTGAGGTTCTTAGTTCAAAGTCAGCTCAGGCAGGAAAGTCAGTGAGACTCTCAGTTCCAATTATTACCAAAAAGCCATAAATGGAGCTGTGGCTCAAAATGTTAGAGTATTAAACTTGAGCACAAAAGCTTAAGAACAGCACCCAAGTACTGAGTTCAAGCCTCAAGACAGACAGTCACTCACACACACACACACACACACACACACACACACACACACACACACACAAGCTGAATGTGGTGACAGAAGTCTGATAGCTATGCTGGAAGCATAAAAGGAAAATCACAGCCCGGGCCAGCCTGAGCAAAGGGTAAGTGCCTAATCAAGAAATAAGCAAAGTAAAGGGCTGGGAAGGTGGCTCAGTGGTAGAGCGCTTGCCTTGCATGTATGAGGCCTTGGGCTCGATTCCTCAGCACCACATAAGCAGAAAAAGCCAGAAGTGGTACTGTGGCTTAAGTGTAGAGCACCAGCCTTGAGCTGAAAAGCTGAGGGATAGTGCCCAGGCCCAGAGTTCAGGTCCCACAACCGACCAAAAAATAAATAAATAAGCAAAGTAAAAAAGAGCTGAGGGCATGGCTTAAATGATAGAGCACCTGCCAAGCATGAAACTCTGACTTCAAACCCCAAAACAGCAAAAAAAAAAAAAAGTTTTCATTTCATATTGCTACTACTCTTGATTAGTCTGAATAGTCCATCTTCTAAGTTGTTGCAATAGCATATAAGATCTTTCCCCTGTTTACCTACTAATTCTCTTCAGTATAACAGAATAAAATATATAAATTCAGGCATCCTTCTGGAAATGCTAGTCAGCGGTCTCCTTTATGTCTAAGCTACTTGCTAAAAATTTTCAAATCAGCTGGGCGCCTGTGGCTCACGCCTGAAATCCTAGCAACTCAAGAGGCTGAGATCTGAGGACCACGGTTCAAAGCCAACTCAGGCAAGAAAGTCCATGAGACTCTTATCTCCAATTAACCACCAGAAAACTGGAAATTGAGCTGTAGCTCAAGTGGTAGAGCTCTAGCCTTGAGCTGAAGAGCTGAGGGACAGCACCCAGGCCCAAATTTCAAGACCCACAACCGACAAAATAAATATTCAAATCATATTACTTTTTAAAATAGTACCTTTACAAAGAATGTCTATTTTGTTATCTGTCTTAAAAGTGAAATATTCATTTGAACATAATGCAATTATGTTATTCAGTATTCCTTATAAGAAAGAACCCAGGCAAAAAGGTTCCTTGAAACTCAATGCTACACTGCTCCAAAAAAAAAAAAAAAAATCAATTACTTCCTCAGAGATACTTGTCAGTTACACTTTTTAGAAAAAAATAACATCTATTTCTAAGACATAGGATATGTTGATGTTCTTTTTGCAGTATTTGGCTCATAATGTTTCCATCTTTCTTTGCTTATTTCTGCATTGTTCTCCTGATACTGTATTTTCTTTCAAAGTAAATTCAAATGTTCCAGCAAGTAGATGGAATTTGATCCCCATAAATACTTCAAGCCTATAAGTAGGTAACAAAAACAGCAAAGAGAACTATTAATTGGAGAGTCGCAAAAAGCAGCAGAAAAGTGACTTTGCCTCTTCCTCCTCCTTCCTGTCTTGTTGCTAGCATTTTATTTCCCTCCACAAAGGTCTCATTGTTGGAGTGACAGCGCAGTCCAAAGCAGAATGGATTATTTCTCTGCCTCTCTCCATCTGAGGCGTAGCCTACCTGTGCTGCTAAAAGAGCTCTTTTCTGTCGATTTTCATTAAACTCATTTCTGGAAGGAAACAAAAAGAACTTGTATAGTCAAAAGCCCTTAGGCAACCTGAACATGTCTTTCCCAAGAGACAGCTGGTGTTTTCCTCCTGATTTCCATCACTTTATCAAAGAGGTCTTTCTTGGTTTAACATTTAAAAGGTCCCCCTCCCCTTTTTGTAAGGGTTAGATTTGGGTTGTGGCGCTGTCTCATTTTACAAAATTTGGGAGTGTCCCCAGATCTCTCTAGTGTCTGATGTAAACTGAATTTTAGGAAGGAACTTGGAGCAACAGAAATAAAGAAAAGGATGTAAGATTGTAATTCTAAACAGTACAATACTTTTTCCACATGACTTCATAAAGCTGGGAAGTCAGTATTTGACAAGATCACTTTTTTCAAATAATACTCAATTCTGTCCTGTTTCATGTCATAAAAGGCAGATAGATAATATAAATGTGAGGGTAACAAATTGAAATGCATAACATTAAGTGATTAAGGGGCTGGGAAGGTGGCTCAGTGGTAGCGCACTTGCTTTGCATGCCTGAGGCCCTGGGTTCGATTCCTCAGCACCACATAAGAAAAAAGAAAAAAGCCAGAAGTGACGCTGTGGCTCAAGTGGTAGAGCACTAGTCTTGAGCTGAAGAGCTGAGGGACAGCACCCAGGCCCAGAGTTCAGGCCCCACGTCCGGACCACCCCCCCAAAAAATTAAGCGATTAATTCACTGAAATATACATTGCTTCATGTTTTTCATATCTTTGTGTTGTACTTATAGATAATAATTGTATTCAAAATCAAACTGGTTATAGAATTATCCATTTCATTAAGCAATTTAATGATGACCATCATTTATTATGCAAATCACCTTATTCTTTTTACCATTAAGTTCCATTTTACTCTATATTACAAATACAGCACATTTAAATCAACTATATTAATAATAACAATTTTAGGGACATATTACTGAATGTAACATCTTTATACATGTTTGAATTAAAATAATGTCTTTGAAATAAAAGTGATGTATGTATAGTCAGAGGAAATCAAAGGACTCCTCTTTATAATTGAAAGGAAATATTTTTGCTTTATAACTAAGGAAATGTATATCTAATCACTGTGAATTTGTGGAAATGTTTTCAAAAGCTACAACCCATGTCTTATGGTAAAATATTTGACTTTTCAAGAGCAATTATAAGTTATCTGCTGAGTTTGCCTTCTCCCATGAACTTTATACTTTACAGGGCATAAAGAAGAAACACTCACTTCCATTTTCCCGTCTGGATGGATGATGCACCAATATCACCTGCCAGAAACAAATAAGTATTTATTTATTTATATGTAATAATGAAAAATAATGTAATTATCTTGGCCAGTGTTATTTAACACATCTCACATTTAGGTTGAGATTTACTGTTATTTATTTTTTCACTCTGTAGAAGTTTCTGAACAATGTATTTTGTGTGCGACATTGGTATGACTGATAATTTAAAAGCTGTGGGCAGTGTGTATGGATTTACACAGTCACTGCATAAACATTTCAGTATGACAGAAAAAAATCAAAGATCTTAGTTTAAGTCCTAGTCTTACCAAACACCACAGAATGATGGTGTTGTACAAATTGATCTCCAATGTCCCTCTAACTGAATATTCTGTGATCTTTCTCAATGGGGGAAGTCATTATTAGAAATAGTAAATAGCAACTTTGACCTTGCTTATCTTTTACAATTCAGCAATTTCTCCCATTTCTCATTCAAGTTTCAAAACAGAAAGCCCTTTGTAGAGATTAAAAACTAAGAACTATAAGTAAATAAATGCCTTCTCCAGAAAAAAGATTTGTTAAAAGTAAAGTTGCTATAAAAATAATTGAAAACCCATTATTAGCCTCGAATGATAATCTCATTCTTCCTTTAAAAACTCTTTTCTCTTTTTTCCCCCTCTTTTTTTTAACCAATTCTGAGTCTGCTGGCCTGAAGAAAGTTCAGGTCAATGTCTATTTTTAAATCCAAATGATTAAGTTATAAATAGAAAGCAATTCTAGATAAATTAAAGAGAAAAATGAGAATCAGAGTATATCATAATAAAAGCATATTTTAAACAGACACTTAAATTTCTAAAATTAATTTAAAAGTCTAAATTTTCTACATTATAGAGAATTTTCAATATGATAGTTTGAGTATCATTTTTACATATTCATTGTAATGACCTCAAAATGCTTTATAATATAAATACAAACTATATTGACATGGAGATAAAGGAATGATAAATGTAATATAGGTTCTTACCTTGTAAAGAAAGCAGCAATGTGTGAAGCAAGAAAACACTCAAAGGTATCATTAAATTCAATTTTCTCACAATGGTCATTTCAGTGTAGCCTTTCTCCCTGAAATGTAATCAAATTGTTGGTCTTAAGTATGAAGTCATCTTAGAAGTAAGTATATTTATGCTGTGTTCAAACTCTAATACAGTTATGTAACAAAGTAATGCAAAAAATACTGTAGACTTTCTAGCTACATACAGCATCTGGAGCTTTAGAACTTGCAGACAACCCTTTGCCTGAGTCTCTCATTAGCAATTCATGGCAGCTTTTTACCTGAGCTGGTGGTATTAGTTACACTCTGCCATACACCTGCCCATCACACTCATTGTGTGTGTGTGTGTGTGTGTGTGTGTGTGTGTGTGTGTGTATCAGCCATTCATAGCTTCTGAAACAGTAGTATGATAAAATACTTGTTGATGTCTCTTACAGTTCTCTATGTTATTAGATATTTTTAAGTCATAAATAGAATTCTTTGGAACAAGGGGTTGCAAATTCCTATAATTTTCCTTAGAACAACTATTTCTTAAAGAATTTTAAAAACTAAACTAAAATCAAAACTAAGTGCATGTACTTTCAGTTCAAATCCATTATAATTTAGTATAAGTTGATACTTCCTCAGGCTCACAGATCCTCTTGTTAATTATTCTGTAACAAAAGCAGACTTTAAGAGGGAACGAGAGTTGTTATTCTAATATATGGCTTTCATAAAGAAAATAAAGTCATTTACCTGACCCCCAAAACATTCCTTTCTTATACTGTTTTTGACCCTTTATGATAAGTACCCAATTAGATGACAAAAAAAAAAAAACTTCTTAATCTAGGAGGAAGAGAAGTTTTCTCTGGAAGTAACTGACTGCCTAGAATGGCATCATAGAAGTGCTCTAATATTTCATAATGTGTATCCCACAGATAACCTAAGCCCAAGCCTAGAGATGAATGGAAGCCCTGGCTGTGCATGTCCTATAGTGGATTTATGACATACCTTCACTACTAGCAGACTCCTTTAACAAATGAGGATGTAGCAGTTAAGAAGTGTCCAGTTACTAAGGAAGTAGTTTCTGAGTCAAAACTGAACAGCACTTTTTATCCTGTGTTACTCAGTATATCTTTTCCAATAAGTGTTTTCTTTCCTGTGACATATCCTTGATATTCAAATATTCACTTTAAAATTTTAATATGCTTACAAGTGAAGCATATGTTTGTTAATATTTATTGAAAGGTAAACTTGTCTATTTCTTTTGAAATCATTAGATAATTGTCTAACTCAAAGCAGATAACTCAATAATTTTGTACTTACATTCTGAATATTGGTCCAAAATAACAAATCTAGTCGATCAAAATCAAAACTACAAGCTAGTCTGTTCAGGAGATGTTTATACATCTAATAAGTTTTATTTTGATCCTAATTTGTTTTAGACTCATTAGACCTAAGGTTTCATGATATCAAAAGCTACATGATACTGGTATGAGTGCCCTCTTTCCAGAGAACACAAAGACCATACATAAGATGTAATATATTGTACTCATAAATCTGTCCACAAAAGAAATAAAAGATTTGCAAATACAAAATCAGGTAAAAAGTTAAGGTTGAAGCCAAGCACTGGTGTAATCCCAGCTACTCGGGAGGCTGACATCTGAGGATTGCAGTTCAAAGACAAAAAAAAAAATTTATTGTAAAGATGTTGAACAGAGGGGTTACAGTTTTTTGAGTAAAGTAATGAGTACTTTTCTTGCCAAGCAGAGTAAGAAAGTTCTTAAAAATCTTATTTCCAATTAACTACCTGAAATCTGGAACTGGAGCCATTGTTCAAAGTGGTAGAGTGCTAGCCTTGAGCCAAAAAGCTCAGGGACAGTGCTTAGGCCCTGAGTTCAAGCCCCATGACTGACCAAAAGCAAAACAAGGTTGAAATCAATCTACAACACAATAATATCCTCCAAAGAATTTCTTTAACTAACAGGAGAAAAATTTTAAGTAAAATATTTATGATCAAAATACATTATTAAGTCTCTAAATTACAATATTTTGTTTTGGCTTCCTAGTCTCCCACATAAATAAACCTACAAATTGAATGATGTATAAATCATATTTCAGAGTTTTTCTCAATCTAGTAACATTTTAAATTTTTATTTGAGCTTAAACATTTTTATGAGTGGTACACATATAGAACAATACTCTACAGTAGAAATAAAAGCTGAATTTTATAATTTAATAAAATAAATGTTTTTGCTAGGCATCCATGAATGGCTCATCCCAATACTCCTAGCTTAGAGGATGAGAGCTAATGATCATGGTTGGAAGCAAGAAAGTCCCTGAGACACTTTCTTATCTCCAATTAACCACAAAAAGCCAGAAGTAGAAGCTGTGGCTTAAGTGGTAGAGCTCTAGTCTTGAACAAAAAAGCTCAGGGATAGCGCCCATACCCTGAGTTCAAGCCCCAGCACCAACACACATAAAAAATATATTAATGATTATGGGTAAACAAATGCAGCAGTTATACTCACCAGACACTATGTTGAAATGAACTATACAACTTATGGGTGGAGATGGGAGTGAAAATCTGGGAGAGAGTGAGGGAAGGGGTAACATTGTCCAAAAAGAAATCTCCTTACCTGACTTATGTAACTGTAACCCCTCCGTGCATCACTTTTATAATAACAAAAAAAAAGTAATGTTTTATTATATTCCAAGAATTTGCTGAGAAAGGATAGGTATTTAGCAACATAAAGCTATATGAAAAATACCATTCTCATATAATCATTAATATTTTGTGAAATTAAGATGTAATATGTCTGAATTGTCATCTTGCATTATAATTAATAGCTTTAAACTTGTTATTCAAAATCACCACAGCAATTTTCACTGAATAAATGTGAACATTCAAAGGTTGTATTAGCAATATTTTTAAATTAGTTTTCTGTTTTTAACTGCATGTATTCAAAAACTGCAACTTGTTCTGACTAATGAAGAAAATAGGGAAGGAATCACCAGGGCAGGTATTCTTTTTGTAGGAAGAGACTTCCTCCTCCATCTAGTCTTACAATAGGGAAGAAAAAAGTTCCAAAGGGAGAATGAACAAAGGGAAAGAAAGCAATAACAAAACTCACAAGTACTTTTTCAGCTGCTACATTATGAATGCATTACCTGACATGGTAGTCAGCATGAAAATAAGCAAAATAGACTTCCATGAATAGCTACAATAGAACAGAGGGTTTAGATGAAAGTTTAGACTCAGAAACACAAAAAAAGGAATTTATGATTTGCTATGTGTAATTATTCCTGTCAAAATGACAGCTTTTATATTGCATTCTACTCTGACAAAGAAACTTTGGCAAAATGTGAGTCAGCCACCAACTTGTGAAGAGATATCAAGTTCATAAAAAAAGTCTGAGGCAAACTATATAGTGCATGTAATAAACAGTTCCCTTTCTACTACAAAAGACTGTATATTTTCCCACATGGAATATGATCTTCAGAAAGTTGACACCTGAACTCCTATTGGCCTCAACATACCACACAGAAACAACTGGCAAAAATAAGAAATTTTGGTACTGATGATATCAATATCAATGATAGGTATTTTTTAATTATATTCGTCTTCATTGAGACAACTTCATTTCTTTGGTGACTTACATAACACTCATTTACATTAACTGAGATCAAATCTAAAGTAGATAGCACTTGGCTCCCATAATATCATGTTCTACTAGTGAAATGCAATTATTCTGACTTGCTTCATTGAGCCTAACACATTTCACATTCAATGATTTTATCTATGTTATCATTGAGTCAGCAAAAAAAAAAGTCCTACAACTTCAGAATGAATTTTACCATGTTAGATTTTACCACCTTATTATTGGATAATATTCTATTTATGTTTTCAGAGTATCAGGGTATTACTTGGAAATTTCCTTGGCGCTTCATATAATTAAATTTAGAAGTGGCATCTATCGTAGCTTTTCTCAATAAGGACATGATTATGTTTCAAAAAGTGTGTGCGCTGGTCATGATCTCAATTTAAAGTTGAATTTCAATTTAAAGCAAACCATCAGTCACTTGGCTCTATTTTATTGGAACATTCTTTCTTCAGGTTGCTATGATACCATTAGCTTATAATATCTAAGTGATGTTTCTAAGGAAGTAATGTTCCTTCAACTAGAGTTGCTTCTTATCATCAGTATAGCATCAGAAGGATATTAACACCAGTACTTTGTGTCAATACCTTTTAGTTTATAAATATATATATTATTTTCTGAACTACTGTCTCATTTTGTAATTATGATCATATGAATGAAGTTGGTTTCTCATATGTTTCATTTCAGTTACATTTCATTATTTATGTTTTTATTTGAAAACTGCAAAGGGAGATTATTAATTCAGTTTCCCAAGGAAGAAAGGTAAGTGCTCTATTCCTGTTCTTGGTTGTGTTTTCTTTTTTGGGGGGGGGGGGGGAGGGCCTGGTCGTGGGGCCTGAACTGTGGGCCTGGGTGCTGTCCCTCAGCTCTTCAGCTCAAGGCTAGGGCTCTACCACTTGAGCCATAGCGCCACTTCCGGCTTTTTCTTTTTTTGCTTATGTGGTGCTGAGGAATCGAACCCAGGGCCTCTGGCATGCAAGGCAAGCGCTCTACCACTGAGCCACCTTCCCAGCCCTTGGTTGTGTTTTCTTGTCTCAATGAGGATTAAGTTATGTGTTTTGTAATTTTGATCCATGCCTGGTAGGGTTATTTTCTTATGACAATCCTTTGTTGCCACTCTAAAAGAAATGACTTTCCAAAGAAAGGTTTTATAGCTATTCTTGTGAAGTGTTTCAGGGAATTTCTTGTTAATTTCTCAGTTTGGAAGCCCTTAGACCATGGAGCATAAATTCAAATCCCAAACTTAATGTAAAGGAAGACCAAATTGAATTTTTGCTTTGATTTTGGCCTCTAGTGAAATCCACTGTAACCTCATGTAAGCATCCAATGTCTTTCATGATTCACTATTATAATTTACTTGTCTTTTCCAACCATTTTATAGCTTGCAAAATTTCAGGTCTTCTAATCCATT